TATTCGGTGCTTGATGTTGTCGTCTGAATTGTCAATTCCACCAGTACTGTTGTGCTACACCTTTTTTAGTACATCGTTCTAGCTTGGGTTCATTGTACGGAGGAAATGAGCTATCATAATGGTTTTGACTCTATGCTGGATACGTTTGTCTAGCAAGTGTTAGTTCAGTTTTGCAGTAGGAGTTGTCGTAGCAAACACGGAGCTAATCTTCAAAGCTTCTTATTCCCTCATTCGTGTTCATGCATATCTCATCTCTTAAAGGTTTTACATATAAGTCTTAATAGCTAAACTGAGTTCTAGTGAATTATTGTTTTCTGAGCTTTTTTTACAATGTCATCTTTTTAAAGCGTGTAGTTCTTGCGTTTTTAAGTAGACTCTCGACTTTAAGGATAAATTTGCCGTTTACTTGTTAAATATTGGCTCTCCATGACGCCAGGTAAACACCGGTTCTCGATGACGCCAGGCTGACTAGTCTTCAGTGCTTAGAGTTCGTTCATTCATAGTTCTTCGCTTATTCTCGTGAGCAAGTTGGCGTTGTCCACCGAAGCTCAAGAGAGGAAGCAGGCAAATATGTGCTTTGAATAAAACGATTCACGTCAATAACCTTCAATGAAGATTGCCTAAGAAATAAACGAACGATTTTGCAGTTAAGCTTCCCACCATATCGCTATGCGATTTATATTTTTACGATTACGATAAAATTTTCCCTTTCGAGCACGTGTCGTGCAGTGGTTAGAGGTTTTCCGCAGTACATGCGTGATCACCGATTCGATAACGCGGCCCGGGTTATCCTAGCCCTCTATAGCTCCATGATCGGCAGGTCGCTATCAGACTTATCTTAGAGGGTGGCAGCATTAACGTGATACATCGGTAGGCGGTCGCGGCCATTGTATAGGCAACATATGTATTCAATCATCTCTATGATGCTTGGTGAAGTCGAGTGCCAGGTGTGTCTATCAGGAATTGTTCAACACCTTTGCACTTTTTTTGAAGATGTTTTATTTCTTCTTCCTGATTTGTTTCTCTAAGCTATGCGTCTGATGAGTGTCCCGTCCAGCAACTGTCGCTGTAACGAAGACCTGAGTACGCTCTAGCGGGGCTATCTCGGGATTCCAGAGAGAGTAAACTGGAGTTTCATTCAACAGCTTTTATGACGAAGATGAAAAAAATCCTCAAGCACCAGCCGAAACCAAAAGCAAAAATGTTCAAGACTTTTGGGTATGGTGAGTGAGAAGAACCGAAAAAAAACGAGAACAAGAAGTGCTGAGATCTACACAGCATGGTAAATGTGTTGGCAGGCCATGTAATAAAGTAATACCACTCCGAGTCAGTCCAAGAAGTTCCATCTCGTGACATCGTTCTTTTGTAATCTGAGAGCAGTTTCGAACTACCTCTTTGTTGCTTCAGTAGTTAGCACTTTAATTTTCGTTCAAGAAGTTCCGAATGTAGATCATATTTCACTTTATTAACCTCTACATAGGGCCGCTTGATTTACGAGGCAGACGAATACCGTATAGAATTCAGCGGCAGAAACAGTGGCGAAGTAGTAGTCCAATACTTTCCATCTGTCTACATAGATTGGAAGCATAGGTCTCTATTTCATAGCCAAGTGTTGTAAGACAAGATGGCTATCTCCCGTCTAGGATATGAATTTTCACAAATTCGTAGAGTTTCTGGACTTCGCTGTTTCCTCGACGTGCTAATTGTGCTCTGTTTCAAATCCGGATGAAGATTTCTTCGGTCAAACAGCCACCAGCTCGTCAGTGTTGCAGGACTACTTTCCTTGACGCTTATTTTTTTCACCTTTTTCACTTATTGCCTAATACAATTTTTCACGGCAAGGTATCATGTGGAATACATTCAAGGCTATGCTGAGATATTTGCAAAACTCCAGACCGCACGTCGATTTAGGCTCCCCAGATCAATCCCGTTGACGGGTTATTGCTGACGGCAGTGATCGATAGAAAGCTAGCTGAAAGACAGGCGAAACGAAGGACCCGCATGGTGTGCTGGTGAACGCGTTAGCCCTCTAAAAGGGTAAAAGCGCGTTCGTTCCCCATCTCAGACACCTACGGTCCGAAATTTTGCAAATATCTCAGCATAATCTTAGCTGTTTTTTTAAAGTTTCCTTCTTGGTATTACCAGGAGTTGTCATGTACACTTCCGTCCTGCAGTTGACCGCTACATACTCATTTATGGTTACGTCGTGTTAATAATGTTTTTAACGGTGCTTTTCAGACTCTTGGATAATAACATGTGGTACATAGTTCTCTAGATCCATATGAAAAGCCGAATCACATAAAAGCCGTAATAGTCGAGTAAGAGAAAATTTATGTTTCGTCATTTGCAAAGAAGCAGCTCAACATTTAATCCAAAGGCTTTGCAGAGGACTCCGCCTTGAGTTCGGTACCCTTGGTCAGGAATCGTGTATGATTTTAACGCCACCACACTTCATGCCCTCCGTTCACATTTTTCAAAAACTTCTTGGCCCTTAAACATTCGTGTGACCATTAACTTCGTCTTCTATTCAGTTGTCTCTGGAAGTGCATAAATTGCGCAAAACAGTTCTATCAAATCATTAGTTTCCAGAAATTCCACGCTGCGTCGCACCTATAATTGCACTCCGAAAGGGTTACTTTCTATACATTACATTTTGTGGAACCGAAAACTAAGTGTCATCATGAATGTGGCTCTGTGGGACATGGATACTAGGCTCGTTATCAATCGCCTCTCGTTTAGCTTTCTATATAGCTTTTTTCTCTAATCAATGAAGTTTTGTCATTAATGAGCTAAGTTAAGGATCGATGTAAAGTTTAATTGTACTGATGTTTACGTACGCTCGCACTTCTCAATGCTGGAACGACTTGAGGCAGTTCCTCAAAGATTTAGTGAACGTATAAAAAGGCACCGCCAACTGGTAATCTATCATTAGTGAGGCGCTCCATTTCACTCGATTTGACTCGCCGCGGCAACTATGAAGACCCACATCACAAGGTCGAGTGACTGTGGACAATCGACTCGGATCATCTGCTCTGGAGAAGGCGAAGGGTCCGAAATGTTAGCCGAATAGATTTTTGTAGCAAACTCGTGTTAGCTTATTAATGAAAAGGTCAAATCAATAGCAAGTTTCGGAAGGACTGAATGGAAACCATGTCAAACACCGATTTCTTGGAAATGGGCCGTACTGAAGGTGGCGGGCTTGAAGAGAAGTGCTTGCAATCAAACAACGTTCGCATGCGTGTATACGACAGTACTACTCAGTCATGAGGACATTATTCTGATATCCCATGATGGTAATGGTGATGAAACTCTAGAGAATACAGTGCTTATATAAAAAAAATATAATTGGCACAAGTGATTTCGTCTCTATCGTTCTTCCCGTATTGAGCCGACAATCTGGAGCGAAGTCGACAAAGGCAAAATAAGTGACATGCGGGATAGATGGAGCGGTTAGTCGATAAAACACTACCAGCAACATGTATTCTTTTTTTGATGAGCATACACGAGGTTGATAAAGATGTTTATTTTCGATTAACGTTCCCACGTCTTCGTCTTCATCAGAGCCGATGATCTGAGTCGGTGGTCCACGCCTGTTCTTCTCCTCGATGGCTTCGCCTTCGTGTCGAGTGAGGTCATCCTCAGCGGACCATCTCAGCCTCACTACCAGCAACGTCGACTGCTCTAAACGTCATGAGCTGCTCGACAACTGTTCTGTCCATAAACCGCTTTGTCATTAAAACTTTTTCACAGTGAACGTTCCAGAGTTATAGATGCGGTACGACGCATCCCTCGATTTATAAAAGTGGGGTATTGATAGTTATCCATGTAGGGTGAAAATATTCTACCTGCTAAGAAATATTCTGCAATGAGCAGTTTTCCGTACGTATTAAGCTCAGTAAACTTCGGAGTTTTTCTTCGAAATAAACGACCTCATCCTTGCTAGAGCTGGAGACAAGAGGTTTTTTAACCGAATTTTTTTGCTTCCACAGAGAACAACCGGACAATTCTCTTCTCGCAGTAAGCAAAGACTTAATTATTCGAAACTCTTCTTCGGAACTTTAATTGACCTCTTCTCGAGTTCCTCGTTTAGAAGTAGGGCGAACTCAATTTCGGCAATATAGCGGGATTCTCTCGTAGCTCCTCAAACATTTGAGTATGCGAAAAAAAAAGAAGATATATCTTTAAAGGAAATAGCCCCAAATAGTGCATAATAAACTGCGCTTGAGAAGTCCATTTCGACATTGGCGGTTTCCAAAAGTCTTGGCCTTAAATCTTGCGTTATGTTTCCGTTTGCGATTTTTTTTCCTCTATGCACACTAGTTGGTTAGATTCCACGTCCTTTGACCACTAAGCTTTCCATTACTCTAAGGTCGGAAAATTGGCACCAGACTTGCCCGAGAGAATAACTGAGTTGATGATACATCGGTAAGCCAGCGCAAGTCGTTGTAGAGGTAGACATGCGATATACATGCCATCAACTTTAACGACGCTTAACGACGTTTGGTGAAGTCGAATGCATTGCACATCCCTCAGGGAATGATCAGCGCCAAACAGTTTCTCCTTTGTTATACCTTTTTATTTTCTGCCTACTATAATTTCGCGGCAGGGTACTAAGCGAAATACAACCACAACGTTGCTGAGATATTTGCAAAACTCTGGACCGCAGGTGTCTATGGTGGGGAACGAACGCGCTACTGTCCTTTCCGAGGAGTAACGCGTTCACTACCACACCATGAGGGTCCTTTGTTTCGCCTCTCAGCTATTTCTATCGATCTTTGCCACAGCAATCACCCGTCAGCGGGATTGATCTGGGGCGCCCAAATCGGCATAGAACCCAGTTAAGGTGCGGCTGTAGTTGAAATTACAATGTTATACCTTTTTATTTTCTGCCTACTATAATTTCGCGGCAGGGTCCTAAGCGGTTAAGTAGAATCATTTGATCCAAACATAAGGCGCAAATCAGTTTCAATGAAATGAGCGGCTAAATTTGTGTTCTAGTTAGAAAATTACCAATCGAAGAAAAATCAGCGTTTGTCCATCCATCAGTCCATCAGCCTAAAGGCATGTGGTAGAAGACGAGCATCAATGCAAACTACAGAACTTCGTAAAGCTATAGCATTGTGCCTCAGTGTGAATAATGTTGAATGGGCAGCGGCATAACATAACAGGCCAGGCTATTTATATGACAGTTCACAAACATCCAGAAGCAGTGTCCCACTTCATACTAGATGGTTGAAAGTGCCTCGATAAGTTATTTTACGAAAATGCTTTACATAAAGAAACAACAAACATGATAAAAATATATTTAAAAAAGGATAAAGCTCTCAACGTTGGTCAATTCCTGAGGGATGCGCCATGCATTCTACTTCATCAAGTATCGTTGGAGGTCACTGGATCCATATCGGCCTTTAATTGCGGTGGCCTACCAGTGCCGCTATCCTCTCAGATAGGTCTGGTACCAATTTGCCGACCTCGGAGGGATGGAAGGCTTGGAGTGCCATGGGCGCGGGGATAGATTTTACGTGTGTATTGCAGGGCGATCACTGTGCCACACACGCCTTCAATAAAAATATATACATCCAGAATAATCAATAAACACCACAGCATTTCAAATCACTGGTCAGAACCTCTCAACAAACGCTATGAAAGAAAGCGTATTTTCAGTTCGCATTTTTTGTTATAAACATGTTTGGACTAGAGTAAAAATAGCTTTGCAAAATCGTTCACACCTTGCACTTATGTCATTCGGTCGGTTTTCCAGAGAGCCAAAATGGCGCTGCCACATGTGGGGCTCTACCTGTCGTTGTTTATATACCTGATCGTCGGAGCTGTGCTCTTCTACTGGCTGGAACACGAAGCGGATGAGAAGATCCAGAGCTCGAAACTCGACCGAATCAAGCATGTGCGTAAGCTTCGATTCCAGCTAAGGATATTCAGCATTAATTTATCCTTTCGTTTTTCACACATGAAATGAATTAGTAGATCCCAACAGTCAAGTGAGATTCTGAGCCGTTCTAAGTGAGCCAATGGGCCAAACCGTTGTACACTTCTTGAGGGTTACATTAAACATAAATGGAAGTTTTTGTTAGCTCATTTTCCGAAGAAAAAAGGGAACTGAACAAAATGTGTTCAACGAAATGTTGTTATTCAGGTCACAAAGGTCACAAAATCCGTTCCACGATTTTCCTAAAACTCTTACAATCGAAATGAATCTATGAAATGTTCGACTTCGATTAAAAAAAAAGAAGGAAATAAAAGAAATTATGACCACCAGAAGGTGTTTGCAAAGCAAAGCATCGATCATGGCATATGTCGCATAATGTTAGTCACATTTCAGAAGTGGAATGGAAAAAGGACACCAAATGTGGGATTACATCTTTCCGTTTACCTTAGTGGCATAAGTAGCTCTGTTCTAAGCTCACAAGTCCTTTTAGAATTCGTCGACACCCGGGACAAATGTGAAAAACTATTCAATACCAATGGATCATATCTCCTCATTCATAAAATTTGGCAAGTTTAATATATCAGCCCTGGCTATATAGTAGTGGTGTACTCAGCTGTTATAGCAATGTTTTCTCCTTGTCATTTCCGTAACTGGGAAAACACAAGCATTTGGATTTCGAAGACCGATGAGTCGTCATGTTGATGTATCTCTAATCTGAACTTCTCTTAGGTTTTGAATAGATGAAATTTCGTCTATGTGAGTTCCAACTGCAAAAAATTATTTGGACAGCTATGCACTTAGATGCCGCTCGTTCACAATTAGTGCAAGCTCCAGCACTTTTTCCATTCTTGTTCTCCTCGCAGGATTGATCCCCATGGTGGTGGTCTACTTCGGACATTGTGACGTTTGTAGGTCTCACTCTGTTTCCTGATACAAATAAGAGCCACACACATTTCTGTTCATCTCGTAGGTGGTTCTCTTGGAGGGTACATGCATTTTTCTGGAATCTAATCCACTATTTCCTCGCCCAAATGCCGTCATATTTTCTTAGATGACTATCTTTGCTTCACTTTCGATGTATGTTTTCCGTGATCCTGGAGATGCCACATATTTGAATGTTGAGGCTAAGGAATCCGGATAGATAATGTGAGCACCAGTTCTTCGGCTAGTTCTGACTCAACCAAACTCTGATATGTGCGATAGAATAATCTTCTTGAAGAGTCTGCACACTCAAGAAACAAGTCGGACATTAGCTAAAAAGATTTCTTTGGTAATTACCTTTATCATTTTTTCTTGGATGGGTTACATTGCGCAGGGTCCTCTATTGATCTGGGATCGTTTCCTCATCAAGATTGCTTTCCTATGGGATGCAAGAAGAGCGCGGAGTTTGTGACCTGTGACTTCAAGATCCAAGGAAATCGTGTATTATCTGGCCCTGCAGCTGTGTCTCTCTTCATGCATCTGATTGCAAGTTGAGCTTCTAAAGAAGGAATGTTAGGGTGAGAGTTTCTTTAACGGAGATATTGAAGTTCGTAACGAGGATTGTGGAAGTGAGAAGATGGGCGCAGAACTTTTTTGTCATCAATTCCATACCAAGGCGAGAGGTGGTAGCAATCCTGTCTTCGATCATCAAGGCTAACATCGGAATGTTATGTTCACACAAGTTCCTATATCTTTTTTTTTTACTATTTTTCTTTATTTGAACTGCTTCCAACAGGTCTTTTCTGTCTGTACCAACAATGCAAGTTCTCTTGCAAAGAACTTCTGCAGTAGGCATTTATTATCAACCGTGCTAAATATGTTGTAGTAGGATCAAACTTAGATATTTTCTCCTCTCGAACAACTTTTTGGTGCTGACAGAGATGCGACCCAAACTTCCCACTTGAGAAGATGAGGCGTATTCAGCACAAGTTTTAAGCCGTTTTAGAAGCGGCTACATGGAATCTTCGCAGAGAGAAATTAGTGATAGAGTCCAGTACAGAATGATGGCACAGCGGAAGTTCCATTGCCGCACCACTTTCTGTAGTGGTCGGTTTCCGGTTTCGTATAATTAAGTCAATCCCTTGCCCAGTGGCGTCAAATCTTTCGGCTTATCATAGAACGCACGTAATTCGCTCTCATCAGCTGTACAGCTTTGCCGATAGCTGCTCCTGATATTCGTCTCCCTTGATGCGAAGCGTGAAGATGGAGAATGGCAAGGTGAAGTGAGAGGACTTCATAAGAATCTCAGTATTGCGTAACAGATAGTTATACCACAAACCCTCGTCCATCATCACTATGTAACGGGATATCTCACCCACAAATGACAAGGATTCCGTCATCTAATTGATTTACGCCGGTCTAATGCTTTTCTTTCTCATGTACCGCTCCCACGTGGAATTTTCCTTTTCCTGTGGCCCAAAGAAAAGCGTGAGGATCGGATTACAGTAAGCTTCTCCAGTGTTACAGGTGTAGGAAAGAAAAAGCTTTCTACAGCATGTCCTCGGTGTGCAACTTTGAAACGATTCCCGACTCTCAGTTGTTCCCTCAACGCCAGACGTCGTATGCAGAAATGCTTCATGTTCGGGAATGTTGAGCCCGGTTTGTTGAGCTTGTTGCGCTACTTTGCTACTAAAGTGATAGTTGCTCTTAGATTTGCTTAGTCTTGGCTTAGCTACATGAAGATAATTTTGAACTCTTTCTAAAACGGAGAATCTGCTGGGAAAATTAATTTCCAGCAGTATATTGCACAAAAAGACGCTCTCAGTTACGACAGGGTTGTAAAACTCTGGGAAGGAAGTAAAAAACGGTATGAGAAAGATGAATCCATTTTTTCGATGGGAGCGGATCTCTCTATAATTAAACTCCTACATGACTATTTCATGTTTAAAAGATTATCTGTAGATAAAGGACATCTAAAAATATTCTCCAACAGAACTATAGTTCTTTCAGAGAGATTCGGTTCATCCTCTATGTTTTAGGATTACCGAATGATTGATGAGGCTCTCAGAGAGATGGCACCTAAGAGCGCATATAACGCACATCGAGAAAGAATTTTCGAGCAAATCGCCAAGTATGTCGTTAGTTCAAGTCGATAGGAAAGCAGACGTTTTGGTAGTTGAGTTCAAGCGAACAGGATGAGTCTCAGGTTGTCATCGTTGCACGAGGCGCGACCGTTCAATCTTGTGCAAGGCGTACCATCGGAAGAATCACTGCCGCCAAGATGGAGCAGAAGCAGTGCCGTTCTCTACGCTCTCAGCATACTGGTACATGCTAGGTTCAGTGTTGAATTCGACAGTTATATGCAACGAAACTATCAAAACAAAACATTAACGAGTTTTAAGGGATTATGCCAAGTCGTAAAACTTTTTTTGAACATAGGAGGAATTATGACCAGCGATTAATATGCAGTTCAAACCGCCCAAACCGGTGCTTGTACCGGACTTCTTTCATCTTTTAGTTAGAAATTAACCAGGGCATTTTTGTTGCATTCCAGGAGAATTGATGAAAATATTAAAGGAAAGTGGACAACAACGAAGTCGTTGAATCTGTGGGGAGATTTATCGAGCACCGACGTAACCTAACGTGATCATAGCCCTCATCGCTCTTAATTGAAGCAAACATGAAGAGTGGAAATGTGATACAATTCTCTGTGCCCTCAAATTCTACTGGACTAATGTACCATCCTGATGAACGAGTTCTTAATAGCTAAAAATGTTCAGAACATCTCACCATCCACTCTAGTTAAAATCTGAGGAATATCATCATTGAACGTTATTTGGGAGTGAAATTAGCAAAGATACAGACATAATTTAGCGTTTATACGTAACTAAAGGAAACAAAAAACTTAGTACAAGTCTCCAAATTTCTCTAGTTCTACAGTGGTCCGAGTATCGAAACGGCGTAGATGAAAAAATCAGCATCCTGTCAAATGCGTTCAAATTCTCTAGAAGAATTGCTTATTTCTGCTTTGATCTTCTTCTTGTTCCCATTCCATCCAGTCTCACTAATAAGTGAGCAAAATGTTTTTTCCAAACCACCACTAGGTTTGCAATGCAGCACTTTCCGTGAGCACGAAATGGTTTGTTGAAACTTCTACATTACTTACTTGGATACTTGGATAGTCCGTCCCCACTGGTTGTGTGGGCCACAGCATAATCTCCATTTTTTCGGAGATTTCCTGCTTTAGCCACTTTGGTTCCCTGGGGTGCCGAGGTTAGCCTGACCAAAGTGTGTCCCAGGTCGTCACCACCTCACGCAGTCACAGCCCTTGTGGATCAGAGGCATATTTGCACCATGGGACTAGTTTGATACTAGGACAGTGGTGGAACCTAGTATTGGTTTAATCTTAGCTCAGCTTCCTGATGAAAACGCCTCACTCACGCCCAGCTTGGGAGACGCTGCCAAGAGGATGAATCCGCCCGCTGTACATTGCAGCCGGACACCGAGGAACACCTCCCATTCACGATGAAAACTGTTGGAAGGAACCTCTAACTCCTACATTAAACTAAGGAAGCCTTCTATTCCTACTAATTTATCTCTGTTGATAAAGGATAAGTGCACGATAGATAACATACCACTGTTTCGATCGCCTGAACTCTGCATGAAAATCATGCCGTAATCGTTCGTTGCCTTGCAGAGTTTGCAGATCGGACAACAAAATAAATGCACATCTCACCTAACTCATGAACACAATGCAAGTCACTATGCAGAGCTATGTACCATTTCTATTCAGACAACCACCGGCTATTCGTACGCCGTGCCCGTCACTCCTTTCGGACAGTTCCTGGCCATCGTGTATGGAGTGCTGGGAATTCCGTTAATGGTGCTAGCGGCGGTGGACATTGGAAGATTCCTCTCGCATATCGTGCTAGAGCTGTACGCCAAAGTGCGTCACCTCAAAGTTTTTTTCTAAATGACCAGGTTTTATGGACGATTAAGAAATTTTTAGGTTCTATATAAATGAGAAGGTGCGCTTGTGGCGCAGTGGTAGGAGGCGCCCTGCAACACACATGTGGAATCAATCCTTGCGCCTATTGCCCACCAAGCGTTCCATTCCTCCGGGATCGGCTTGATACCAGACTTGTCTGGGAGGATAGCAGCACTGATTCGATACAGTGGTAGAGCACTGCGAGTCATTATAAAGGCCAGATATGCATTCAACCACCTCCGACGATGCTTAATGAAGTCGGATGCATGGCGCATCCCTCAAGGATTGATCAACGCCGAGTGCTTTATCCTCTTTTATCCCTTTATAGATGAGAATTGGTAACAAAAAGTCGGTATGAAGTGCTCGACCACTCATTCTCTGTTTTTCTTTTTAAACAACACTAGTTAATACTTACAGTACTTAGTTGAATTACGACCAAATCGTGCCCTACTTCGCAACCTCGTTTCTCTTTTCTGAGCAGATTTCTTCTTTCAGTACCAGGTCATGTTGTCGTCGCTGAGCTGTCGAAAGAAACTTACAACCACCACCACTGCAGTATTGCGAGCGAAAAGATCTTGGTAACCTAATCTAAGCGTATTTCAATAGCTCCTCCGATTGACCCGTCTATTTCGTCTCGATCGAAATTTCGTTTCATTCAATTTTACCTCGTTTTCTTTCGACTGTTTGACTGCAATTTTGCAAGCCATTTGAAGTAAGAAGATAAGAAGTCGTCGATTTTATTCGTGTTAGTCTTCTCTTGTGACGATCTGCGAAGAACTTCGAAAAACGAAATCGTAGGCTTATCTTCATGTCTCAATATTTTTCTGAACCGGTATTGTCAACATACAATATTCATGACGTGGTTTAGTTTTAATTCTTTTAATTTCCGGAATAGATGATAAGTTTATATCTAAGGAGATCTACCTCTGTGGAAGTAGAAGAGAAAGGAAGTCAGGATGAAGAAGATCAGGCGGATACGGAAAAGGTGAAGCAACCGGTGGCGAAACGGCTCCCACTCAGCATCAACGCGGGCATCCTGCTCGTGTTCTGCATGATGGGTGCTGTGACGTACATCGCAGCAGGTCAGTACTGACAGAACGATAATACTAGAAGAACAGATCCAGATAGGCAACCAGTTCGTCACTGCATTCATTTATTATCTACGGCAATATCACCTAAATCATAACAACACAAACTAAGGGATGTATGCTAACACCAGAATGGTTCCTGAAGTAATCCAACCTAAGCAACTGCATTTCCTAACCAACTTACTTCACAGCACCTTAATCTGCTATAAAAGAATGATCTAGATATATTAGAGCCCATTCTCAACTTGCTGAGGTGAAGCCTATATTCCCAGGTAGGCATTCTGTTGCTTTATAAATATGTTCAAAACATTCTGGAACATCGTTCTGAAATTTTTTCCGCATTCTTTTAGCTTTAATAGCCAGGTTTACGTCTCCCTCTAATTTTATATCATTGTTATTTTGTTTAACAAGAGATGGCAAGTCCACATCTTCGATAATTAGGAATGTATGTCCAGTACTCCTCTATATCTGATTAAGACAACATGAAAGTACAGCGAAACGTTCATGACGTTTAAGGAGGTAAAGCGACGTTTCTCGAAGCGTTCTTCGTCACCTTTAACCTAGTGGCGAACCTAACGATGAGTGAAATGCCCAGCGACCTGAGTCAGCTGCTAACGCTCATCTACATCTTCGTCTTCGTAACGTTCGGTTAGTTCTCGTCTACAAATATCGTGCATATCTGATGTATCCTATGTGAAGAACACGCAATGTATTTATAAATACCTGGGATTTATCGAATTTATTCCCTGGAAGCCATACAAGAATCGAGAATTATCCTTCCTCTTAAAGTACATTGTCAGCTTTTATTGCCATAACACTTCAATGGCTTACTGATTCACTGCATCCATTGGGCTCACCTGTGCCTATTCCGGTGGCAGACCCATTCAGTTTGAAAGGGATCTCGATATTTCTGTTCGGAGGCTACAAACTCTAACCATTGTTAGAAATCATTGTAGTTTTAACAGTAAATTAAGCATAAAGTAGCACACCAACTCTAATCCACGCGGGTCAACGACCATTTTTGGGTGCCTGCCTGAGAAAGCGCTAAGACGATCTTCTGATAACTCCAGGGAAAAAAATCCAGCCTAACTACAATCCCAGTAAATGGACACTAGGACCGATACCTTTTATGAAGATGGACCACAAAGTATTCCAGTAAATGACTATATTGTCATCAGACAAGTATAAGTAATGTTAACGCGAAATTTTAAAGGTGTCGCCGTTCTGTCGATGTGCGCAGAGTTGGCGGCACTTGAGCTGAAAGATATCTTCTTGAAAATTCACTATTTCGGCCGAAAGATCAAGTTTAAAAGACGCCACAAGAAGGAGCAAATTGAGGTTAGCTTTTATTATAAACTTTCACAATCATCTAATACTACAAAACGACTTTTCCCCTCTGTGCATATGTAAATGTTGCTTTTCCTTAGGTTGAAGTGAAGGAGTTGTTGAAAATTATCGAAGAAATACGACGCCGTTATCCTGATAAAGAGCGTATCACTTCCCTCGACATTTTAATGGTGGGCTTACCTGTTGACTTGCCAAGAAGGTTTAATCGACGTTGTTTTAAACTCAAATCAACATGTATCTCAAACAACGTGAAGATCGTGAAACTTCCAATGTACCTTAACCTCAAAGAAACTTAGATCAGCAATAGGAGTATTTTTGTGATCTCGATGTCTAGTGGGGAATAGCTAGGTATAGAAAGGAATTCTTCAAGATTCAAGCATTAAATGTAGTACAAGTAAGAAATAGTTGTCGTGAAGTTCGTTAGATGTTTTGCATAAGTACACCACTATCTCTAGTATATGAAAGAAGCGACAAACGAACGAACGGTACTGACGGAGCGTCGTGATACGATCGCCTTCATGCCGCAAACAATGGAAATTCTGAAATTCGCTGACGAAATGGACCTCGAGGACCGCAGTGCCAGCCGTATGGAGGAGGCTCCGCTCATCGACGAAGCAACCAACAAGTCTCCTCTCGACTTCTACCTGTTCATTCATTGAGTACGCTCTGAACTGTACTGATTATCCACGATGAGAAGAGTAGTTGTTTTTCCAAAGTCAATTTTGCAATGGAATGAAATGAGTATGAAGAGATAATATGTTCATGGTGTTTAATGAATACATAAACAAATGAACACTAGGAACGAGGTAGTGGCTGTGATGTTGAGAGCTCTGGACAGCGTGACAAAAACAGCATATTGCTAACATGTATCTTTCCTTAAGGCGAAGCACTCTTCTTTCCTGAGAATTTTTATTAGAATTTCTTAAGCATGGTAACTACCGCTTATTGTCTAAGAATTATTGTCTAGGATCGCCTACATGCCTTTTAGTTACTTGTCATTTCGTCAATCACCGGCTCGAATGGGCATCATTTCTTTTCCATTTGCTCTTGTAGCACCCACGAGCAACTCATTGGACTCCACTCGCTTCAAGGACGCTAAGAGCACCACAGCTCTTAAAACATCTTTTATTTCTACCGTTTTCGTGCAACGACCGACAAAGCAGAGTTCAGCCGCTGCCGTTATGTACCAGCTGAACTCTGTAAGAACCATAGAAGTCGATATCGTTACAAAGAAAAGGAGAAATAGTGGCAGTCATATCGATCTGCTTTTGCTCGAAAAGCTGATCTTTAGTAATAAAAGGCCTTGTCGCCACCCTATTATATTATTCGCCGTCAGAGACGTCTCACAGTCGTTTTAATACAGCGCTACCTTTATGCGTCCGTCTTGCAACGACGTACAATTTCTCGATAACCAGTTTACCGGCAAGGGATCAGAAATACTTCAATTATAGGTTTTGAGGACATTAGAAATCATCTTCATCACCTAAACCGCTAAACCCAGAAGAATGCATCAAGTGAATAAATCAGATTTTAGTCCACCAATTGGATGTTTTCATATTTAGTTTTACAAGAGTTCCTTTTTCTGAACTCTCAGTACACACATCTGACGGCTTTTCTAAGCCGTCGCTACGAGGAGTTGCTAAGGTTTGTGGATAGAAGAGAGATACATTTTTAACATTGCCACAATTGCGGCCAGACGGTGGTGATTCCTGATGTGGTTTACTCTTATCTGGCCTACCTTGTGGAAATATGGAACACTTCATGGATAATAATAACAATAATAACAGTAAAATAATAATAATAGTATTAATAATAATAGTAATAATAATGACAATAAAAATAGTAATAATAACCATAATTATGCTGAAATTACAATATTAACCTTTTATTTGCTACCTGCTACAATTTTTCATGGCCGGGTATTACGTGAAATACAACCATAATGATGCTGAGATAGCTGCAAAACTCCGGACAGCAGCTGTCTGCGGTGGGGAACGAACGCGCCATTACCCTTTCAGAGGGCTAACGCGTTCACTACCACACCATGCGGGTCCTTCGTTTCGACTTTCCCTCAGCTAGTTTTTTATTGGCGAGTAATTGTTGATGGCAGCGGTAGATAGAAAACAGGCTGAGAGAAAGGCGAAACCAAGGACCCGCATGGTGTGGTGGTTAACATGGTAGTCCCATAAAAGGGGAATTAAGTTCGATCCATAACACAGACACTTGCGGTCCGGAGTTTGCACACGTCTCACCATCACTGTAGTTGAATACGGTTGTTATTACTGTATAATACAGTCACAATGATGCTGAGATATTTGCAAAACTTGGACCCCATGCCAAATTCGAACTCGCGATTGTCCTTTCCGGGGATAGAAAGTGGAGGCTGAGAGGAATGGAAAGCAAGGGCTTGGTGCAGTAAGACCCAGGAAAGGTACCCGCGGGTTCGAATCTGTTCTGGGGTCTGAGTTTTGGTAACATCTCATCTTCGCTGTGGTTGTATTCTACACAATGGTCTGCCATAAAAAAATAATGATCAATAAATAAAAAATACTGTGCAACGATACATTTAGTAATGATGATATCACACAATATCTCAGACAGATATTTCAACGTGAGAGGCACATTACCCATCTAGGTGAACTCTATATGCTTGGTCTCCACATGAAATACTCAGTGCAAGAGTCGTAGAAAGTGGTGAATGTGGGAAGAAGCTATCTGTTCGATACGATTGTAAATCTAACGTTCGTGATTTTTCTCTAGTGGTAATGGAGGCTAAGTAGATTGCAGCCCACTTAACCTTTCCAGGCTCTGATGAACGCGAAATCTGCCAAAACGCCAGCTTTTGTGGACAAAAAACTAGTATAGTAACAACCTCGTGGGTGATTATCAAGAAAACATCGAATTATTTACCAATGCCGAGGTTGCTAGAATGGCGGTCTTGCAAATCTCTTTATGAGCATTGGAGATCCTACTATACATCGCGATTTGATACCTAGCAACACTAACCAACACAGTATGATGACAGACCATTGGGGGAAGATGGATCAAGTAAATGCATGTAGAAGTAGCTAGATTTTACCACGGACTGCCAGCATTTCACTGGGGATGCACAGACGGGTCGGACTTGCCGAAGTCCACAATGAGCTACTTTTGTAGAATGAAAGCAAAATCATGAACACGAATTCCGAATCTGTTACGAATCTACTCCATATGAGGGATACCGAGTAAGTTGTTTGTTCTACTACGTGATTTATACTTTATATGTGCACTGTGGTTTTAGCGTGTATTCTCACCGAATTCTTTTTGGCGATTCGGTCAAGGGCTTGCTAATGAGAAGAAGAATGGAATGAGACGGGAAGTAAATGGAAGAATGAAATCCAAAACGTAAGCTCGACTATAAAGTGATTTATACCAAATTTATGACGATCTTTGTATCCTTCGAAAGGGGTGGAGACAACTGTGCACCCGCAGGCGAACGGGGATTGGCAGACATAGTGGCGACTTTACTGCTGCCAGCACAAATCCTTCGATTATTGCCCAGATAACAGTTGGTAAAGGTCACCGGTAACAGACCGAGCAGATAATGTCACTGAACGATGAGAACGAAGACAACCCAATTGACCATCATTCATTCTAATCATGTGGGAATCTTTACGACAACCCTGCACTGTCATCGTTCAAACCAAAAGCGAAAATAACCGTAGAGTATTTCAGTCACGGTTAAGTGGCAAGTATGGCGAACATTTATAGAACGCGTGCTAAAATGAGTATTCGTGAAGGGTGTTTGTCGATAAAAATTGTAAATGAAGTCGTAAAAATAAAACTAATTCTAACTTATTACTTACTGCCTACTCTTTTTAAGGGCAGAGTATACATTGTGAAATATAACTTCAATGATGCTGAGATATTTGATCTATCGATCTTTTGCCATCAGAACTAGCTGAGAGACAGGCGAAACGAAGGACCCGCGTGGTGTGGTGGTGAACGCGCTACTCCCAGGAAAGGACAATAGCGCGTTCGTTCCCCACCGCATACACCTGCAGTCCGGAGTTTTGAAAACTAATTCTATTAATTAAACTAACTAAAAACTAATTAGAATACAATGCCGAGGTTGATAAAAAGTCGATCTTTGGAGTAGTTCAAGCAACTCGACATCCAGCATCATCACCCAGCTCATGGTAAGCGTTCAACAAGCAGGGAAGTATGCTAAATACCACACCAAATAAATAGTAAAATAAACGAAATCTTTGCGATGTAAATGTTAACACTAACAAAGAGTAGTAACAATTAAGAGTACCAAAAGATCGGCTAGGGTTGATGTTGAAAATATTTAACATCTTAGCTGGCAACAAAACACTCAAAACAATGATAAAACTACTGGAAAGCTAACTTATGTGCAAAGATGCCGAGAAATTCCATAAATCATCCAAGGACGATTCGCTCTAGGACCATCGCGAAAGTGGTGTACACTATATTTTATCCTTAGCAAAATTCTATAGACATGGATTTATTGAGAAACTTGATTTAACCAAAGAGGACACAATTTCATGGACACCGCTTCACCGTTCATACAAGCAAAATGATCCGACTAGAATACAGATAAAAGACCTGCCAGTAACTAGCAGAAAAATTTTAGCGTTCCTATCAAACTAGACGAACATTTTATGGGATAACTGGATTCTGTATAGGAAGTGAACCACAGATCTCGTATGTATTTCATAGCACCACTAAATGATGCGCTGCGCACCCATGCATATGTAATGAAAACATTTTACTTTTTTTTATTTTTTGCTTACTACAATGCTCACGGCAAGATACTATGCGAAATACAACCACAACAATGCTGAGATATTTGCAAAACTCCGGACCGCAGGTGTCTGCGGTGGGGAGCGACAGCGCTATTACCCTTTCCGGGGGCTCACGTGTTCACCACCACAACTACAACTCAGCCTAACTGGGTTCAATGCCGATGTGAGCTCCCCAGATCAATCCCGTTGACAGGTGATTGCTGATGGCACTGATCGATAAGACTAGCTGAGAGACGGGCGAAATGAAGGATCCGCATGGTTAATAGCGCGTTCGTTCCCCACCGTAGACACCTGGGGAAACACGTTAGTTGGGAGTTTTGTTTTTAAATACAAAAATGCTCACTAGGAAACTCCATGTGGAAAATCGAGGAAGACTTCCGACACCTAATCTTTAGCACATAAAGCAAGCGAAGTAGATAGAAATAAACAGTAACCATAATTTAAATAAGAGGCAGTGGATGCCCAGTTACACCTCCCTTTCCCGAAACTCGCATGAAGTTAACTCACATCCTTAGAGTTATTATGTGTTTCTGTTTTCCATTCTTTACAAAGCAGTACTGTTAATGTGTAAAGGAATATGTCCGATTCCCCAACCTCAAACTTGAACGCGTTTAGCATCATTTTCTTTTTTCTTTCCTGTTTAAGACTTCTTCTATGCGTTAGCTACACAACATTTTAATGTTTATCTAATTCGCAGGTGAAACGTTTCAAATAATCTTCCAGCCAACAAATCGCTCAGCGTCACCACTGAAGACAAAGTCACAGTAATCACCGAGAGCATGCTAATGTATACACCAAAACCCTGTAGGTTCACCCAATTTCGATGTAGCATGTTTCATTGATGAGTTACACGAGGTTGTTACCAATCGTCCTCTTCAGAGCAGATGATCCAAATCGATGTTCACAGTCGTTCGGCTTTTCGATGCAGTGTCTTCGCCGTCGTATCGAGCCGAAGATTCGAGAGATGTTCCACTAAAAAAGGTTCAACTCGATACCATGACGAAGACACTACATCGAAAAGCCGAACGACTGTGGACATCGATTTGGATCATCTGTTCTGAGGAGGACGAAGACGTCGAGACGTTAGCCGAATATTGGTAACAACCTCGTGTTAGCTCAACAATGAAACAAGGCACATTGACCATTTATACCAGGGTTAGATGAAGGCCGGTCTACAATATTACAATTTCGATGATTTTCTATACAATATCTAATCAGTCAGGGGTTTTCGATCCTAATAATTCCTCAACTGTGACAGTCTCACACCTTACATTGCCACGAAAGAAACGATAAACAGCATTCATTTACTTCCATAGAAGAACACAATACAATACAACGCTAGCTGACGTTTCGGCAGTATCGCCTTCTTCAGAGCCTAGAAAGGTCAAGTTGACAGCAATCTACTTGGCCAGACGCCTCCATAACCAAACAAAGAAACTCTAAACCAAGATTTCAATCACATTGAACACAGCTTTGCACACTCACCGCTTTCTATGAGGTCTCCACTAAGTATGTCACGTAGAGACCAACCGCACAGAAATCACATGGAAGTATAATGTGCCCCACTCATCAAAATAGCAGTCTTATATACTGCCCTACATCACGCGTGATAATGAGGCATTCTTCCCTGCGGTTCATTTTCGGATTTCTGGAATTAATCCAGAGTGCCTCGAAAGTTTTACGCGCCTGTGTTCTTGATTCGCGTGCAAGGATCCTGACACATACTTCAAAGTCCTCCCCGTTATGCCTCTGGGTCCTATGCGTGCCTAGCGGAGTATTTGGTCTATGTTTGCCAGCTAGGTGTTCTTTTATGCGGACACAGAGGGGTCTGCCCGTTTCGCCAATGTATTCGTCACCGCACGTCTTACAGGAGATCAGATAAACTTTAACTTTAACTTTGAACTTTGATAACTTTGAAGTATGTGTCACGATCCTTGCACGCGAATCAAGAACACAGGCGCGAAAAACTCTCGAGGCACTCTGGATTAATTCCAGAAATCCGAAAATGAACCGCAGGGAAGAATGCCTCATTATCACGCGTGATGTAGGGCAGTATATAAGACTGCTATTTTGATGAGTGGGGCACATTATACTTCCATGTGATTTCTGTGCGGTTGGTCTCTACGTGACATACTTAATGGAGACCTCATAGAAAGCGGTGAGTGTGCAAAGCTGTGTTCAATGTGATTGAAATCTTGGTTTAGAGTTTCTTTGTTTGGTTATGGAGGCGTCTGGCCAAGTAGATTGCTGTCAACTTGACCTTTCCAGGCTCTGAGGAAGGCGAAATCCGCCGAAACGTCAGCTTATTCGTGAATAAAGAATAATAACACCTCGCGTTTGCTCAACAAAAATACGAAGAATTACTTGATCAATGCCGAGGTTAATAGAAAGTCGGTCGTGGGAGTTACTCAAAGTTAAAACACCCATTTCAACTACAGCTGCGGCTTAACTAGGTTGAACGACTTGTGCTTCCCATATCATTCTCGTTGCCAAATGATTGCTGAAAGCACCGCTAGAGCAAAAACTGACCAAGAGAAAGCGAAAGCAAGCGCCTCGGTTAGTTCATTTGATAACACGTAACCCCACGGAAAGAGTAATCACTGGTTCGAAGCGGAGTTGTGGTTTGCTAACATCTCAGCATCCTTATGATCGTATTTCACATAACATACTACCATGAAAAAATGACGAGCAGGAAGTAAAAGTTGAAGTATTGTGACAGTCTAGTTAACACCGTAACGTAGAAATGGACCAATCTCATTTCGTGGACGCTTGTTTTCTCTCATAACACATTCTTCTATACTCCGTGTCTGTTTGTACCGCAAATAGTGAGCTTCCAAAATCGGCGATGTAACTTATACTAATCGTCCGATTCTATACTGTGGAGCAAAAGTCGCAAAAGTTCCACCATGTTCTGTTTTTCGAATCGCAACCAACCTACCAAAGTCTGCACTGATACGAAGTTATACGTCCTCCCACGCGGCATTCAAGCAAAACTGGGCGCGGGACATTGTGTTTGAAAACATCCTTAGTTTCCGATATAGCAGCTATCTTCCACTTACAACACGAAGCTAAAGATGTTCTATCAAACATTAAATATCGTTCCGGATCAACAAAACTGATCACCCCCACCGTAATTTCTCTGGGGACATGAACCCCTAACACCATTTCTACCACGAGCTACGTAAATGCACAAGGAAGTAATCCGTGAAGATAAACTGGTAGACAGAAATAGCCGATATCAAAACTAAACTGGTAGGAAGGGCCATATGAAACTACTCGATAAGTCACCTGCTCATGCTCAATTCTACGTCAGTGACTTCTAGGAATTCCGGTTCCGAAGATTTGACAGCGACTCTGACAACATATATCTTCCTTACCAATAGCAATGTGCGACATTTACAATGTATAATTCGAGATCTTAAAAACCTACTGTCCATACGTCGCTGTTTTCTTGAAGTTTTTATTACAGTATTTATTTTAAAAAGCTAAAGCTTCAGCTAACGCTGTTACGTAACAGCCTCGCATGTGTTCATCAAGAAAACAGCGACGTTTTGGTCACTTCAAGGTTAGTAGAAAGTCGGTTTTGGGAACCCACTGTCAATTTGAATACCCAGAATCTTTGTCAAAAAAGTGCGACAAACACTACTGAGGTACCAGATAGCATCACTTATACTGCGCCTTCGGTAAATCTTAATGACAGAATGTTCAGAGGTCTAGAAGTCTAGGTGTAAAAGATAAAACTTATCACTAAGTTTATCTCGTGACGATCATGGCAAGACATATTGACAATAAATATTCCGCGCCATCACACTGACCACAACACTCGGACGCAACCACCGGAGACTGGCAGGCGGAGCGCTCGAATGGGAGATGATGTGAATGAGTGTGAGCTTAAACATAAGCGTAAAGGGAATGAGATACAACGGAAGTGAGAATGCGGCACAGGGATAAATCGATATATAACCATAAGCACGTAAGTGCGCCCGCAACATGTATCGATTGAACCAATCGACTGGTTAAAATGATTACGACTCGGTTTCGACAATGGATGAAAACGTAAAAATCGTGGGGAGACTGAGAACAGAAGTGTGACCGACATAATAAAAAGCAAAATGTTAGGAATGCTACGAATGAGAGCAACTTATGTGACAAAGAATATACGTGATAAGACCGAAGATCTTGTACTTACCGCAACCAATCAGACGAAATCATATGGGAAGAAGTACAATGATTTCAAAAAAAGTCTGGGAAAAAAATGACAACCAATTACCAATCCTGACACCACACATGTAGTACTCGCACAAACAATCAACAACGAGGCTCACGAGTGAATGACAAGAACTGGTATAATGTGAAAGAGAGAATAACAAAACACTTCAGGGCCAAAGGACACTGACGTAGCTGCGTTACGAACACTGAAACCTCCGAGACTTATATTTGCCCCGTTCATCCAATAAGAAGTGATTCCGTTAGCACCGTGTTCAGCTGTAGGTGGTCACTTCGTACACGGTTGCTTTCTTCTCGCCCGACCCTGTCACGATCAGCGAGTCATCGCTAGCGATATCACAGGACAGCACCGATGATGACTCTTTCGCTTGAAGTAATGAAGCACCATACGGAGTTCTCCATGCGTTTAAAACATTGTCCTAAAATAGTACAGAGTTTGGCCATTATCATAATTTTTTTCTTCGCAGCAAGTAGTTGACTATGGTAATTTAAATAACCAATTTAAATAGGATCTACAAGATAGGCACAATTCGTCCATGCTTAACACCAAATAAAAAACAACACTCTTTCAAATGACAATTAAAAAAGGACGTGGTGGTTGTACCTTTCCCGTTGAGACAAACCATCGACCAGAATGAGCGAATTTCAGGGATAGAACGCATGACTCATGTTGATGAAGTTGATATTTTTCAGCCCGAGTTGTGTTTAAAACCTTAAAGAAATGACATTAAGAGAACTATTTCACATACCCGACAAGAAGTGTAATAACATCAAAGCAGTTAGCACTATATGGTCCTCTATGAATGGAGGAAAACAGCTTAACGCTTCCATGTGGAAATACAGCTGAGAGTAAACCAACGCCCGGAATCACAACAGCTCTGGCAGAAACCTAGACACAAGGCGGCAAACGCCAGTAAAAATTACGATGGCTAGCAAATGCTCGAAGTGAACGTTAATTCTTGCTCTGGATCTATAACACCAGAACACTCGTCAAATGCCGACACCTATCTACACGCTGCACTGGAACCTGCAAGTCACATCAAACCTCATATAAACCCTCAATAGGAACTAAGAGGTGCTTGTCGAAGGAATCAAGAGTTATGCCAAATATACTACAGTTTTTCAGCGAATGAGTTCGAACCACATTTTCACTATCACGAAGAAATTGCTTGAGAACAGAAGAAAAGACCTAATTGCAATTCCAAACAGCTGCGCTAGTAGGCGGAAAAACGCAGGAAGGAATAGTGAGCGGCTTTAAAAAACCATTTCAAGATAGGACTGACGACGAAAAAGTTTTCCAACAGTCCACCTTCCACGGTCCTTCTTCTAGGCTCAAAATCCCTGACAAAAAAAAACATCCCGGATTGCTCCCGATGAAATCGGATTTGCGAATAAATGCAAGAACACGAGCAAAACACCAGTGCCACATAAAGTTACAGCCAATTTTATCCGACAACTTACACTGAAAAGGAAAAGATTTCAAAACAGTCGCCCACGATCATCCTGTCCATGGATGGTGAGGAAAACGGTTTTTGTAACTACTTTCCGATTTGCTTGTTTGGACCGCATTACAAATATTCACGATGAGATTCATATCGTGCATATCAATCACTTTCGATAAGGTTAAACTAAAGGCTTTTTAGCGTAATCGTCGACATAGCCCTCTATCCAAGCAGTTCTCCGGCGGGGAAAATCCATAGTGAACTCAATGAGCAAGTAAAAAATTGAACTGCAAATGAAATTTTAAAAACACAATTCGTGAATGATACCTACAGTTAGGTATACCACACCGTAAGTATACCTGGGATGTTCTATCATCATGGATAATGCCTAAAAAAACACAGGAAAACAAAACGAGCAGCAGGGGAAGTTCTTGCAGCTATGTGCTGCGCAGCAGAAACGACAGCTGATACTTCAGCATTACCGAAGAGACTGTGCGCAGTACACACGGTAATGTGATGATGTCTTACGGAATGAATATATCTCAACAAACAAACACCGACAAACCAGAAATATAAGGTGAGAGGAATACAACAAGTAGACAAAACGAAAAGTGCAAAGCTTGAGAGAATCATAACCATCGCGAAGGAGACTGCTAGAAGGATTGGCCTACCACTATTGGAATCAACTTTAAATTCTCACGCGGCAACTAAAGAGAACCATGCGAATACGCCCACCTCTACGAATGACGGTTGTAAAGCAATGAAACGAATAAACGAAGTTCTGGCACCTGCACGACACGTAGACGGATCATGCAAGTATCTAAGCGAATTAGTGTATGTTTAAGAATATTTTTGTTTGCTCCAATTTCGCCGCTCTAACTGCACAGAAGTTAAGGAGCATTGAAGCAAATACTATTCCGTCAGCAGATGTAGGGTAGAAAATGGACCAGGTATTTTATCGACGTCTATACTTTTCTACCACGATATATTCGTCACTGCACTGGGAAATGAATTATCCCAATTTGGTCTAAAAACCATTTGGACAAGTGGTAAATTCCCACCAATATTTAAAATTGAAGACCACCCGTTCATGGAATTCCAGTGAATCAGCGTCAATGTTCGAGCTCAACGATGCGAGAAAAAGCGCAAGATACGCATAAAACATAGAGAGACCCAATTCTTAAAAAACTCATTATGCAAAGACTCATCCACATTACCAAATTCAGAACAGACTACGATTACGAACAACAACTGCGACGAAAGGAAAAAAATCGCCTTGTAACCCGTACTAGTGTGTTGTCCAACTTTCTTCATACGAATAACACAAACCTCAACGTTGTTATTCTCCATACCTACAGCAACCCAATCGTCTGTGGGACAACATCCAAGACTGAAGATCTGGCTAGGAAAATCGAATTGCTAAAATATTGCCAAATAATTACTAAAGGATGCACAAAGCAACAATTACTTAGTTGTCTTACGTAAATAAAACACGAACAATTGATTTTCATTGATTTTCAGTCTGCAGGTTTAGAACATACACTTAGCTGTCGTCGTTCCCTAAGATCCCAAGTCCGTACGGTATTATCAAGCCCACCAGTCCACAATTTACTACCATCCGAAGATAAATCAATACACGAAGCACCCTCTTGATGACCTGGTAGAGAAGTGACCTGTAACATAAGCATTCTAAGTAACGTCCTCATTAGAAAAAAAAAGTAGTGGATACAGATAATGTTGAAATAAAAACAAAAACAACGAAGACAATAAATATGTGACACCTTGGTTTTTGATTCGACATCCCACACCACAATATTTCCGTCAGCGCAGCACGCAAATAACAATTTGTGATCATGCGACAAGGCCAGCGCATAGCACGCCTGTGACTCGCTGTCCAGTTCGCTACGAATAGTGGCGGTCTGAAAGTCGCACTTATTCAGACTTATATTGGATGGTCCCATACAAAATAGAAAACCTAGTTAACGAGCGCTTGCTTGCAATAGATGGTGCAAAGGATGGCCTTGAAACTGACTCGCTGATGGCCCTCTCACATTAATCATTACGTGTAATTCGAAAGATTTTCTAAAAGTGGCAGCGGCGCGGGAATTCGTTAGAGAAACTACTATTGTCCTCGCAGTGCTCAATATACGGTCATAATCGGAAAGACAACAAAAAAGGAGAGAAAACTATCGGTTGACTACGCGGTCACAGAACCTTTCGATCTGAAAACTTTCACCAATAAAACGATAATGAAGGTCGACCTTGTCTAAGATAATGAACAAAGGATACACAAAGCTTCAAAGATGGTGGCAGGACTGTCAGCGAAAACGAAATAAAATACCAACGAATAGCACAAGAAATATAAGATACAAAATGCAGAATACACATACCAACGAAATCTGATATGAAAAACAATCACGGATGACATACCTGTAAATCCCAGATGGTGATAATGTTAGCTTCACCACCGACTATAAGGTTCGAGCTATCAGCTGATAATTTGCAAGATCGAATATAATTTCCTTGGAGGCATTCTAATGTAGAAAGTGGTGTTCGTAAACTCTCTTGCGTGCGAGTAATATCCCATATCTGGAAAAAAGAAGATTCATACATAAGAGAAATCCTAGAATAGAAAACAAACCTTCACGCATCCCTTCCCTCCTGTGTACACACTCCTGTTATCCTTAGCTATGGTGACTGCACACACAACCTTAAATCAGTACAGTTTGCACATACAACATATTGATCAAAAAAGGATAAAACTACAAATTCCCAAAAGCTAGTTAAACTAATTGATCTCGCAACCTCTTCTATTTATTATCTTTACATTCAAATAACTTTTATAAGAATTCAAATACTGATCGAACTTAAAAAGAACATTATAACACTCAAAAAGCTGGGATTTACCTTGCTTATACAATATTTCATTAAGTATCCTCACATCACTGAGAAAATAATGAAGTTACGAACATTATGGCTTTCATTATATCACCTTTCGATGGATAGATTTGGCTTAAACCTAAACAGGATTACAACCACAACAATGCTGAGATATTTGCAAAACATGGACCCCTGATTAGATCGAACTACAACTAATCTTCGTGGGGTTCGAGTATTACCCGCTGACGCGTGATTGCTGATGGCAGCGTTAGATAGAAAATTAGCTGAGAGAAACGCAAAGCAAAGGCCTCGGTGGTATAGTGTATAATGTGCCAGCTCCCCCGAAAAGGGCAATCGTGGTTCGGTCCGACCCGGGAACCAAGTTTTGCGAATATCTCAGGATCATTGTGGTTGTACCTCACATCATACCCAACTGTGAAAAAATATGGTAGGCAGCAAATAAAAGGTTGACATAAACAGGATTTTCAATCGTCACGCAAATATCCAGAAAAAAACACCAAAACTAACTTGGATAAATGAAACAATTCGACAAAATTAAATGGATTTCCGACGCTCCAAAACAGTTACTCAATTTGAAATTTATGATCGAAATTAGCATAGACGGGCGACTGACAGAGAAACCTCGTTTATCTCGTAATATAAAAATGAGCGGCAGTTATAATTTCAATGATAGAAATGATTTCCTAGTTTGCTCTGTTTTCACTTGTCAAAAAAAAAATGTTACCCAACACTACCTCTCCATGTGGTAACTCGAACTTTCGCGTTACACTCTTTGGTATTCCTGGTGCGTTGAAGGCATCATTAGGGAAGACAGTTGGTTGCAACACACCACCATCCACGGTGCGAAACGAGTAAGCGGGCTTTCCATTTAAAAGACCTCCAGAAGGGCCTCCTATACCCATGCCAGCAGCCATCCGCGCCTTTAACATGCAATTTCTGCATTTGAATTAAGATAAAGAAGTCATTTATGCAGACACTGTCTTGCAGGAAGACAAAAGCGCAAGTAAAACTCACCTGCGCATGCTGATCGAATATAGGAGGAAGTCCACCTCGACTGAACGCAGCAGCAAGAGGATTCATATTCATACCTAGGTTGCCTAAAAATTTGACATAAATCAATGGTACGAACAGTAATAAATGGAGCAATTCTAGTTCGTACCGAACATTCCGCCAGGAATGCCCATCTGTTCCAAAGGATTTCGAGGCTTTGGTCCAGGTGTGCTAGCGCCGCTTGACGCTACACTATTAGTGGAATCACGTCCATCCGTCTTTGGAGCCTTGAAAAAGTGTGTGTATAAATGCAGAAAATTCTAAGTTGAAATCAAAAAAGATACATAGCCTCGCCTTCATAGATGATGGAGGAGCGCTACTGGTACCATTAGAATGCCCTGCTCCACCAATATCATCATTTTGTACATCGATTTCCAACTCTCCTTCTCCGTCAGCATCGTCCTCAATTTTCATTCGCTTTGATGTTGAACCGTTTGGAGAAATAGATCGAGGACGAGAGCTGAAGGCATGATTTGATCGAGAAGAGAAAATCAGACTAGATCTTCGCAAAAATCGCGATTAACACGCATTAAGTATCACGATATGTTTTATTTCCTCACCAGTTTTCATCTGACAAGAACACTGATTGGATAGAATTGCAGCACTTTTCTGCTATTTCTTACCTATTTCTCAGTTCAATTTTCGGCACTATCTCGCATCTATATTTAAATTAGGCAAAATTTGTTGAAATACTGAACTATCAAGTAAGGCTATTTCTAGTAGCTCTCTGGAAGTTACCAAATAACCTCTACCATCGTAGCGCTATAACGACTCAAACTGAGCTCTACTACTAACATCTACAATTTGCACGGGCAATGAAATAAATCCGAACAAAAAAAAAAGACCTAGATTGTCTGCTGGGTTGGTCATGCCGATCGGAGTGAGATGTGGCGGCTTCGGGTACACGATGTGCTGCTCCCATTGCTGCCGCTGCAAGCGCTTGCTGGAACCCTACGGGTGGCATTCCCAAGGCTCCCGGCAGTCCTGCCATCGCTGGCATCATTGCAGCCATTTGTTGAGAATGTGTGTTTGATTGCATTAACTGTCCGACTTCTTGTGTTGATATCTGTAAAGAAAAATCCATGTGAGAAAAATCCACTACACTAATCATAGAAGAATTATTAAAGTGGTTCCTTAACGGTTTACCGCTCCCATGGGGTGGTCCTGCTGCGTGTTGAAATTCAAGCACAACATTCCCACATTGTAGCCACCAATGATCGACATTTCTCTCCGAAAGCAAACTCAGATAAGCGCAAACATACACCACCGCCTTTATGGTAGTATTACCTACTCACACTCCATCAGAAATGTTGGGACTCCACGGACAAAACTTTCCCAAACAGAAAACTGTCAAAATAAATATGTCCTTCTGTTAGCTTTGTGAAGACGAACCACTCAAGTTACAATTGATAAGAGGATATGAAAAGTAATACTGAAAGCAAGGAAAGAACCTGCTTTGCACGCTCCATTGCTGTGACCGCTTGTTGCGCATGTTCTGGCGGTAGGAAGGGAAGAAGCTAAATAATGAGGATTGCGCAATTTACTGAGTAGATAACAAATTCGAAGTTAAACCTTCCACAGCTTCAATTAGTAACCTTTCGAAGAACACTCAATACCAACATTGGAAGAAATAAACCTGTGTAATTATCGCTGTATATCGTTTGCAAAGTTCATTCTGCTTCTGAATCTCCATGTTCATTCCACATTGAAATTCGTAGTATAGCATGTAGTGTCGCTGCATATTCTCCTTCTCCGCATTCAGCTTTTCCAGCTCATTCTGAACAACACAGAAAGTCAAAAACAACAAGCAATTTAGCTTCTCGGATGACAGAAAATACTGCATAAGCACTTACTCGCTGCTGCTGGAGCTGATTGTGCATGAAGGTGAATTCCTCCTTTAACCGATCAATGTGCTCCATAAAAGAGGAGACCTTCATTGGCTGCACACCTAACCCTGCTGTTATCTGCCAAGAAGTGATACTGGTCACACAAAATGAAGGTTTGAAGAAGAAAAAGCGTTCAGGTATCAGGACTAGCAGTGAATAAGGTAGAGTAAAAAACTGTTACGGCTTAATAAAACAGGCTTAATTAACCTATTTGGTAGGTACAACCCTTAGTGTCTATGAAGCAAACAAACGACGCTGATTGAAAATGAGGATCAACGAGGACTATAGTGGCTTGAGTTGTAACAGTGTGGAACCTGGCGCTGATAGACCGAGTGAATCACTTTTAATGGAACTCAATGGACCAATGGCATGCAACATAACACTAAGAAAGAACTGAAAAACCGTATAAAAACCGTATAGAAAGCACTGAAACTTTTCTTCGAGATCATAGAGTTAGGCAAAGAAGGTCTCCCACAGTGAACATATTCAAACTTGAGACCACTTATGATTTAAAGCACTATGAAAATGAAGAAGGAAAGAAGGACAGACACACATGTACATACAACCTAGTCTGCTTGGAAATTATGAAGTCGAGAAAAAAATGATCTATCAAGGGGATTTGAATTATACAAGAGAAAAAACATGTTTTTAATGAAAAGATGCCCAAAAAACAAGTAATGCGGTCAAAGAATAAACATGACGGGAGAGAGAAGTGTGCACGCACTCGTGATGTTCTTTGGAACCTTCTACAGTGCCCAGTACCGGTTAGTAAAAACATCATAGGCCAAATTCTACTTTCGAACGTGAAGAACCATGTATCTCCATGACTGAAATCATAATAAATAATGTCTCCTCTACATTATTATACATTACTATTATTAGAGCGCGTGTGGGACAGTGGTTGGAGGCGCACTGCAACATACATGTAGAATCGATCCTCGGGCACATGGCCCACCGAGCCTTCCATCACTCCAGTGTCGGCAAATTGGTACCAGACTTGTCCGCGAGGATAGCAGCACTGACTCGATACGTTGGTAGGCCACCGTTAGTCATTGTAAAGCCCAGATATGCATTCAATCACTGCCGACGACGCTTAATGCAGTCGAATGCATGGCGAATCCCTCAGAGATTGATCAACGCAGAAAGCTTTAGCTTCTTTAAGCTTTTATTCTTCCTATTATTATTTTCCCTAGAGGAGATTATGGTTATATTAATGCTTATCGACCTCGTGTAGGCCTTATCAAAGAAAGGATACATATTGATTGCCTCCTCTGTTGAGGGAAAAAAGAGTGACAATTCCGTTACGAAATTCTGTTAAAGAAAGATTTGCTATGACGAGCCTATAAAGAGTTGTGAATTAGTCTATTTCGAAGAAAATTCATTCTTGAACCATTTATAACTCAATTAGCAGTACTTCAACTGGACTCTGGGATGTGTTTCTTAACGCAGAATAACCAGCGACATAACCAAAAACATCTGTAGGACTAATAGCATAATAAGTATAAAGGACAAAGCTCTCGGCGTTGATCAATCCCTGAGAGATACGCCATGCATTCGGCTTCATTAAGTGTCGTTGGAGGTGATTGAATGCATATCTGGGCTTTACAATGACTTGCGGTGGCCTACCGATGTATCCAGCCAGTGCTGCTATCCTCTCAGACACAAGTCTGATACCAATTTGCCGACCCCAGAAGGATGGAAGGCTTGATGGGCCATGGCATGGGGATCGATTCCACCTGTGCGTTGCAGGGTGCCTCCAACCACTGCGCCACACAAGCCCCAGTACCATAATAACCAAACATATTTGTACTGTGGTAAAATGACAGCCTAAGCCAAAACGAACTGAAGACTTTGTGTGTGTCCAAGAAGAAAAACCACTAATTTATTACACGCGACTGGACGAAGATACCAATAAAAGCATTTTTCAGAGATTCCGCTTTGCTGGCAAGTGCGAAAACACTGATACATTTAGTACGAGTAGTACTAAGGTGGAATAACGCCAGTTCTGAAATGAAAGTGACAGACGACTTTGTTTTTTCTGCGTAATTTTGTTTGTAAACTGATTAGTAGTACTAGACTAGTTCTACAATCATAGTTCTGTACACTTCGCACTTATGTAATCAAATTCTAAGCCAAACATGTAGAAAGTAAACAGCGCATTTTTGTGCAGACATTTTTTGTGCAGACTATCCCAAACTGAGAGGGAGGGACAAAACTTCACGATGGAGCGCGTTACTCGACACTCAACCTTAAGATTCTAGGCAACATTTTCGTATCCAATCACGTGAATCCACTAAAACCATATTTAATACGAAATAAGCTATTAGTTGGACGACGAATCGAATTATAGGACATTTTCGTAGCTACCTTATGGGGCCAATTCATAATCATTTCGGCAAGAAAATATCAGTAGCACACAGTGTTCGGTCTTAATATATCCCTTAGAGGTGCGCCATGGATTTGTTTTCTTAAGCACCGTCGAGATGACTACACTTAGCAGAAATGGAAGGAGGGAGTTTTTTAGCCACAGTGGTCTGGTCTGATAGGACAAGCCCCAGTGTGCACCGCAGAGCACCACTAAGCACTGCGCTACATTCTCCAAAAGTTCTACTAACAATGACAACTCACGAAATTTTCAAAACATTCAGAAAACGCCACGGAATATAGTTTTCAAATCATCCAAGCATCTAAAATCATCTAGTCAAATCCAAATGCCTAATGGATCAGAAATGACCTTCACATGACAGGTTGTCGACTTCAGAAGTAAAACGACACCAAATGAAAACCGATTAGTACAACAGCTTACATTTAGTTTTAGGAACTAAGAGCCTAGAGAAATTGTCGTGCACTTGTAAGCCTTTTCTAATCCCACTCTATTAAAGTGAAATTTTAGTTTTTTGGAGCCCGTTAAACATGCTTTCTTCCTCAGTTCTCCTTTTTGCACTAAGGCTTTTATTCTAATGATGGATGGGATTTCGCCCTGAACGACAAAACGCCTCCCCAGTGTTTGTAAGTGATGACGGTTGTCGGTTGTGTTTAGAATTTTGAAGATTTAAATTCTCTTAAAGGTTCGTCGAATTTTAACTCTACACATATTCAGGACGAAGAGCAAATTCTGAGAAGAAAATTACACATGTGCTTGACATAATACAGAAAACTTTCTTCCATAGAGCCATGAACTTCTCAACTTCTCCGATACTCCAGTGATCGAGAAACTCCGTTAGTTGTCGACTGACAGGCATCGGCTGTTAGATGTTCACCAACAACAATTGATACCTAGGCTTATGACAGCGTATTTCTATATAGATTTAACGACTCTAACATCTTAAAAACACCTAATTCCAAGGCCACTTCTGATTACTGTCCGCCTATAATTGTTGGAGACCTTATAACTAAGCCTCACAAAGCAGCTAAGACGACAATCTAGGCACCATGTGTGCGCAATTGGGCTAGCACAATTTACGGGACATTTCAGGATGAATAGACCTGAGATGTGGTTGAGGATGTTAAACAATGTTTGAAGATGCGTTACGAAATAGGACTAAAAATGAAAGAAAGCAGCAGCAGCAGCATTGAGTGAATGTGCGAAGACCATGAGTCGCTGAATGGACTGGATGTCAAAGAAGAAACAAAAGACCAAGAAAAAGAACGGAGAAGAGAAAGAGAGAGAGAGAGGAATATTGACAGAGGTTGAGAAAAGGAGATGGACCAGTATTCGAAGAGGAGGGAGAGAGGTGGGAGGAGAATTGACTGGGAGGTGCGTTGTTGTTGCGTATGACACGCATAATAGACACGGCGTGACTGGGCGGATTGATTCCGGTCGCGGGCGCCGACGTCTTCGCCGCTGCTCAGAGAAGTACCGAATTACTCCCGTGCACACACACACACACGCACACACGTACGCGCCCTCTCTCCCATACCGCACATGCTGGAATCGATCCCGCCTTCTGCTCTCGTCCTCCCAGGCGCTGACGGTTCGTCCACTCCGCTCAGCCGCCATACACCAGGCTGTTCGCCTCGTACTTAAGCGTGTACGACAAGCAGCCACAAATACTACAATTCTCACACATTCGCGCTCAGAAGGCATGTACACCTAGTCATCCCCTATTACGTGGTTTCTGAAGCACATGTTGGGGTCAGCTCAACAGGGGCAGTTCGTAGGAACTATATGTTGGAGTTGTTTTCCCATTCACCCACAACACTTGCATTGCGAGTAAGTCGTAAGTCAATATTGAAACAATTCGGAAGGACTGCATCGACTAGAGATAGCACCTAGTTTTGTTAAGTAGATCACATGAAAACTTTTTAGACACGCCAGTCCCTCACGTTTACTGCTGTCAGTACTGAACACTTTTCAAGTGTAAAGAGCAGAATGTCAGGAAGAGTCGTCAGTATGGATTGAAGAGGAACCGGGCGGAAGTCTACGGTTGCTCTCGCCCGTATTGGGCAAACAGTGCAACTTCGTTCGAGTGCACGCTAATGGCGACGATTGATATGAGGGTGGTTACCTCAACTGCTAATTAACCACGTATTAAACAATGAGGGATTTCAAGTTCCACATTATACACAAAATACAGAATACATTGTTCTTCATATAACTCCGAACATAAGATAGAACTAATTAATATCCAACAAACATTCCAAATTCACAGAGGAAAAAAGTCCACTTCACCCAGCAATTAAACTCCTGGCGCAAAATAGGCCAATAAGAAGCAAGTAATTACAAGTTGACGAAATAAACTGAACAATATTCGAAACAAACAGATTGGCAACCACGAGATCAATTCCTGACATGAATAGGAAGTAGAAGATATGGACAGAAATCGATCGAATTCACTGGATAACTGGGTATGATTGCCCACTGATGACACTCACCCTCCGTGTTTCTCTGCCTGCCTCCGCCTGTCGCTCTCTGCGTCGCCCTGCCGCACGTCCCGGCTCTCCGCTTCTCGTCGCCTCTCACGCGCGGCGGCCAGCCGGAGTGCGCGCGTTCGCGAACCGCAGAGCCGCAGACGAGTAGCGGACGCCGCGCGCGGAGGGCAGGAGGGCGTGTGCGCGGGGGCGACGCGCGCGCGCAGCTAGCGTCGCGCACGACGGCGGGCCGACGCCTGCGACGGCGAGCCTTTGTTCCAGCGCTCGAAGAAACTTTCGATGTGGTAGACAGCGACCGCTGCAAGAAGAGAATTGCTGTAGAACGGACGACCGCTGGCGAATGTGCAAGTGGGCTTGCGTTCACGTGCTCTGTCTTCATCGCTACTTCTACCACACTACGCTACGATGTTTAAACGAAAGTCAATGAAGTCACTACTAGACGATGAGACAGCACTTCCCTGCCCTCAGCACTGGTAGGACACGGACACTGTCGTGAAAACCAATGCCCGTGTGCCCACAAGATTGTGGGAAAAGATTTGTGGGTAGAGTGATTTGCCACTTACACGGAATTTGCATGTCTTGGAAGCTCTCAACGTCCTCGACAAGCAGTGCCACCATAGCGTGTGTTGACGAATCGCCACCTACGTCAGCGACCGAAGTGACCGAGTCCACCAGAGACGAACAGCACTCGGCATGTGAGGAGGCCGTAATCACACGAATTCTACCTCGTGTTTGCCACATCTCACACATCCTGATGGCAGGACGTGCGTCGGCACACACATTCTGAAACAAACGACGGACAGAATAGTCCACAATCCCACTGTGATTAAGTGCTCGTTGAGCTATTCGGCAAACCTTGTTTGCGTCCAATTTTCGAAGAACAAACGAAGGTATTACGGCAATGAGAGATGTGGAATTGACGAGAGGACAAACGGTTTTCAGTCGTTGAATTAGCACGTCGTAATCCAGGACAATGTATACGGGCATCCATTGTGAATTCACTGCCTGAACGATTTATTTCGAGTTTTCCACTACAACATGACTTGAATCGTGTCTGCTTCTTCTTAATACAATAGAAAGCCTTCGATTAGGCCTTTACAGAAGGGTGCTATACCATATGATGGTCGTCACAGAACGGACACCTGCCCATCTAACTCACTAAAGAACTGCAGAAATCTAAGTACTCGTCAAGTTTCCACTACTCCATCAACTATTGTGTTCCAAAATTAACAACACATAACTAATCTCACGTTATACCTCTCGTCAGAGATTCGGCCTTCATTACTACTCGAACGATTGGAGGGAATAATACTTTGTGTTGTGACCAAATACTACCATGCGTTGACAGCAATACTAAGAATTGGAGCTCTTTCTACATACACCCTTTCCGCACTTGAAAATATGTTCATTGTACAACCATCCAATAAAAACCCCTATCGCGCATGGGCCGCCCTTGCGTTGACAAGAACACCCTGGAGTAAACGGAAGCATGACCTTTTAAAACTGGTGATTAAGACACCTGACTCACACTCTTCGTAGGCATTCTCACCAAAGACTGTGGACATAAAAGGGAACATAAGTGTGTCGGCCGAAGAACGCTAAACAAAAAATGCGCACAAGATTTCTACCTGGTTTTCACATCAAAAGATATAAAGAGTACGCACTAAATAACTATATTCGCTATTATATGAACTATAGTCGAAATATACTGGGGAAAGGATTGGACATGAAATCGACTGGGATGAGAAAGGCAATATATACTGATGGAAAATTCTTACGAAATCTTCGTTCCGCCGACGACATCGTCTCCTTTTAAAGAAGCACCAATGAAGCAAATAAGATGCTCAGTGAACTCTACGTGTACCTTGGACCTTCAACCAACATAGAGAACAACATAAAGAAGGAATCAGACAAAAGAAAAAGAGCAGCTTGGATCGCATTTGAGTCTTTTAAAGGTGCTGCCGACCAACTAAAAGACCTGGGAATCCGCGCTCGCCTTTTTGAAAGAACACTTCCCCCAACGCTCTATTATGCAGCAGAAACGTGGAGTGATTCGTAAACAAAGCCAAACAGCTGTACTCGCAGCTGCAGTTGTTTTGCAGATCACGGTATGAGACTCGCACCCGCCACCATGCTCGAATCAAACCACCACCATGGACGATAACTGCAAGGCAAAAAAAACGAGTGAAAAATCTACTAGGGTCCTCACAACTCGTCAAGATGGGCCATCTAAGTATTCGAATAAATACAATACTTGAAGCAGCACATCATAACCCACACAGTGATGGCCACGAGCGCGCTTTCGTCGCCGTTGTGGCATCGTTGCGAACGCTTGTGCTCAGATGTCTACACATGCTTTCTTTTAAGTAGCTTCATTCAGTGGATGTGCGCTGCACATCACACACACCCACCGACGGTCGTCATACGAACGCCTGTGCTAAGATCCGCACCCGCAAAAACCGGGGACAAGGCTGTTTCGTGCATGTGAGATATGGTGTGCGGCGATTTATGGCGTACGATATGTAGCGCTCTCGGGGAGAATGGCGTAATTGCGCGTCCGTGCGACCTCGATTAGCGGGCGCTATGTAAATGAGGCGCGGCGGCCCTAATCGGCGGCAAGTGTGACATGCACTCAATGCACACCTCCGAGCCGACTGCGCTGCACTCATCGGCCGTCGGCCCAAAAGAAGTTAGCAAGCGATCCGAACAGCACTTTGCCATCGCGGTAACTGGTGCATACATCGTTTTCAATATGCGGAAAAGGCCACACTTAAAAGCGGCCTCACATGAGGCTGAACAACACATGCAGTGCGCACACCAGATTCGGACGCCATCAAATTCCTATGGTTCGAATACCTACCTCCAGGAAAGTACGGTGAGATTAAAGAAAAAACAGCAAAACCTGGGCAGAAAGTGGAAACTGTATTCGAAGCGACAACTCATGATACCATATTCTCAAGCTGGAACTCAAGGCAGGCACGTTTATTTCTTGTTAAGAAGCCCAGTCGGTGCTGGCTGAAATATTTTGTCATACTTATTTTAGAAAGGCTTGGACAGCCCATGCCGTTTAACACCAACCAACTGCTACTTTTCTTATTTAAAGCACTCTACTTAGCCTTCTCTCCGTGTTTGTTTATGATAATTACACCAACACGTTTCACGACGAAGCTACTTTTCCGATGACTGCTAAAGTTGATAATTTTTTTATACGATTTTTCCATACGTCTACAGTGTGGATCCCAGCACTTCTCACATTCAATTCGTTTCCTTGCATCCACCAAGGTCTTCCAACTTCTACGTGTGGCTTCGGCTGCTGCTTGAGGATTCTTCTTTCATTTTGAACGTCACTGAATGCTTATCGAGTCGATTTCCCTTGGAGTCCCACGATAGCCGGTTTCGAGAGTTTCCACTCAGATTACAGAGAGTGATTTTTTCCCGGACAAGATCAATGCCAACTTCGCAACCCCGGAATGATAAGAGTTTCTGAGTTCGGAGCGGGATCGAACCAGCACCGTGCTCATAATGATCGGCATCGCTCCCCCTGTGCTATCCACTCCCTTTTTCAATAACTAGGGGAATCAGTGTGTTGAGAACTGGAAAGGCATTTAGAAGAGGTCTTACCCTATCGCTCTGAAGGCCCCATGTTTTTTTCTAAAAAAATTCGTAGCAGTTTTTCTATGCTTAGAAAAAATAAAACTGCCAAGGACACATATATTTCCAAATAAAAAATGGAAATGAGATTTGATTTTTTCTCTTGCCGCACTGTAATGGCTGGACCTCATCCGGAAGTCATCCAAGACACACCAACGCTTATCAATGAGCGGTGACAAAAATTATCTATGCGGAGGTTAAACGAAAGTTGGTGAAAGTGTTTGCTCAGAGCTGAACGAGGCAATAATCTCTGCACGCGTATGCACTGAGATCAACGCATATCGTCGTGAATGTGCTGAACAGCGATACTGCCAAAGCCCTTGCTGCTAATACGGAAAAACGCTGAATTTCTGACCCATATTTGCATTCAAGGCACGGGGTGTGCACAGTCAGAATAAGAGATCCGATTCGAAGTAGTACTGTGCGGCAGTTGTCCCAGTTAATACATAAACCGAACACGTAAAAGTATTAACAGCCAATTTCAGGTCGTTCATGAACTACGGGAACACCCTTCCAAAACGTGCTGCAGTGTTTTCTCCATTCTGTGACGACAAACTCTTCCTTCAAAAAAGCAGCACGGAGGGAAAATTACCAAAACTAAAAGTACCATGAAGGTGACTAGTTTATTCAGAAATCCCTTCATTCTGAAGGCTTCGGTCTCAAAGTTTGGAACAATCGAAGTCCAACGAAAAGTTGCCTAAAGATAAATACTGCATTAAAAAACGCTGTTGGGTTCAGAAAACTATAAGGACGTAGTAATCAATACGCGAATCATAACATGGCGTCGTCGTGTTGTTCACAAAAGATCCTTGTTTTCGTTGGAAATAAAGCCGGAAATTTAAATGAATGGATTCTCGAATCCATCACAAATTGGAACTTGTTTAATCCTCCGTCTGAATTTTGAAATGCTATCAATATCAGAGCGAAGCTGCACGAGTCATAGGCATAGGAGAGGCATAAGCAACCACTATACCACAAAGTAGCTTGCAAATGTTTGCAGAGATAACACAGAGCGGGGTCTTGAAAAGAAAAGAGCAGATGCAAGTGAACGAAGTTGCGAAGGTTTGTAAGAAAATCCGCAGAGCCCATTGAAACTTCACCAAGCGTAATTCCAAGATGACCGTTCTCTAGCATCAAAACAGAACAGTCACGGTATCCAGGAGATCAGAAGATAATCTGCCACGTTCATTCTGGTCTTTCTGACAGCTGCATTGATCTGCCTCCATTTAACATCATTACAGATCGATGTAACGTCCACGAGGTGCGCACTTTCGAATTCCGAAAAGGTGAAGATTTGCAGAGCACCAGAATGTGACAGATCAAAAGAAATCTAAAAATTATCTTTAAAGAAACACTGTTAGTGCTCATCAATACGTTAGCCCGGCTTTCCACACGCTATTTGTCAAATGCAAGGCTCCCAATTAATGGGAACTAGCGACAGCGTATTGCTTCAAAACGAAAATAAGAATGAAGGCCTATATTATATGCGGGACTACTGCTCAATAAGCCTGCTGCATGCAGTCTGTAAGCTCATTACCTAGATTATCCTCAACAGTGGTAGCCATATAAAGTCAGGTTAGGAAAAGTTCAACATGACGAGAAAGTATTGCTGAAGCTTTAGACGCCACTAAGTCTCACATTCATTGACTTTCTGGCGTAAGATTGAATGCAGACAGAAGCAGTCATAGTGTCTTGAATAGAAAACGCATGGAGACTCTGTAGGCACCAGCTTGAGCAGAGGACCATCAGAGGTACTTGTGACAGAGATGGTACTTTCAATGCGTACCTCTCTTCGAACGTTTTCTGTGTGCAACTGTGCCATCTTTCGCTGTAGTTCTACAGTTTCTGCAGTTAAACCTCTTCTGCGAAAATATCCGGCGTATTCGATAGGAGATGTTTCAATAGCACAAAGCCTGAAGGCCCAGTGAGATGCTTGCCGAATAGCACGAGAGTTACTGAAATGGTCATCGTATTAGGGTCTTCCGGCATGACAAATCTTAAAACTATATGATACAACCGGTTTGTAGTGTTACACTTTTATTCACAGTTGGTAACTCACTCTGTTACACTTGCTCCATAAAGAAGCCAGTGGATCTCTTCATTAGCGTCCTCAGCCGTACATAAAGCCTTTGAAGATCGATTAAGTTGATGAATTAGTTTATCGACGAAGGAATAGAAAACCTGAAGCGACTATGATCTGATGATTGGTTTATCGTGTGTATCATAATTCACTTAGTCACGTAAGCTCGACGTCAGACTTTTTCTTACATATGAGCTTTCCCTTCTCATTACAGTTCAATCCATAGGAATACAACTCCTTGTGCTACTTAATATCAGTGTTTCTACTATTCATACAAACGCTCGTTTCTCCAACAACACAACACCCAGTGGGTAACGAGTGCAATGAATCTGATATGAAGATAATGATCACTTTCAGCTTTCAACTACCAAATGTTAGCTCACATTGAACTTTAAATTGGAATGAAAACCTTTAGAATATACAAATTTTTGGCTGTAATACGCTGACTCTCCTATTCTACCAGATGAAGGTTTGATTTTGTGGAGCAAACAGAGTGGACTTTTTTACTTTTTTCTCAACAAGGCCCGAATTTTCAACACGATGGCAGTAGAACAAGCGTGATTTCGTTCAGCAAGATGCGATGGTGATGTCCAATGTCCTGTAGATGTTTGTAGCTGTTTTTCAAGAAATTTTAGAAAACTTCCCTACAAGGCATCTGAAGATTCCGATTTCATGGAACTAGGCTTTTAATGGAGCTGATGACGAGAAATTTTCCACTGGAAGGAGTGCTTGGAGGAACCATGCGACACACACGTGGGATCGACCCCGCGCCCATGACGCACGTTCATTTCTCCGGGGTCGGCAAATTAGTAGCAGTCTTGTCTGGGAGGATAGCAACACTGGCTCGATACATCGGTAGGCTACCGCGAGTCATTGTAAAGGCAGATATGCAATCACCTCGAACGATACTTAATGAAGTCGAATGCATGGTGCATTCCTTAGGGATTGATCAACGCCGACAGCTATATATATATATATATATATATATATATATATATATATATATATAGGGGCGCGGGTAGCGCAGTGTTCAGAGGCACCCTGCAACACACATGGAGTCGATTATCGCGCCCTCGCCTCACCAAGCCCCTCTCCAAGCGTCTGGGGTCGGCAAACTGGTACCAAACTTGTCTGGGAGGATAGAAACACTGGCTCGATACATCGTTAGGCTACCGCGAGTCATTGTAAAGACCAGATATGCATTCAGTCACCTCCAACGATGCTTGATGAAATCGAATGCATGGCACATCCCTCAGGGATTGATCAACGCCGAGAACTTTATCCTTTTATCCTTTATAGTGTAGGCATATGCATGTAATCAACAGGTGGCATTATAGGGGGAGAGCAAAACTTACCACAACATTAGGTCCACCTACTCGAGGCCTTCCAACGATAAAACTTCTCGTTAGTGGTAAAGTGAACAGAACCATAAATATGAATTGGTCACACTAGCAAAACCTCACAAATTCTGTTTGTGGTTCTCTTCTGCTTGTGTTCTCTTATGTACTGAGGGAATTTACCGTCAGCGGGATATTTTAAAACGACTACAGATAAGGTGTGCTTTTAGTCTGACAATATGTTCGAGATGTAGTGACTGAAAAGGTAGTTTGTAGTCTACATTGTTAAGGGCTGCGGGTATTGGCGTCTTCTTTCGATTCCTAAGATCCTGCAATTGAGGACTTGTATAAAAAAGCCACTCACAAGCAGCAGCTAAAAGCCATCCACCGATGATATTCACCTGCAAAGCAACAGTTTAAAAGCAACTACAAACTTGTACGTTGTTTTGATAAGAGGTATACCAACTTCCTTTTCTTCTTGAGTTCCACCATCATCATCTTCGTTTGGAGAAGACGAGTTCGGACTTCTGCATTCGTGTTCATCATCGGAATCGGAGTTATTTGATGCTTTTCTTCTGCGTATTTGAATAACCTCAAACAACACCACTCACCATTTCAAAAAAAAAAAACAAGAAAGCAGTGGATAAATGTGGCTTACCTCATCGTCGTCACGACCTGGTTGGATCACTTCGACTTTGTCAATTAAGCACAAAAAACAATTACATAGCAAACTCACACAACCAATAAACGCATCCTCTGAAAACATGGTGCTGTTAGGTAGAAAACTAGCTGACAGAAACGTAAAGCAAGGGCCTCAGTGGTGCAGTGTGTAAAACGCGATCTCCCCGAATAGTTTTGCGAATATCTCAGCAGCGTTGTTATTGTATTTCACATCACACTTTGCCGTGAAAAAATACAGTAGGCAGCTAATGCAGCAAATAAAAGGTTAACATGCGATGCTGTATTAAAAATACCTACTTGGATACTTGGATGGCCCGTCCACACTAGTTGTGTGCGCCACAGCATATTCTCCATTTTTAGGAGTTTTGCTGGTTTGTAATCGTGGTTCCCTCGAGTCCTGAGGTCAGCCATACCAAAGTCTGCCCCATTAGAACTATCAGAACCATAATATCAAAAACTCATGCAAAAGTATAAAGCAAAGGTACAAGTCAGTTACTCTCATTCAAAAGCAGCACTGTGGTCCTCCTTCTCCACTAGCAATTTTAAATGGTGCAAATACAAACACAAACCATTGCCGCTTTCCATCGCCAATCGACCACTAAGTGTAAGTATCAAAAACAAAAAAGCCAATTCAGCATCGTCGAATGGATCATTCAGTGACTTTATCGCTTCCACAAGACGAATCCCTTCGCTGTCGAGATTACCTCTGCTGTAACATTGCTATTGTAGGGCAAAAATAGCCAGAAAGTACTCCGGAAAAATATAGTTAGGAACCTAACCTAAAGGAGACCAAGATAATGAATGGAATTGAAAGAACAAAAGAGGAGATCAGACCGTCAGCTTCTCGCTCAAACGTTTTCTTCAAGTTCTCCCAAGCTTTTTGGAATGGTCGTCGAGCTAACAAGGCGAGTAAGAAAAGCCTCAAATTAGAGTAATCTAGTTTAGAAATGACCTACTGCTAACACACAAGATAAGAAAAATGCATATGTTAAACCGATCTGAGCAAGACAAATTAAACCACACCTGACGGAGCTCACCAACGTTTCACTTAGAGCTAGTTGATTGAAGGGTTGGCCTATATCTGCATCCATCTCTACAGCACGCCGGTAATACACTGTACACAACGAGGACTGATCAGCGTTCGTAAGGTATCTGTTACCAAAGAAGTTGCTAGTTGTTGAAACAATGCCACTGATCAGTTAAGACCCTAAGAATAACCTATGGAGATCACCGAGGTAGAGATTATAGATGGCAGAATGTCGAGCGCTTTGCGCTAACGTAGATTGGAGTTCACCGCAAAACACTAACACCATGACATTAAACCAATCACCGTCAACGTCCTGAAAGCAAACCAAACAAACAAATGTTAGTTGTGATTAATAGTGCAAACTAGTTAAAATGGACCTTTTGCTTCCTCAATTTTGAGAGAGGTTCATAGTATGATGCCTCCCAAAATAACTTCAGTGCTGTGGCGGTCTCGTCAGACTCATCCATGTTGGAAAGAATGCTTCTCATCCTGAGAGAAACTTGATCCTATAATTGGAACTCTCACTAAGGTTAGTGCACCAACTTCTTGCGGATAGCCACGGATTGCGAAGAGTTTATTCCTTCCTTCTCGTATACTTTGCGGATCGCCTGACAGTACTTCGCCACGCGTTCCATCACTTTTGTGCTGAACATATGATTCCCATAATGGATTGATGTAGAATCGATAACATGGCTCTCAGACCACAAACGAGCAGAAAATAATTAGTAATTTTATACGTAAAAATAGATTTGTTCTATTCGTTTCATCACAGTTGTCACAAACCAATGAAATTAATGCAACTAATAATTCTTCTACTAGAACTAGCGCAACAATGCGGTAAGAACATAGGAACGAAACAACTCAAATGTAGCACCTACGACGATATGGTGAGAATAGTTGGATAGTAAAACATTAGCAGATAAGCACATCTTGAATGTATCCTATCTACAAGGAAAAAGGGAGATTCAAGCAAATATTCTAAAAACGCCTTTGTAAAGCACAAAAATAACTACGCCAATAGTAGTTGGGATAATAAAATTGGACCAAGTTGGGGAAAATATTATATCTCGCCAGGTATTACCAGACGACGACCCCTTCTTGGTAACGTTGGTGATGCTTGTACCGGAATAGACTGCATCAGTTGGCAATCTACCTAGAATTTACAAAATACATTTACGATTTATGACAAACAAACAGAAGAAAGTGAGAAGTCCGCACCTATGAGATATTCTTTAGTCATTTCCCTAGCATCCTTTGAATGTCCCACGTCTTCAAATGAAGCAGTAGCATCCTGAAGATTCAAATTTAAAAAGCCGTTTCAGAAGAATCTCGATAGGGAGACATGTACTGCCTTACTTTCCCAGCAAATTCTGTAATTGCTTCCAATCCTCCAGGATGTTCAGAGAGGAAGATGGTGACGTCATAAACCTGAAACAAATGCAAATACACTTGCGGAAACCTTCAACATTCGAAAGAGTGGGATGGGATCGTAATCAGTACTGAACGCATCCATCAGAGAATACTTGCATAATTCTCTCAAGAAGGTTGGCGACGATATGAGTCATATAAGACGCAAACCTGGACGATGGTAATGTAGCCTTCCCACTTTTAAATAAACATGCCTTGTTTCATGGTGAGCTTTATTAACCAAAACAAGAGCAACTAGAACCCACAGAAGTTTTCCAGAAATATACAAAAGTTCATGTTTTTCATATTCTACCAAAGGATTTCCGATTTTTTCGAACCTAAGAAACTTTTTTTTGAGGGGCTCCAATTTCTTCTTCACGCTGAGACTTGTATCTCCTAAAGTGACCGAACGAAGTAAATTTCGTCCAGTCCGATCCATTGATATGCCATCCACTGTTGTTTGCGACTGCCAGATTTTCGTTGAAATTTTTGAGCTTTTTCATGTTTTGAATAGATTTACGATGAAAATAACCATTAAAGGTTATCCTCTGTATCCCTCTACAGTGATGCGGTAATGTCTATTCCGGACGCATGTCATTTCTATAGCCTCTTAAACACTTAAGTTATTGAAAAATCACCATAGAAGCGAAGTACCTATAAGCGAAACCTTTCACTTCCATTTAAATGTACTTTTTTGTGATTACAAAGGTTTTTAATCAATAAGGTCATCGCAGGGTCTCCCATGCCAAGGAGCCCGGCGTTTCCATTAGGAAGCCAAGCTAAGAGTAAACCAATACCAGGATCAACCACCGTCTTGGTATGAAACTAGTCGCATGGCGGCAAATCTCCCTCTGATTCACGAGGGTGGCAACTGCATGTGATGGTGACGAACTGAGCCAGACTTTGGCCAAGTTGACCTCGGAACTCTAAGGAACCACAATGGCTAAACTAGCAAAACTCAAAAAAATGGAAATTATGCTGGAACTCGAATAACCTGTGAAGGTGGACCATCCAAGTATCCAAGCAAGTTTAATCAATAAGCACTTCAGCTTAACGGTGACCATGAAATATTATCATCTAACTATGACATCTGGTAGTTTCATGGATTATTAGGCTAACATGGGATTCTGATGAAGACGAAAACGTCGAAACGTCAGCCGAATTAAACTTTTTATCAACCTCGTGTTTCAGTTTAACAATCCATGAAGCTATTTACAAGTAATGGCACAGAAAATACTTTGATTTTGACAATAAACTGAAGAACCAACGAACAGTAGACCACTCCAGCTCTTCTATCACCATCTTTGCCTGTGACGAAAACGTAAGAATCCCCTGATTTTAACCAGAGCTTTATGTTGCAAGCTCCATCATACCGTACAAGAAAGCTCCAAGTGTATAATTTCCAAGTAAAACTGAACGTTCGTCATCCTTCAATGCTTCTTCTCCGTCTTGTCCATGTTGTAATTTGTCGTTTACTGTTTTTTCCACCTGGTATCCTTGCTTCCATTTATGCTCATGTGGAAGCTGTAATATGTCGTGAAAGTCCATGAAATATGCAGTAGCAACTCGAGATTGGGAGAAACCACGAATGGAGATTTATTTATGCTCAGAAATTGAATCGATTATGGGTGCATCGTCCCCTTATGAAGTGCGTTTTCCAATAAAAACAAATTCTCTTGATATGAAAGTCGACCTACCGCTGAAGGCTAATAAATAATGACAGGAAAACCGTTTCAAGCCTATCAAGTCGTTAGGCATGTTCAATGTATTAGATTCCACTAGAGATCGTAGAGAAGATTGGATGTATAACTGGCCTATACAATGACTAGAGAGGTCTTATCAATGTATTAGCTCACTGTGTTCATTCTCTTCTCTGGCATCAATTTGCAAGCCTTGGAGAGACGAATTCGATTAGCTGCAGAAACGGGATCCAACGAACGGTCACGTGTGGATTATCAGAGATCGAAGAAACTGTTTTAAAAAAAAAGTGCAGCCTTATGTCATAGAATCCTTTTGCAACAAGTCTGCATACTGCAATTCTAGTAAACGCAAAAGGATAATGGATAAAGCTCTTGGTGTTGATCAACCCTCGATGGATGTGCCACGCATTCGACTCCATCAAGTACCGTTGGAGGTGGTTAAATGCATATTCGGCCCTTACAATGACTCGCGGTGGCCTACCGATGTCTCGAGCTAGTGCTGTCATCCTCTAAGACAAGTTTGGTACCAGTTTGCCGAGCCCCGGGGGTGGGGTAGTGCTTGGATCGATGTGCTTGGATCGATTCCATGTGTTATTGCAGGTGCCTCCAACCACTGCGCCACATGCGCCCATTTTTACTAAACATACCAATGGGGAACTACGACTGTTTCAACAAAGAGTTCGCACTCCCGCACGAACGTCCTCCACCGCCATGGCTCAATGTTAACACTGCAGCTCGAACATCATGAACCTTTTTATATGGGAAGAAGCTTAGGGCTAAATATAGAAGATATGCTTATCAAACGACTACCAGGAAAAATTTAATATCTACGGTAGAATTTTAAGAACGGTGAAAAAACGAAGCAGTAGGAAGTATAAAAGTACTTCGAGATCCGGTTACCGTGTTCAGAACGATTATAGGACACCTATACCTTACAAATGCTGAGGAACTAGAAACTTACGACAAAAAATCAAAAGCAATCATAAGAAATTTCCACATGAGTCAGTTCCACCACAAAATCCAGCATGTGTTTCAAATTCGGACGTTCTAGGTAAGCAACTGCCACCAAAGTTTTTGATGCTAACATAGCCTATCAACTTCCAACACTGCACAATGAAAGAATTAAATACCATGTAGAGCTTTCCATTTCCAAAAATCCAACAATCCAACAAACAACAATCAACTGCAACATGCAGAACTTTACACTCACTTGTTTAGCACAACAGCAACGTTCCCGTTGTTGCTACCCACCAACAAGCTGACCGTGACTTCAACCAAACTAAGTGCATGATCCACAGTTGCCGAGGGAACTCATTTGAGATCAAGCAGTCCCTCCAATACAACACAAGCACCACAGGTAACACCTCGGAAGAAATTCAAGTAACAGCATACAATGAAGCGACAACAAAGGATTATCACAAAACGCTCATTTGTTCAAAACGTTCACAGACCTGCTCTACTCTAATCTTTTCCTGCAGGTATGGTGGCGGTCGCAAAAGCAATAGCATTGCAATGCGAAATCGAAATTCAACGAATGATGAAGAGGAGAAAAAGGAAAAAAGAAACCGTAGAAGGAGCACAACAGGTATGAAAAGCATGACACATGAAGAAGGGTCACCTAGACATCTGCACCTGTGACACGAACTCTCGTTCTCGACCACTTCAAAGACAGGGCAAACCATTGGCAAGCAAATGACAACATACATGCATATCGTTTCTCCATTATGTTTTGAACTCCACGACATCCATCCCATGCCACAGAAAAACATTTTACGGTACTCACTCTTAAAGCATCGAAGTGAAACAAGTTATCAAATTACTACTAGCATTGAGTCTTCCCCTTACAACGGTTTACCGCCCCATAGTGGTCAGGTGTTCCTGGGTGTCAGATTGCGATGTACAGATGGCAGATTCATCTTCCCGACAGGGTCTTCCAAGCTAAGAAGGAGTCAAGCGCTTCCATCAAGAAGCGCAGATAAGTGTAAAACAATACCAGGGTCCATCACCGTTCTTTTACTAAACTAGTCGCGTCGCATGGTGGCGAATCTCACTCTGAACCAGAAGGGTGGCGACTGACTGTGGTGGTGACGACCCTGGAGACTTTTGCCAAACTGACCTCAGGACTCCAGAGAACCACAATGGCCAAATCAACAAAACTACGATGAAATGGGAATTATAAGATGCCCGCACAACCAGTGAAAATGAGCCATATAAGTATCCAAGCAAGTAAAATTGACTCTTCCTCTCTTTCGATAGCAGATGTAGAAGAATACGAGCAACTGTCTACCAATATACCTGAAAAATAACGTCGTTCAAAGGTATAGGCTCGCACTGCATAAAAATATTGACAGGATTCTAGATGTGTACCAGTTCACTAGATTTTTGAAAATCCTAACACGAAAATGTTCGAATTTCCACAAAGATTATCACCATAGTGTCTAAAAACAAGGTTGTATCAGATTGCCACTCATGCGGATTCGAAGGAAACTTTCACCAGCTTTTGCAGAATATTGAGTTCCAGGAAAATGTTAAGAACATGAGAAACGAAGGCAAGATGAAAGGCAATCATTCAATGAACCACTATTAGGATTATGTACGGATTTAAACATTTCAAACAAACAAATGGAGGTATCCAGATTCCAAATCGCAAATGTTCGACGAAGCAATCACTGTACACACGGTTGAAGCGCTGGAAAGTTGAACATGCCTATCGAGGCGAGACTCACTCTTGAAAACCTTCATAAGCTCTTCATAAACACCATTGAGTATATTTCTTAAATTGTTAAATAATATCCAACAAAGCAACGGTTTGTCAACCTTGCGAACACTGAAAAGTTGGCTTGACAGCTTCCAAACACTTCGAAAGGGAAGATTTTCGACACGCTGTGCGGGTATTGAACAAGATGTTATTAAAACCATAGTAAAACTCAGTGACGGCACGTGTAGCGTAATGGTTAGAGGTACCATGCAATGTATACGGATCGGTGTAGGTTTAATATGGCACCGGAAGCTAACCAAGGTTGTTACCCCTCCGGGGTCGGTAAATTGGTACCAGAATTGTCTAGTAGGAAGCAATATCGACTTAATACATTGATAGGTCATGGCAAGTCAATGCTTAGGTGGAATTTGCATTCTGTCACTTCTCTAATGTTTGACAAATTCGAATACATGGCGCATCCATCACAAAATGACCAACGTCGTAAGCTTTTTACACTTTAGCAATGCTACCTTACCCAAATCATATCTGGACGGCTCAAATTTACGAAAGACGAAAACAAAGTATCTCACTAACGCCGGACTAACACAAAAAGCTAAGAGAAAACCATGTTCCCACATGTCCTTGGTGTGCACTTTCCTAAAAACCTGCAACCCCGACAATTCGAGTCTTTTGGCCATGTGGTACGAAGTTAGGTGGATGAATCCTATTATGCAGCTACCACTATCAACGTACACCTGTAGGACATCTTTATTGCAAAGGCCTTCCCCTCCCTTAAAGTCGGATCAGCTGGAGTCGATTGTTCACAGTTCTTCCTTCTTCCGATGTGGGTCTTCGCAATGGCATCGAGTTGAAACCAGTGGAGCGATAATAGAATTAATTAACCCCGCACTTTTCTTCAAAACAGCTGCTGATATTGACCGGCCGTTAATAAACGCTTGTTGTTCTCCGGGCCACCCATACTACAGTCGGTATCACTATGAGATAAAGTTATTTCATTTAAGCGGAGGTCCTCCGGATTCGACTCGATGTCATCACGAACACCCACATCGGATGAAAGAACAAGTGTGGATGGACAATCGACTCTGATCAATCCGGCTCTGAAGAAGGCGAGGGCGCCGAAACGTTAGCCGAATAAAGTTCTTTACCAACCACATGTTAGTTTATCAATTAAATGGAACAAATCAACACTGCTAAGGCACGAAAAAAACTGATGCGCGCTTGTGAGAGGTTACTACAGGTAGACATTAAACTACTTTGGCCTTACTAGATTTCATCCCCTAGCAGAGCCTTCCAGGCTGAGAAGGACTCCCGCGTTTCCATCAGGAAGCACAGCTAAGAGCAAGTCAATACCACGATCCACCACAGTCCTGGCAGCAAACTAGTCACATAGTGGCAAATCTCCCCCTGATCCACAAGAGTGGCCACTGCCTGTGGTGGTGACGACCTGGGGTAGACTTTGGTCAGGCTGACCTCGGGACTCCAGGAAAACGCAATGGCTAAATTAGAAAAACTCCGAAAAAGTGGAAATTTTGCTCGGGCCCATACAACCAGTGGAGACGGTCGATCCAAGCATCCAAGTAAGTAAATCAGTTAGACGTTCAAAATACTTTGGCTTGTTGAGTTAATGGTTGACTATATTCAAAAGTCACAGAACAGTAACCCAAGCAGTTTTAACAATTCCAAAGTCCACCTTGAGAATAAGCAATTGTAAGGGCTTTAAAAATTTCGAATGAAAATTTTTGGATGCACAAAAAACAAGCATCATAAATTAAAAAGCGCGGACGTCTGGAAACTCTAAAAACATATTTTGGAGAAAAAGCATCAGACCACGATTAATCTTTCTTATAGGTATTTTTCCTTGGTACCCTTTAATCTGTGAGAGCATTGCGATAAAAAAAAAACGCAAGCCAAATCCATAATCAAAAAGTGATGGTCCAGAGAATGAAAGAGAATCTTCTCCGACCTTTCCGTCCATGATAATCCAGCATGATTGTGCACTTGAATGTTGTTCCACTTCAGAAATTGGGATTGTCCTCAATTCGCCGGCCATCTAGAAAATGCGGATGAGTTTCACGTAATTTGTAGACAAAAGAAGATGAAGTACGGTAGTATGAAACATGAGCATTTATAGCAGAAATGCGGAAGGAAGTGCAGAACGGGTTTTTCATTTCACGCCGAAAAGAGTCAGACAAAGACCCTAGCAGTATTAGTCGTGTTAAATGGAAACTGGTAAAAATGGCAGTGTACACTAGGGGTGGATTGTATGTTTGAAAGGTACACAAGGAAAGATGGTGGAAAGTTAAATGGGTAGTCCTAAAATCGCATGTTCTTAGGCGATTGTTAGAAACTGCTAACTCCGATGCTTCAGTGCTTATGGCATGGTAAAAGGCATTTGACTGCGTTGTTCAAACGGGATTTATTCCTAGGACCAGTTTCTAAGCACCCAAAATATCCACTGGTCTAACGAATCCTTGGTTCCGTGGATCACTGACATACCTTGCACCTGAGACATGACTGAACTAAGCTGGAAGGTCTTTTCTTTATAGTGGGAGGAATTCATGTTGTGCATGACGAGGCATTACATTGTGGCAAGTTCAGGTGGTCATGTTGTTTCACCGGCGGAGACCGGTTCTCTCCTCTCAAGAGCGGCGTTGTTTTGGAAAAACTATTACATCTAGGTTTTTTTTTATACGTCATTGACCCCACGGTCTCCAACAGTGGTAAACATTCAGTACTTGAGTGAGTAGATTCCCATTCATACGTGAAGGAAACAAATGTATTGGTATGGGTTGTCGCTCATTTTCTTTGAAGTCGTTTATTTGGTCATACAAAGGTTTCAACGTTTATTTGGTTATACAAAGCTTTCATCGTCAACCTTTGTGTTGTCGTAAGCTGACTCGGTGTACATCATTGTGTTGGGACCGGAAGTAGAACATTGCTCTCTGTATTAAGCAGTTCTGAAAAAACAGTTTTTCGAACGAGCTGATTCTGCAAGCAAAGAACTAGTGGTGCTGAACAGAGCAGCCACCAGAGTACGGTTGTACTGTTGCGGGGAGCAAGAGTGTCCTCGCTGTACTTGAACACTTCACCCAAAGGTCTACGGGTATCTTGTCGCTAACATAAGGAAGTGGATTATCGAAGAGATTTGTATATGTGAGCTATGGCATAATTACATATTAGGCATCGTTTAAACCATCGTTGCCTAGAAAAGTCGAACGTTCATAAATTGGTTTCCTCCTCACAGTGCCTCGCTTCGAATTCTTATTCTCATGGTATTTCAGTGACTTTATAAACATAGTACTCAAAGAGACTTAATTCTCTATATTCTCCTTGAGTAAACACAAGTGTTACTTCGTTCTCTATTCAAGAACAAGGTTAAACCTTTAGTTAGGAAAGTGTTTGGTTGGGTAGATTGCTGTCAACTGGACCTTTCGATGCTCTGAGGGAGGCGAAATCCGCCGAAACGTCAGCTCGTTCTTGAATAAGGGATAAAATAACACCTCGCATTTGCTAAACAAAAATATAGAGAGTTATTCGATCAATAGCGAGGTTAATAGAAAGTCGGTCGTGAGAATTATTACAGAGAGACATTTCAAAATCTAAGACTTTTACAATTTACACTTTTCCTGGATGGGATTTACTATCGTAATAACCTAAAACCCCTATAATTAGCATTCTTCATCGGCTGGAACTTCTGTGACCAGCATTTCTTCCAGCTCCTCTGGTTCCTTTAGTTCATATCCTGTCTTGCGCTCTTGCTCTGATGCCAGCATTTAAAATTACTAGTCCTCCTCTCCTTTACGGGTGCTTGCAACGCAGTTACTAGCGATGTTCCATACGTGATCGTTGATTCGACTCCATATTGCTAGCTCTCCAAGCCCTCCATCCCTCCGGAGTCGGTAAATTGGTACCAGACTTGTCTGAAAGGATAGCAGCACTGGTTCGATACATCGGTAGGCTACCGTGAGTCATTGTGTAGGCCAGAAATGCATTCAATCACCTCTGGCGATGCCTAATGAAGTCGAACACATGGCGCATCCATCAGAGATTAACCAACGCCGAATGCTTTATTCGTTACCTGTTCTTTGCAATTTTGATGAGGTGTCGCTTCCGATTTAGCTCCAGATCGTGCCTCGGGCTCTTCTCGTAATTAATTGTACCAATTTAGATAAGCACCTTTAAAATCCAAAGGTCTTTGGCAAAATTTTCCCGTGGTGCTCCGTACTTCGATTAAACTGGAGCGATTTAATAAGCAAGATCTCATTCACTCGGACACAATGATGTTCGTTACGCAGCAGTTAGTGTTTGCTGTCGCCGGCTTGCTTGTAGACTTTAACCTTTGCGAGACCATACGCACTGATCTCTGTATGTACGCTAGTGCACACTACGAACCGTACACTTTGATTTCAACGCGCATTTAGGCCGCACTTCAGTGACGTTCGATCCAGTGGACCCGACACGCGAAGTTGGCCGTGGACGAGGACTGTTTAAAATTTGAAGTAGCTTATAAATTCCGGTAGAGTTAAATTTCAAGTGAGGGTTAAACAGAAAACAACGCTTGGGAAAAGTTGTGCATATCGTTATAGCGATAGAGCAAAGTCTGTTCCATGAGTCTGGGAAGTTCTCAACTCCTCAATTGGTTAACTTATCGGAAAATATTGGGAGTTGTCAAAGAACAAGTATCATTCGTTACGTATCAAGGGTATAGAATTTTGACCGGTAATCGATGATAGCTTCATTCGCAATCACTACAATAGATCGTCGTTATGTACCCTAAGAAAGAACAAAACGGTGAAGACGCTACATCGAGAAGAGAAACAACCGTGCACCATCGACTCGGGTAATCGGTTCTGAAGAAGACGAAGACGTCGAAACGGTAAGCGTTGAAAAAAAGCTGTTTATTATGCAACTGAAGATTTGGGTATTAAGCTGTATCTACAGAGGTGATGAATGTGTTCTACTGAGTGGGTTACGTGCCAATTTGACCTTTCCAGGCTCTGAAGAAGGCGAAAGCGCCGAAATGTTGGCCAACTGCGCTGTAATAGCAACCTCGTGTTTGCTCATCAAGAGAAACAGTGAATTGTTGATGAATGCCGAGATGAAAAGAAAGTGGGTCCTGGGATTTGCTCACATATAGTTCATATACACTGTGAAGGAGACAACCAAATGTTGACTACAGTGTAGTTGGATTGACAAACGGGTTTTCACCTCACACATAGGATTCTTAAATGTTTCGCAAACATAGTGGAATGCACATAAGAACTTTAAAGATGGGAAACAGAAAACATCGAAATTACTACTGAAAGGCACCGAAGAATCGAATTATAGAGCTAAGCATACTATCTGCGACCAGCACTTACTGAGAGAATGGCAGAGATCAGGAGGGCAGATATGCGCTCGTCTGGTGCTTCAGAACTTCGCAAGAGCTGCCGTCACGAAACGTCAATGGTGTGGAAATTACCTGACAAACGCTCATTGCTCATCATGTTCAATCACCGGAAATGCACTCGTGATCATCATCCGTGTACCGCCTCAAAAGAAGACCGATGTCATCAGTTATTGCTTAACAAAATATGGAGTATGATCTACACAGAAAAGTTCTGGATTGTTGCGGTGTAAGATCAGTGTTTTACTAGGAAGAGCTACCGTTGGGAAGTACGAAGCCAAGATCTTTAAAATAAAGCTGGAAACGAGTGGAAGTCATCTCCCTATGCTCTTGTTCTTGGCACGTCTCTTCCATGGAGAATCGTTTCTGAAAAACGCTGCCAGCCGTGAGAACCATTACCTGACATCAAAACACGACCCTACACAAAGTGGCTATATCCTCGTAAACAAGAGATGGTACCTCTTAGTTTTCCGCTAATATCTCTTTTTTTGCTCTGTAATCAACCCGATTACAGTCTCCTTCTTGCGTGAAACCAATGCAATCGCAGGTTCCAAATCGAGTAATCGTCCAAGAGGTAAGCGTAACGTGGTGTTAACCAGGACGTTTAGAACGGAATTTGTTATATTCACGGAATGTTGAGAAAGATTAGCAGAAAACTGCAAGTTACTGACCAAGAGGACTTCGATACTGTCGAATTCGTTCAAATGTTTCAATCAAGAAATTCAGATGGCGGCTCCACTACCACTAAGAATCTGTTTGAGAAGCGGAGGTAAATCTTAATGCGACATATCTCCTCTGTTAAATAAAGGATGAAGTTCTCGGCGTTGATCAATAAATGAAGGATGCGCCATGCATTCGACTTTATTAAGCACCGTTTGGAGGTGACTGAATGCATATCTGGCGTTTACAACGACTCACGGTGGCCTAGCGATGTATCGAGCCAGTGCTGCTATCCTCCCAGACAAGTCTGGTACCAATTTGACGACCCCTGAGGGATGGAGAGTTTGGTAGGCCATGAGCGCGGAGATCGATTCCACGTGTCTGTTGCAGGGCGCCTCCGACCACTGCGCCACATGCGCCCTTAGCTATCGAAAGAGTACGGAAAGTGCTTTAAACAACCTCTGCAAACCACAAAAGAGGTGTTTAACCATTTTGGTATGTCTGAACTCAGATCATCTACTCCATAGTAATGCTGTAACGTGAACATTTGACGTCATGTTATCCATGTATACCCTATATTGAACCGGCACTTTTGGACCATTTCAGTAGCATTTTCCAATCGTTATTTTCTAAAGCGCTACCTGTAATTACTACGTAGAACAGGGGAATTTGCCACAGCAAGTCCGCACGCTCTTTGTTCGGGGTGGACGAGTTTCCTGGACGATCTACTAGGAATTTGGACGGGTTCACCAATGTCAGCCAGGACTGTTTGTTCATTCCGGCCAGTATTAGGAAACCACACCCATCCCATAGTCGTGTACCCTTTGTTCTACGTTTAGGACCCGTTAAGAATCAGTGCTACTACAGTCGAAGTCGTTTTAACTGAGATCAAGAAGTTTGATAGCAAAGTACTACAGCTTTCATCTCACATCATTTAAGGTTTTCATTTTGATACCACGCACTTGAAGTATTTCACTAAAATCTTTTCAGCGATGGCTTCTGTGGAAGAAGTGATCGACTTGTCGGATGTGCTAGATCTCGAAGACATTGGCTACCTCATTGGAAAGAAAGGCAACAAGTTGAAAGATATTGAACGAAGAACAAAGGTATCTACGACTTTGAGTAAGAGTTTTTCCATCGCAATTACCAACAAACTAGTAACTATTACTCAGCGACTTCCATTTCTTCCTAGTTTTCTAGTCACTAGCTCTAATTCCGAGTTCAACAGTTCGGAATTCAGGTGATTTTGCAAGTGCTGAAACAAAATGGGAGATATACTACAAAGGTCCGTTTGACTGGTCTACGAAGCGCGGTAACGGCTGCACGACTAGAACTGGAGGAATTGGCTGTCAAAATCCTTCGTCGATCATTCTGTCACTCTGTCATGATCCCCAGGAGCCTAGTTGGTCCGGTAATAGGTTTGGATTTCTACCACTTCGTTTTTTTCATTCATTGCTAACTCACAGTGAACTGTAAGTGCCTTTCACCATTGTTCAGTTCACCATTGATTTTTCATCACTATATTGTTATCCTTTATTTTTAAAGGTTAGTTCTAGGTGAGAATGGGAGCAAAATACACGGTATCTGCAAGAGGACTGGTGTCAAAATAAGCCTTCGGGGAAGTGGAGACGGCCGCTTCACCTCGCTGTGTATACGAGGTCCGTTAACTTCCATGACCTTCCGATGAAAGGACCAAAAATGTATTTAATCAATCTGTGCTTGTTTTAACACTTAGAATCTGACAGCTGATTCGCACTAATAAACGTTATCAAATTGATAGCTTCTTCAATTTTTAAGTGGGAGCAGTTGTCGTCTGTTTTGCCATGCAGTGGTTTCTGTTCTACTTTTTTTTTACTCCATATATAGCTTATCCAACATGGATCAATGTGCCATTGATCGAAGTTGGAAATCTATTCTGTACACGTATTGATAAACAGAAGTGTTCTTCGGATGAGCTTGATCGTCAGGCCAAGGGTTACTGATGAGGACGTTACAGTGAGGAGGAGTATTCACAAATGACCCCTGCGGCGACTAACCGGCTTTTGTGTCGCGAAAGAAATAGCAAAAAGCCGTTAGTGAAGCCCTATGTAGAACTCGTATGGGATTGGATGGGCCAGACGGGTTGATGGGAGCTGGTTTCAATTATCGGCCCGTTCTGCGAAAATTACGCCTCAGACTACTTTTTTTTGATTTGAACCATCTCCATATCTACTGTGCGGATTCCAGCACTTCTTGCATCCAATTCGTTTGCTCGCACTCATCCTCCGTGATGAAGGTCTTCAAACTTTTTCAGTGTGGGTTCGACTACTTCTTGAGAATTTTCTTCTGGATGTGGATTAGCGGGAATGAGCTTGCCCCAGACAAATCTAGTACTGGTTGCCCAACCTCGAAGAGATGAGTGGCCTTGGTGGACCGCAATGGGCAAGATAGAACAAACGTTTTCATGGTAATGAACGGCATCGCTACCACCGCCGTTACCCGCCCCATTAAATATACAGTAATATGTTGACTATAAGGCATTTATATCCAATTTGTTTGCTTCACACCGTTAACGATGGAAACAATAATTGATTTTATAGTTCGGATTTTTACTTATATAGCGTCATAAACGCTAACGTAATCCGATGTCTTCCATTTGTTGCATGCATCTGTCAAATCAATCTCTACTAGGGTTAAACTTCGAAAAACTCTACTCACTATTTCATGGTTTTATCTTTTGTGAACAATTTTTAACACTTTTTTTCATCTCTAGGTACTTTCCGCACGATCGTCTATGCAGTGATCATGATAAAAGAATGTGTGGATAATATAGGAGGTTACACGTCTGCTTCTTAACACCCGACATGGAAATTTTGTGAGGAGCTGGACGATATTATGGATAACTGTTGATATTGTCTGTAAGTAGTCTGTAAATAAATAAAATCTGCAAACAAAGAATTTCAAGAGTACTGTGCTAAAGTCCCAAAGACCTACCTAGCAGGACGGTGTACTCACCACTTCTCGTTTTCGTCAATGAGCTGAGCTTTCTAATACTAGGAGAAGTTCGTTCTCCATTTTCCAGTTCCTAAGTGGCTTCAACATGGAACAATGGTGTCCAAGTAATGGACAGTGCTTTTGTCAATTTTTTGGTGATATTAAGCTCACATCGTAAAGGAAATTTCATTTACCACTAGTTATTGTTCCATTCCTCCCAACGGTTTACAGCCTCATCGTGGCTAGGTGTTCCTGGGTGCCGGACTACGATGTACAGCGGGAGGATTTGTCCCCTCGATATGGTCTCCCAAGCTAAGGAGTCCGGTGTTTCCATCAGGAAGCCTGACTAAGAGTAAACCAATACGAGGATCCACCACCGTCTTGGTATCAAAGTCGCGTAGTAGTAAATCTCCCTCTGATTCACAAGGGCTGCGACTGCCTGTCGTGGTGACGACCTGAAGCAGATTTTGGCTAGGCTGTCCTCGGGATTCCAGGGAATTACAATGGCCTGTTGACCAGCAAGTCTCCAAAAAATGGTGATTATGCTGGGGTCCGCACAACTAGTGATGACGGGCCGTTCAAGTATCAAGTAAGTATCAAACATTGTTCCATTGCCTTCCGAAAATACCAGGAATTTGTTCTTTGGTGCTACTTAGCCCTTTTGCTACATCATCAAAACCCTGTGGTAAAGGAAGAACAGTATGCGATCTACGTGCTTTGTCTTGCTCCGTGATTGGTTGGAAGTTGTAAAGTCGTCATTTTTCGAAGCCATTTGAACTAAAATTGTATAGTGACCACATCAATGGTTTTCGTTGAAAATTCGTAGAAATTCTTTCTCAAAATATAACGTGTAAAATCAGCAAAATCGCGCGGGAGCTGTATAAATTAATGAATTGAACTTCAAATTCAGCTAATTAGACCTTTACATAAGTAATGTAACAAGGGAAACAACTAGGTTAACAAATGTACAGCAGCTACATGAAAGTTAGCAGATTGAGGACAACATGAGTCACATAGGACTCATATGTTGCAAGTCGGACGGTCGTGTGAGTTATGTATGAGTCGTTTTCTTTTGGTTATTTATTCTGTCATGCTGCAGTATTGGCCGGCTTAAATGATACAAATATTGAGTGTTGTCCCACATGCTTCACACAAAGTTAGGCCTCATAGCTAAAGTGGTAAAGAATAGACGCGTTACTACTTACCATTATTTATACCTGAGATTGAACAAGCTTGTGATAACCAGTAAGCAGGACTCTTATATGCTGTCTAGAATAGGCAGTTAGTGCAAAGAGTTTCCTCTTTGGAACTATGCAGGTGTTACCGTGCAAAAGCATTGCCGGCTTAACATGAAGTGTTACATGAATTCTTTATTACTGTAAAGCTAGTAGCGAGTGTAGCACAGCGGTCGGCGGAGCCCTGCAACGTACACGTGGAATCGATCTCCGCGCACCAGGCCCACTAAGCCTTCCATCCCTCCGGGGTCGGAAAATTGGTACCTCTGGGAACATAGCAGCACTGGTTCGATACATCGATGGGCCACCGCTAGTCATTATAAAGGCTAGATATGCATTCAATCACCTTCAACGATGCTTAATATAGCAGAATGCGTGGCGCACGCTTTAGGGATAGACCAACGCAAAGAGCTTTATCTTTTTCTCTTTACGGTAAAGCTGACGTTTCTGCAGATTTCGCCTCCTTCAGGGCTTGAAAAGGTCAGGTTGGTCGCAATTAACCCAGCTAAACATCTCCGTAACCAAACAGAAAAAATGTTAAACGAATATTTCATAAAGGAGAAATCCTCTGAGACAGCTTTGCCGTAACAAAGAATAAAGTAACACCTCGTGTTTGTCCAACAAGAATTATTTGATCAATGTCGAGGTTAACAGAAAGTCGGTCTTGGGCATTACCGAGTACTTCGCAAACGACTGAGAGAAAGGTGAAACGAAGGAGTCGCATAGTGTGGTGGTGAACGTTAGCCCCCGGAAAGAGTAATAGTGTGTTTGGTTCTCACTACAGACACCAGCGGTCCGGAGTTTTGCAAATATCTCAGCATCATTACGGTTATATTTCCCAGGCAGTTGCGAAGCAAGTAAATAAATCAACTATCCTGAGGCATACCCAGAGAATGGAAAGCCTATTAAAAGAGAAAGGTATACAGTGTCTCTGTGAAACTAGTTCACGTATTGTAAATTTTTTGCGATGGTGTCTCTAGTGGACTTTTTCACTATGGCAGTTGCAAGAACCAAAGGAAATGCAGCACTGATCTTCACGGCACTGGCCCTTCAGGTCCGAGCTGAGTTCCGCACAATGGATACTGTAGGGCCTCGCAGATGTCGAGGTAGCAATGCTGTGCGTGTGAATGCGGACATCTTGTCAGTGGACGAGAAGTTGCGCTCTCCGTCTAAGATCGCCGTCCGGTTAGTCCGTTGTAGTAGTTCATCTCCCAGTATTCTCACAGTAAACTGTGAGATTCCTCTGTTTCTTCTACGCTGACAAACCGACACGAGTTTATGGTCGGAATTTTTACTCGGCTAACGTTTCGGTAGCGCTGCTTTCCTTGGAGCCGGTGACTCCATTCCAGCGGTACTCCACTCACTGGGTTCGACTCGTAGCGATTGTAAAATGATCACAAGGATAAACCGATGTGAGTAAGAGGCGAAACGTTAGCCAATTAAAAATTCACATAAGAATACCAGGTCAGCTTATAATTGCAAAAAATGATTGTTCATGCTGTTAAGTGAGAGTGAGTTTTCAAGAGTGCGTTTTTAATTCCACGATCTGATTTATGCTTTGTTGGTGTTCTTATTTAGTGATATCAACGTAAGGTAATGCTCCCCATCGTACTACGTCCATTTGTGCGAGGATGGCAAGTGGTCCCCACTGCTGCGATTACAACATCTGCTCCAGCCGGCGAGGCCAAACAGAGTTTGAAAAAGCGTAAGTTTAACTATAAATCATAGTTCATGCGATCTCTATCGAGCGGTCTCTTCATAACGATTCTGAATTATTTGCAAAATTTGGACCCAGGCCCACATCGCGATTACCCTTTCCGGAGGCTCAAATATTACACGCTGCGCTACGGAGGCCCTTGCTCTGCCGATACACTCAACTAGTTTTCTACCTATCGCAACCATCAGCAATCAATTGTCAGTGGGATTGCTCTGGGTAGCACAAATCGGCTTTACACCCAGTTAAACTGAGGTTGTAGTCGAAATCACAATGTTAACCTTTTATTTGTAACCTACTATAAGTTTTCTACTGTAACACAGTTTTTGTCGTCATAATTGTGACGTTTTTACTGTGTATTCCTTTAAGTTGTTTGTTTGGTAGATCTGTAAGATAAAGCCTGAGAAATTCCAGCTACTATCCTGAAACTCGACGAGGAGAAACGGAAGCGCCTAGCGAACTTTGGTCGCTATGCAGCTGAATGTCTTCCAAAATTTGTTCAGCAAGTACAGGTAAGTGTAGCAATCCCATTCAGCATCCCGTTTTTAGAATTTCATCACTTCTACAAATTTCTGAAATATTTTCGCCTGTATTGCCATAGTTTCTAACCTTCACAATCGCCATTGTAATTTTGTCTTATACGTCTTATCTGTTTACAACAGTTTGCTGCTGGAGATGAACTGGAACTACTCATTCACCCTTCGGGTGTTATTCCCGTGCTGTCATTTTTAAAAGGGAATCACTCGGCGCAGTTTACGAATCTTACGTTTATTTGTGGTGTTGATGTTCCAACGAGAAAAAACCGCTTTGAGGTACGTACATCCTCAATTCCTATCCGATCGCTGACAAAGCTTTCCTTTTACTTTGTCGTTATCGTAGAAATGGTCTTTTATTAAACCTCGGTAACAATAGTCAGCAACTTTCTACATGCTTGAGCTGACACGAGGTTGGTATAAAACTTCTATTCGGCTAACGTTTCTCGGTGCCTTCGCCTCCTTCAAAGCCGCATTGACTCGATGGAGCAATCTCGTGTCATCTCAATCGTGCAGAAATTTACTTCGTCACTGTTAACTGGTATTGGATTCAGGTCGTTTATTCCCTGTTCTCACCCAGATTTATGGCTCGCTGCCGTGTCCGCACTTACACCGATGAAGTTGCTCCTTTGGAATCAGCAACTAGCGTTTTCAGGGGAGCAGATTGGTATGCCCTTTAGAAATGTTATAAGTCTGACGTTGTATTGACATAATATGGTATTTCTTCTAGGATATTTGCATTCAGAGAGCCAATTATGACAGCTGAATTGTTTGATTTAGGTACGAACGTGAAGTATATGATATGTATGGTGTTTGGTTCAACAATCATCCGGATTTGCGCCGAATACTTACGGATTATGGTTTCGAAGGGCACCCGTTTCGCAAAGACTTTCCTCTTTCTGGATATAACGAGGTAGGTTTGTTATCAATGCAAAAAAGCAGACATTATTGATCGTGGGTTGTCACGCTAGTGATGAGGTGGTTGTCCATGCTTCCTTTATAATCCGAACGACTGCTATGTTCTAAGCCGTTAATGTTAAGGTACGATATGATCCAGAATTGAAACGCATCGTGTACGAACCGACTGAGCTTGCTCAAGAATTTCGGAAATTCGACTTGGAAACACCCTGGGAGATATTTCCCGCTTTTCGTGAATCTTCAATAACCAGTGGGTACGAAAAGATCCATGTTGACAGAGAACCGGAAGCAAAGTAGTTCCATAATAGATTAATGTAATAAAAGTCGTGTAGTGGTTCTTTTTTCTACTGTGCCAAAATTTGTTCAAATAACCAACTATGCCGGCTTTTTTTTATACAGCAAAGCATCTACAGTTGTAGAGACCATTACATTGTGGTTAAGTAATAAAAATAAGTAGTGGAATGTTTCGGTCAATACTCCGAACTACTTCCTGCCATCATGACTCCAGTAGAGAGACTGGTTCTCGATAAGCCTCAGAGTGCATAGTACGACCGCTTATTTCCAGCAGTGCTCGTGCTTGCGGATCCTAGAAGTTCTACATATTAAGTTTCTAAACGGTTTTCTGGAAAAATGGCACACCTTATCAATTATCGATTTCTCATTTCGTGTGGATTCATTTTCGATGGAACTATGCGGTTTTTCGCCAACACGCCAAACTTCAATGGCACTAGAACAACTATCTTTAAAATTTCTTCTTGAAAGCACAAAGATGTTGATAACCGTTAATCGAGTGCCTTATAACAAAGCTGTCGGATCCAGAAAGGTGACACTTTTCAAACGAACAAATATTTGCTAGTGTGATGCCTGTTCCATATTCCTCACATATGAAAAACGGCCAGGTAGACTCGTAACCACCAATACCCTGAAGATAGCGTACCTTGAAATTAGCTGGGATTACGATATTGTTATGATCGTCACTCTTGTACACACAGTAAATGTAGTAGTAAACTTACCAAGCCGTTAGGCATGCTGCTTTGTTGAACGTTCAGATATGCGTAGTTCTTCGCTAAACCAGTGGCAGAAAATATCCGAATTTGTGGTTGGACTTCAAACAGGAAAGAGGTAGCGTCACCGTGAAAACGAGGTCCCATAAAGAATCCTAAGTAATGGTAGAAATCCAAGCACTTCTAGTGTAGCGGCCCTTATGTTACAACATGTTCTACCTGCGGAAGCAAAACAGCCGAAGGTTTTCCCATTAGAAGACAGCACAACAACAATACAAGGACCCTCTCCACTAATCCTCGTTGCCATTTGAGAAAAACTTGAACCATGAAGTACACTAAGAAACGGTGAAATCCAAACGTGCAGGTGGTGTCGACCAATTTTTACTTCAGTATTATTCGTTTAGAATACTTTTGTACTTATATCAGGCAAAATATCAGGACATGTTGTTTTTTAAAAGATAAGACCAGACGTATGGCTTTACTCCGATGACAGAAGTAAACAGCGTAACAGTTAACCTCGAGAACAGCAAAGTCCATTCGTTTCGCCGATTGGTTGGCAAGTGCATATTGATAACTATGGTAGCGCTGTGAGAAAGCAGAGAAGGATAGGATGTAGATGGGAGAAGTGATTTGCCTGGAACAGGAAAAAAATGACAGTTTTCACCTCTAGAGAAATTTAATGTTCGTTTGCACTAAAACTAACACACCTTCCTGGAACACAAGGGGAGAAAAAACGTAGGAAATCAGTTGTGACGCAACGCTATGGCCGACCAGCCACCGAGTAAAACTGTTTTCATCACCAGGGACATCAACCAGCAAGTAGTCGACGAGCGCATCTTGTTCGGTGGTGCTTAGATCGTGTTGATGAGCATAAATAGACACAACACCTGACAGTGCCTATAACAAAGCTTCCAGAGAAAAGAAATCTCGAGTGGCCCAAGTTATAATAACTTGGGTGGGTCTACAAATAGTCGGATTGAATCAGACAACTTAACTAAACGGAATGATGGATTGGGCCAAGAAGCTTACATCGGCAATCGTTCCGAATACTTCCAGCAAGGAACTTGCTTCGGAAGCAGCATCTCCAAGTAAACTGTCGGCTAACTGCAAAACGCTCAATGACGAGCAACGCCCTTCATGTTGAAGTGCTGTGTAAATCTTCGGGACAGCTGGTTGTAGTGCAGAATAAATTTCCTAAAGTAATCTTTAACGAGAACGTGAAATGGGTTCACATCTAGTATTGTAGTAACCACTGCTACTAACCAAAAACTGATCATAATCAAGGTATTCTGCCTTAGTACGTCTTTTGAGCTCGAATTCTGTCCTACGGAGTTGTTCGGCACTAAGGTTTACGAACTCCAGCTTCTTCGCGGTTGTAGATATCCTAGCCCCCATAACTGGTAGTACACTACTTATGAATACAAATTATCGATCTGAGTACAAATAGTGGTAAGCTGGATTTGGAACGTGACAGTATATGTGCAAAAAATGTGCTTAAAAATATTTATTCAAACCACAAATATATGAAGTAGACTAGGAACGAGATAGATTCAAGTTGTGATTAACCAGCCAAAAAGCGAATTAGTATAATCTTCAGACTTTAGCGTACTGTGAACTGCACAAAGGATTTCAATGGAATGGGGAATTCATTGGTCTTGTTACTCCGTTTGAATTTGGGCCATCACATCAGAGATGTTCTTCTCTAAGTCATCAATTCGCTTCGTCATCTCATCAATACGACGGATAACCTGGTCAGACATATGTTGAAATCTGTCTTGTGTTTGTTGTAGCACTCCTTGGATCTAAAGAAATTAGATCTCTCAATTATACATTCCTTTTTTGGCAAAGTAATATTTACAGCCAAGCTAAAACTCTTTAGGTTGATCAGTTCCTGAAGTGTAGCTATGCATTCAACTTCCTCAAGCATCGTAGAGACGATTGAATGCATATCTGACCCATTCAATAACTTTCAGTAGCCTATCGATGTATCAAATCACTATTTTCATCCTATCAAATAAATCACTAACAATTTGTTAACGCTGGATCGCTATGAGTTTCGTGATATCTGAAGACGCGATCGAACCAAGGACCGACCCATCTATTGTGTGTGTGACGTCTCTCTACGGGCACGGAAAACTTCCGCTGGTAAGGGCTGTGTAAGGAAACGCTGCGAATTAGAAAATAATAAGAAAGCTCATGCACTTGACTGATACGAATTTCTCTTCCTTAAAACATAAAGCAAATCACCTACAAGTACAGTCTGCCCTTCATGCGGCATTTACATCCCAATGAAAACTTCTCAACAGACGGCAATAAATTTAAGCAATTACCACAGTCGTTCGCATATTAAAAATAGCCACATGCATGTAGTACAAAATCATCAAACGAAAGAATGTCAGTGGCAAACGTCTTCATAGGCACAACATGTAATTTTTGAGATCGACGACACCTAGTCGTTACTACCATAGGTACATATATACTTGGACGCTTGGACGGCCCAATTTGACGGGTAGCGAAGACCTAGGCACACTTTCCATTTACTTCTCTGCCTCGCGATCATCCTCTATAATGCTAATTTGTTCCAAAAACAGTAATATGTGCCAGCGTCATATTTTGATCTGCTAAGCATTTGCAGCTATGAATACAACTAATAAACTACTATAATGCTGAGATATTTTTAAACCTCCGGACCGCAGGTGTCTGCAGTGGGGAACGATCGCGCTACTGTCCTATCCGGGGAGTAACGCGTTCACCACCACACCATGCGGATCCTTCACAGACACCTGCGGTCCGGAGTTTTTCAAATATTTCAGCATTATAGTAGTTATATTTCGCAAATACCCCGCCGTTAAAAAGAATAGGCAGTAAATAAAAAGGTTAAGATTGTGATTATAACAATAGCCTCAGCTTAACTGGGTTCAATGCCGATTTGGGCTCTCCAGATCAATCCCGTCGAAGGGTGATTGCTGATGGAAAAAGATCGATAGAACTAGCTGAGAGAAAGGCGAAACGAAGGATCCGCATGGTGTGGTGGTGAACGCGTTACTCCCCGGAAAGGACAATAGCGCGTTCGTTCCCTACCACAGGCACCTGCGGTCCAGAGTTTTTCAAATATCTCAGCATTATAGTAGTTATAGTTCGCAAATACCCTGCTGTTATAAAGAATAAGCAGTAAATAAAACGGTTAATATAGCTAATTAACTTTAGTTACATACATAGTTCAATGAGTGGTCGTCCTATGGGATGTCTGCGTCGTCGTGTAGCCAAGCCTACAGTTCTATCCGTCCATCTGTTACCTGTTCTTATCTTGTGGTCGGCCTACCTATGCCTCGCTACCGACGTATATTCTCTTGGATCCCGAAAATGGGATAGATTTCGAACGTCTGAGCTCCGCATTCCGGCCAGACGTGAGTGCTGGTTAAATTATAGTCCAAGTGCTTTGTGGAAGTATGTGGAAGCGCAGATATTTTAACGTGGTTGAAGTACCAAACCACGTCTCAGCTGCACACACAGCGATGGGAGAACTATTGAATCGAAAACATGATCGACATTGATTGGTCGGTTTACCAATTGCCGAAATAGTGTGTCCCAGAACAGAAGAAAATGGTAAGAAATGAATACGGAAGTAGGTAGCACAAATAATCAAGCTTTCCTCCAAACCACGACGAGCGATCTCTCTGTTGAGATTTTGCGACCATCCTTCCTCGCACAGCTACCTCAAAACCCATTGAAGTGAACACATATAGTGCACGTAACTGTTCCCAAAATAGTGTTATTTCGCAGACGGCACAAGCGTTTAAAACACATCGCGAGAATAAAGGAATCGAAAATGTATAGTTTCGAACACGCGTCATGTAACTGGACGATGAATCATTTGTTAAGTGCTCGTTACATCGGTGTACTGCATATGGTATCAAACATGTTAGTAAATATAGGGCGGTGCCAAGGGCGTGTCAACAAGGTTGAGATATCATCTGTTCGATTGGGTCACTTATTGAATAAAGCATTTTTTTTCACACAACCCGCTTTCACACCTAATGAGCGGATCCTAGGACTTATATACGACTTTCCTCGCATCCACCGTCCACAAAGGTTTTCAAACTTTCGCAGGTGGATTCGACTGCTACTCGAGGATATTTGTCTTCGTCACGAATGTTGTTGAATGCTGTTCGAATTGATAGTCGATAAAAACCTTGTGTAGTCGTGCTAGAGTGTTCCAACATGTATTGGAGAGAGCTTCCCAGACGAGTCTGGCACCAATTTCCTGACCGCAGAGTGATGAAGGGCTTCGTGGGCCAGGTGTGAGGTTGAACCAGCACCATATTTGTGTTGAACGGCACCACTACCTGTGTTATCCACCTCACAAGGCATGTTTAGTAGCTATGATTAAGGCAGAATTGTTAAATATGATGATTAAGGCAGAATTGTTAAATAGACATTCTCACCTATTATGTCTAGGACAGATTTTTTTTCAATAACGTCATATTTAGTCATTATAATCAATTTCAATTGAAAACGAAACGTCATCAGTTTTTGAGGCGCTCTTAAATACTCGGTACATCTCGATCTACTGTACTTAATAATGTCGGGATTTCATGTACGACGATCTTTTTCTTTCACAAAAATCACTTATCGGAGGAACTGATGAATCAATATCCCGTTATCCTTTAATTGATGCAGTCTACTAAGAGAAGCATTATTTCTCATATCTACTAATACTTCCGAATCTAGCGATTCGATCATTCCCTCAGATTTTTTAGGTAACGCCAAGTGCTCATCCGCCCGATATGCTTTGCTATTCAAAATTTATCGCAAAATAAAGCAGAGGATGAAAAAAGAAAAAAATGGGAAAGAAAATGAAAACAGACTAAAGAAGTCAATTCGTTCAGGTTTGTATCATCGCTGGTGATTGAGTCGGAATTGAGAGCATTCTCAGTTTTTTCCGACGCCATTGATCAAAAGTACTGAAAAAAGTTATTAAACCAGTTACCGAAAAGACTGTAACTCCCACGTCCGACCTTCTATTAACCTCGGCATTGATTAAATAATTCTTTCTACTTCTGTTCAACAAACACGAGGTGTTACTTTATTTCTTTATTTACGTACAAGCTGACGTTTCGACGGATTTCACCCTCCTCAGAGCCTGGAAAGGTTAAGTTGACTGAAATCTACACTGCCAAACATCTCCATAAGCAAACAGAAAAAAAGGGCGCTTGTGAGAAACATGTTTCGAACAGCTACCATCGTGTGCACAGGAAGACAGCAGAGGAGTCCTGGAACTTGGCACGGCAAATAGCCATTTCTAATGGCTACGAAACTATAGCTCGAGATTGGTGTAGAGGAAACCAAAGGTACCCTAACGATAACTCTAGCGACAATAACGTCCCGTTTATGCCGCCCTTCATTTCAAATGAAGTAAGTGCAGCTATAAAACACTGTTTGAGAAGGGCCGCTCTAGAGAATTCGGTAACGACAATTGAAATGCCACCGAGTAATCTAAGACGCCACCTAGTTCGTAACCACCTATACGACCGTCTATGTGCAACGCAAAATTGCATAATTTGCCCCAATGGTAAAGACGGCGGCTGCATGAGTTCGGGTACAGTCTATCTGATCTCTTGTAAAGTGTGTGGGGACGAATACGTTGGCGAAACGGTTAGACGACTCTGCGTGCGTATAAAAGAACACCTAGTCGGCAAACGTAAACCAAATACTCCGCTAGGCACGCATATGACGCAGAGACATAACGGAAAAGATTTTGAAGTAGGGGTTAGGATCCTCGTGCAAGAATCGAGAACACAAGTGCGCAAAACTCTAGAGGCATTTTGGATTAATTCCAACAATCCGAAAATGAACCGCAGGGAGGAATGCCTCATTACATTTTGGATTAATTCCAACAATCCGAAAATGAACCGCAGGGAGGAATGCCTCATTATCACGCGTGATATTGGGCAGTATACAAGCCTGTTATTTTGATGAGATGGGCACATTACGATTCCGTGTGAACTCTGTGCGGTTGGTCTCCACGTGACATATTTAGTGGAAGACTCATAGAAAGCGATGAGTGTGCAAAGACTCTGTGTTCAATGTGATTGAAATTTTTGTTCAGCATTTTCTCTGTTTGGTTATGGAGATGTTTGGCCGTGTAGATTTCAGTCAACTTAACCTTTCCAGGCTCTGAGGAGGGCGAAACCTGCCGAAACGTCAGCTTGTACGTAAATAAAGAAATAAAGTAACACCTCGTGCTTGTTGAACAGAAGTAGAACGAAACGACTGTATTATTTGACAGACACAAGACGAATAAGTCAAGAAAGAGAGCAGTCTAAAAGTGTCAATGACGTCCATAACTTAGTAAAGAGCTTTGTAAAAGGGCTAGGACAGTACAAAAACAATTATCAATATTCCTATAGATCTATGAAAGAGGAAGGCATTGACAATCTTCAACAATAGTTCTTTAAGCCATGACGAACAGTATGCACGCTGTAGTGGACGATTTCATTTCAGAGGGTTCGTTTTCGCCGCATTATATAGATTCATTCAATAGACATCATAACAAGCGAAACGACGTCAACCATAAACCATTAAATTGTACGCAACTAATCGAGGTTGAATTCTTCGTATTTTTGTTGAGCAAACGCGAGGTGTTATGGTTCTTTATTCGCGAATAAGCTGACGTTTCAGCGGGTTTCGACTTCCTCAGAGCCTGGAAAGGTCAAGTTGACAGCAATCTACTCGGCCAGACGCCTCCATAATCAAACAAAGAAACTCTAAACCAAAATTTCAATCACCTTGAACACAGCTTTGCACACTCACCGCTTTCTATGAGGTTTCCACTAAGTATGTCACGTAGAGACCAACCGCACAGAAATCGTAGAAATAATGTGTCCCTCCCATCGGAATAGCAGTCGTATATACTGCCCTATATCACGCGTGATAATGAGACATTCTCCCCTGCGGTTCATTTTCGGATTTCTGGAATTAATCCAGAATGAGGTTGAATATTCCAAAACCGATGTTCCTAGAAGCTCGGTGTTGATGAGCTTACACGAGGCTGATTAACGGTTTCATCCACATAACGTTTCGATGCCTTCGTCTTCATCATAGCCGACGGTCCGAGTCTATAGACAACCGTTCTTCTTTGTCTCGATTTGGCCCCTTCGCCTTCGTCTCGAACTGTCTTCATCAGAGCATTTCTCGAATAAGATTTTGAAATATGGTTATTGCTCTTTGCTAGCTGATAATGATACCGACTTCTGCAGGATTTGATTGTTCAGAAAAACAAGTTACCATCGCCGACTATCACAGCTAACAACCATCAGCATCCTGCATAAACGGGCATCACCGAGTGAGTATGCCTCATTCGAGAGATGGTTCGCTGAGGTAGAGACAACTCGATAGGAAGGCGAAGACGTCAAATCAACACGAAAAAGAATGGTGAACTATTGACTCGGACCGTCGAACAACGATGAAGGCGAAGACGTCAAAGCGTTAGCCGAAGAAAACTGTTTTATCAACCTCGTGTAAGCTCATCAAGGCTAGAATACATATAACTTGAGCACTTCCACAGCCTGTCCTCATTGGTTGTGCTGACCCCAGCATATCCTCCACTTTCGGAGTTTTGCTGGCCTAGCCACTGTGTTTCTCTGGAGTCCCGAGGTCATCCTGGCCAAATTCTGCCCCATGTCGTAACCACCACAGGCAGCCGCTGCCCTTGTGGAACAGAAGGAGATTTGCCACCATGAGACTAATTCGATACCACGACGGTGGTGGATCCTGGTATTGGTCGGCTCTTAGCTGGGCTTCCTGATGAAAACGCCGGACTCAGCTTGGGTCATCATGCCGGGAGGATATATCCCTCCCACTATACATCTCTGCCCGACACCCAGGAACACCTCTCAGCGACGATGAGGTGGTAAACCGTTGTGAGGGTGAGAACATTATTTTGGGGAATAACCGTATCTTTTGGTAATTTGTTTCAAATTGAACAACGAGAACAACAACAATAAGAACATCTACACCAACTCCGCGTCAGCTAAAAGGGCTATTCGTAACTCCTCTATCAGTTAAGGTGATCAACTGGTGCAACAGCTCACACACTGGGTAATTTGCAAGTGAAAATAACACAAATGTAGACCAATACTATTTAATCTTCCTATCAAACGGAGAAAAAGAGGCATTAATAGTTCATATTGTTTTTAAAGTAAAATCGCTTTACAAGAGTATCCCTTCGCTATGTACAAGGTAATCTCTAGTATCCAGTGCTGCATGATGGATTACCCGGAAAATCACAAATCATTATCAATGGGAAATCAGTCTATACACAACCGTCCTGTATAAAAGAGCACTGTCAAGCGAAGTCACCTCATTCGAGCGGTGCTTCACTGAAGACGATTCGACTCGACACGACGACAAGAAGACGAACGACTGTGGACATCAACTGGCTGTGAAGGAGCGGAAAATTTCGAAACTTTAGCCGAATAAGTGTTCGAAAACAACTTCGTATTAGCTTATCGATGAAAAGATAACACTAATAACAAATATTTCTCGGATGTTGCCTGAATCGAGCGCTGGTCCACTGAAGAAGGTATGGTTCGACATCACGACGAGGACACCACGTCGACAGGACGAACGACTGTGGACCACCGACTCGGGTCATCGGCTCTGTTGAAGACGAAAACGTTGAGACGTTAAACGAATAAAGTTGCTTATAAACCTCGTGTTAGCTCAATAATCCAGAAAGGTACCGGTAATAAAAAATAGAAAACAACGTGATGTCAGGGTGATATTAATGCAGTGTGAGAGAGTGAAAAGACGCCGATATGTTGACAGCGGAACGATCACAACAGAATGCAAACGCGGCTGAAACACCGAATGCATAGGATTTCAAGTGTAGCCCTCTATTCTAGACCGGTTGGCGCAGCGGAGTCCGCAGAGAGGCAAAGACTAGTACGAGCGCAAACGTTGCAGTGGAGCGCGTAAACTAGCGCTCATTTTAAATTCTATGATTTTCTCTCGTTGTTTGCAATCCTTCCCCACTCAGCAAATTCCTGTTAGTTGTACAATATTCGGGGCGTATGTGGCGCAGTAGTTACAAGTGCTCTGCAATATACACATGGTCGTTCGTTCGTTCTCGCGTTAAGGGCTCACCAAACCCTCCACCCTTCCGGGGTCAGCAAATTGGTACCAGAACCGTCTGGGAGGATCAGTGGGCTATCGTAAGTCATTGTATAGACCTGATATTTTATACAATCAGCTCTAACGATGCTCATAGTAGTCAAATTCATAACGCATCTCTCAGGGGTGGATCAACGTCAACAGCTTTATACTTTTTTTTTATATCTTCAACCTTCATGTTCTGATTTGTTTATGAACGAGTTTCCTACAGTATTGCTTATGTCCGCCTATGTCTGTCGCAGTTACTCTGTAACATCCCAATTGCGAAAGTGGAGTGCGTTTGGGTGACTCTCATCGAACGCTTTGCAGTTTTCAGGTCCACTTAAGAAATCGTTCACATCTTTATGACCGCTCTTCTGACCTATCTGAGTTACCTGTTCTGACCTACCTAAATTGTGATAGCTTTTATGTCCAGGGACTAATTGTTCGCTTCAAGTGGTCTCCAGATGGTCGCTTCAGAACTCACAATGGGGTTTCCACTGCCGAGTGTCGGGAGCTCAGCAGCACTCACAAACGCACAGATTCAGGAGGACGAAAAACTTTGGTATCGTTTACTGAAATCAGTTTGTTTGCATTGTTATTAATTTTTTCAATGGATTATCTCTTTAACATCTGAAAGGAAAATGAAAATTTTCCACAGCGATACTGAGATATTTGGAAAACTTCGGACGGCAGGTGTCTGCGGTGGAGAACGAACGCGCTATTACACTTTCCGAGGGCTAACGCGTTCACCGCCACACCATGCGGGTCCTCCGTTTCGCCTGCTTCTCAGCTAGTTTTCTGTCTACCAGTGCCTTCACCAATGGCCCGTCAACGACATTGATCTGGGGGCGCAAAGCTGCATTGAACCCAGTTAAGCTGAGACTATAGTTGAAATCACAATCACAATGCATGGCGGTGGCGAACGCCTTAGCCCCAGGAAACGGTTATAGTGCGTTCGATCGCCACTGCAGACACTTGCGGTCCGGAGTTTTGTAAGTATCTCAGCAGCATTGTGGTTGATTTCGCATGGTACCCCGCCGTAAAAATTGTAGTAGGCAGTAAATAAAAGAAGCGTTCTTTGTTCACCAGTGTTTGTTCTACGTCCGTGGAAACCTATTGATTTTTAAGTAATTATCCATTTAGGACACGAATATTGTCTGAAGTAAGTTCGAAGTCATCGTCTACTTTACAAGGTGGAACGTTAATTATTCTGGGTAAGGAATCACTATTTGTTTTCTCTGAATCTTCTTTTTGTTTTTTCTCGTTGAACCGATTTTCGTTTAGGTGATAACCAGTCTGGAAAATCATCTCTTTTGGCTCGACTAGAGAAAAATGAGAACGTAGGAGAACGTTCAGCTTTGGATTACCATTTCTTGAATGTGCAAAACGATTTTCGCGATGGCAGTTATGCCTACCAATTGGGGACCGCGGGTGGACTCGGTCCAGCTGAGAATCTCAGCTTACCGGTAATGGATTCCTTCAACTTATTTTACTTAGAGTTTCATACCAATTTTTGATGTGCTAATATTTGGCATCAGTACTAACAATGTTATAGGGTGTTACTTCCCAAGGGTTCACCGTCTCATCATGGCTGGAAAATGTTCCTGGGTGTCGGGTTGCCGTGTGCAGCTGGGGGATTCATCGCCTTGCTGAGGTCTCCCAAGCTGGGAAGGAGTCCGGCGTTTCCATCAGGAAACTCAGCTATATGTAAGCCGATAGCAGGATCCACCACCGTCCTGGTATGAAACTAGTCGCACGGTGGGAAATCTCTGTTTGATCCACAACGGCGGTGACTGCCTGTGGTAACGACTTGTGAGAGACTTTAGCCATGATGACCTTGAGATTTCAAGGAACCGCATTCTGGGTAAAGAATCACTACTTGTTTTTTCTGAATCGCAATGGCTTAACCAGCAAAACTCCGAAGAACTGTGGGTTATGCGGGGCCCGCATAACCAGTAAGTATGGGCCATCTAAGTATTCAAGTATGTGGTGTTAACTATAGGGCGCATGTAGCGCAGTGGTCGGTGCCAAGCCTCCCATCCGTCCAGGGTCGGCAAATTGGTGGCAGACTTGCCTTTGAGGATAGCAGCACTGGCTCGATACATCGGTTGGCCGCGAGTTATTTTAAGGGGCAGATATGCATTTAATCACCTCCAAACAATACTTAATGAAGCCGAATGCATGGCGGATCCCTCAGGGATTGATCAACGTCGGGGGCTTTATATTATATTCTTTACTATAAATTGTGTTTTTAACTGGAGTATTTCTGTATTTTCCGATATTGTGATCGTTGTTTTATCGAGAATGTTTCTGGACAACATCGTTTATTCGTACAAAATTTAGGTATGGATGTTGGATGGCGAGGAGTGCTTTGCGCCGCTTATCCAGTACGCACTACCGTTGCCTTCTCCTGCGAAAACTGTTGTGCTTCTCGTCGCCTCTCTAGATAACCCCAGTTGGTTTTATTTGTTTGACCACAGCTCTTTCAACTCTAATTGTATTTCCTACTAGGTTTGATCCATTCAATTAGGCGGTGGGCAAACATTTTCACCCAACAAGTCCTACAAAAATACGATAAAAACGCAATCACAGAAGCGAAGGCCTCTCGTTAGTTCTTGTTGTTGATATATATGGATTATTTTTTTCATGGTGTTTCATCGTTACATTTCTCAGTTTTCTCGTCTTAAATACAGCACTACAATCTTAGTTTTGCAGAGGAACGGTTTTGGCAGGAATATGTTGAACCTGTAGAATCATCAATGACTTCGTCTATGGCTCCAGGAGCTCTAGATGACGGTGGTTTGCTGCCTCTTGAACATGGTGTTCTATCTGAAAATTGTGGAGCCAGTTTTGTTGTTGTGATTACGAAAAGTGACTTATGTAAGTTATTTTCTCCGTCAGTTAAAGTCATTCTTTAGAACAGTTAAAGAATTCGAAGAAGGGTTATTGAACCCAGTTCCCGTTTTGACACACCTGCGTTGACTGCACTTCTATCCATCAAATATAGGAAACGGGAACGAAAAGTTTTGCTCGAAGCCTGCTTTCAAACCACTTAAGGGGCCTATTTATCGTGTTCTCTATTAAACAAACGTAGTAAAATGACGAAACGATAATGATGCCGGAAATCAGCCGTGAGAAACTTTTTACCGTTCGTAAAGATGAATTATCATTGACGCATGGAACTGCTTAGTTTTTATATGTATGGCCCTCTCCCACAGCTGTCTACCCTTTCTTCACACGTCATGTGGTTTCCAATGCGCCGTCCATTCATTGGACCCTCTCCCATTTATCGTCCATAAAAGGATAAAAGATCAGAGCTGTTGGCATTGATCAATCCCTGAGGGATGCGCCATGCATTCGACTTCATTAAGCATCGTTTGGAATTGATTGAATGCATATCTGGATTCTACAATGATTCGCGGTGGCCTACCGATGTATCAAGCCAGTGGTGCTATCCTCCCAGACAAGTCTGGTACCAACGGATGGATGAAAGACTTGGTGAGTCTGGGACGCGGGGATCGATCCCACGTGTGTGTTGCAAGGCTTTTGCGACCACTGCGCCACACACGCCCTTTATTATCAATAGCACTAGTTTATTTCAAGCAAAATTTCGTCTAAGAGTACGATTGCATGGTCTGTAGATTGTTTCTAACTGCTGTAACGGCTAGCTTGCATGAACCATCGCGTTATTGTCTCATTTGCATATTTCTTCTTCTGTTTTTCTCGCCTATCTGCCATACATTCTTCTTACCACATGACCAGCCCATCTTTGCCTTTCTTTTAAATGTGTTTATTCCTTTATCTTGAAAAATAGATAGAGAACGGCATGACCCCGCTTCATTCTGTGTTCGCCGGTTATTCTCTGGGAGATATAGTTATAGTGAAGCTATTCCTCGATTCCGTGCTGTCTTAATGTCTAATGTTACAGGTGTTGACCTTACTGATATACAAGCAGATCGTATCGTTGTACATGTTCGAAAGCTTTGTCTTCAGCTCGGTGCAGCTTTAATATATACTAGTGCAAAGAATGTAAAAAACATTCAGGTATCGTTGTGTTATAGAGTGTTCGCTCACAACTTAGTCGGTGAAAAATGTTGTGTTGTTTGATCTAACTCTAAAATCAACTGTATAGGCTTAATAGCACCATAAATTAGGTTGGGAACAAAATCCAAATGCGCGGACCGTGTACAACCAGTGTAGACTTTTTCAATTTCAGATGTTGTACAAGTATGTTGTTCATCGTGCCTTTGGCTTTCCATTCACAAATACGGCTCAGCTTATTGAAAGAGACTCAGTATTTGTGCCGGCTGGCTGGGACGGTGACAAGAAAATCGAGATAGTCAGGGTTCGTACTGCGTAAACCAACGTGGTTATGATTAAGACTTCATTGTATCTTCGCACGGTCCATTCTCCTTTTTTAAATCTTTAGAAATCTCTTATGTCAACATACACGAAAAACTTTCAAATCTAAGCTTCTTTTCTGCAGGAAGGTATACCTGATGCTGATACAGTTCTGGAACCGACAAGGGAAAAACCAACGATTGCAAGGGAACAGTTGATTGAAGCGGAAGATGAGCAGGTGAATTTTTGATATCCATAACATTTTTACAGCCCAAGTGTAGCATCGGTTCAGGCTTTTCTCCAACGACTTGCCGCAGCCGAAAATGCGGCACCTGCAGCTCAGAAAAAGACTAACCTTCTAGATGATACTGCAGACAACAAGACCCCATTGTCTAGCTTCTTCTCGAATCTCTTGAAGGTGACTGTCTTGTATTTCGTTCTTTTTAAATATTGTTAGGAACTACTAGAACTTTCTCTTAGGATAAGCCAAACGTCGTGAAAACAGCAGTGCCTCCGCCGGACACTGCCGTACAGCTGGACCGCATTTTAAAGAGCGCTACAGGACAGCAAAGTCAGAGCAGTAACGAAGGCTCTGCTTGATCTAGCGTACCATTTCTAATCTATTTATTTCGCGAAGTCCACTGTATCATTATGTCGACCTTCACTATTGAAATACCGCAGAACTTGGTTAAACCACTGAGCTTTATTGGTCTACAATCACCAGTTTATGGTAGTTATAAAGCGTTTATGGTAGCGAAAGAATAATAAATGTAACTAGCACTGAACCCCATCAAATGTGAATACCCGGTAGCTCGAATGCTTAGTTCAAAACCAAAACGTATCTTATATCTTGACAGCGATATGAAAAATAGAGCACTCGTTCAAAACAAGATGAGCACCAATATCACTAGATATCCGTTGAGGAACAAATATTTTGGAGTCACAAAGCTGCAACGTAGAAAAGCAGTGTGCAGAACGAGTGAGGGTTATAGCTGTAGCCCACTGGACAACAAAAAAAAATAATCAACAAATATGAACTACAGCGGATTCAGGTGTATTGGAACAATGTGAATCGTATACCATGTATTTTCTTTTTGCTCAGGAGATTCTGTTAACATAGAAAACTCTGGAAAGATGAATAGATGTGAATAAGATGTTTACTTTCGAACCTATCGATCGAAGATCTTTGCCATATCTGCGACAGAGCGACGATTGTTTGCATTTTCATCGTTAATATCTATGGATTCCGTAATAACTTGTGCTATGATTGGACCGTTACGCGACCCTGGCTTTGGTGGAAGCGATGGGGCAGCAATCGGTATGTTTCTAAATGAATTTATGTTAATAGTTCCATCTGTCAAACAAGGATTGCTATCATTTAACACGGTATATGGATGGGATTTGTTGAAATCTCGTATATATATATGAGAACTTGGTTGAATATTGAGGTGAGCTTGTAAGCAGTAAGAAGCGGGAAACCACTCACCTGACACGGTTTGGTAGCGGAGGAGGTGAGTCTGGATCGGTAGTGATCCGAGGAGAACATGATGGGCCCGGAGAACTGAGCGCCGAGTTCTGAACTGGAGACTCTGGTTTTGGCGACACTGCCCTATCGGCAGCAGAACGGGACAATACTTGCGACAAGAATCCGGCATCAGGTAACATCGCAGCACGGAAACCGACACGTTCTGATGGGTGCTGAACAAGCACTACGTTAGCCTACCCATCCATAAAGACTGTTGATGCTGCATGTGGATGTAAAATATAGCTTATTGACCTTCTTAGCCGCAACATCATTAACATCAGCGACATTCTCCTCACTCTTGGTAGACTGTGCTTCTTCGTCGATGTCAGTGCTGTGGCTCATGGACGTTTCCTCATTATGTGACTGTAGTTGTCGTGCTAAAATCCATATTTCGAAAGTTTTTAATACGTATAGGTTGTAACGACTTACTTTGACATGATATTCCAGATCTCTTTGGCAACCTTGGGCGAGACTTCTGCAAATGCACCAAAGCTGATGGTTGAGGAGGAGCATCTAGTGTTATACCTGATTCGTCATCTCGTGATAATGGAGCACTTAGAGGAGAGTGTAAATCTCCAATGATGCTACGAGGCCTGTGTCCAGAATCGATGAGTCTAAATAGTGGTGTTTCATCCAGCGATGGTGTAGAAATATTCACTTGCGAACCGTTTCGAGAACAAGGGCGACGTAATTTGGCGAGGTGAACCGCTTTGTGAAGCAGTGGAACTCAAACTGCCATCAGCACTCATTCGAGACTTCTCAGGTAGTACACCGCTCCACTCGCATAGCTCCTGCCATCGCCAGTCACTTCAAAATTCATAACAATTGGGCAAACAACACATGGTCCCTCTCAAGTCCACACATTACCTAAAGACCCGTATAAGAGCATCTCGCCAAAGCTCTTTGAGACGGTGAACTGCGATTTTCTCTGCCCTTCCACTGTGTTGTGAATATTCTTCGGAAACACCACTGTGTCGAAAAATTGAGTCTTGTAAATTAAGGGCACATTCACAACGCATCTGAAAGGAAAAAAATATTTTTTTGGAATAAACCGAAAATCCTTATAGACGACGGACCTGTTCTACAAAGTCGTCAACCATCTCTTCCATACGATGTGAAAGAACATCTTCTGCCGTATTAGAAAGAATATCTCCTAAGCAGTTACACTTCTCGTGATTTTCCGGATATAACGTCTAAATACAGGTCTACAAATTAGTTCGAAAAGTATTACTATCGTCACTTATATAAAGCAAACCGCGGAAGTCATCCGAAAATTGGCCATATCCGAATTCATTGGTGAACGGTTTCTCTCAAGAGACAACTCTATTTCAGACATAGTTGATAGTATACGCGACCGATCGCATCCTGCTCTCGACAAGCATTCGCTGACATCTTGCATTGGATAAGGAATGGAAGTAAGAGTTCTGTTCCTACAAATACTGTGTGAGCACAAAGGTTTATGTCTAAAAAAATAGAAGAAAATGAATGAGAAAACTCCTACATGTTGACAGCCATCGCGAGATCAAGCAAGCCTTCAAGACCCAAATGGTTGTTATCGATTATAATGGTACGCAGTGATACATTCAACTGCAAGGCCTAAAAACAAATCTAGTGGATTATTCGTTATCCATTTTGAAATCTTAGAATTCCCTAACTATTCAAATTTGCCATATTAAGCCAAAGTTATGAATTTCTTAGATGAGGAGATAGAGATAACACATTAGACTGTGGACGTTTTACACCTAAAGGTCCCAAGGGTTCATAATTCGTTCGCAACTCTCCCACTCATTCTTAAAAATGAAAACAAAATGTGTGATGCGAATACCTTCGAAAGAATCCTCGCACCAAACTGCCCTAGATCATTGTTGGATATGTCGAGAAGACGCAACGATGTCGGTGTACCTAATGTATTTAGGAGAACACTTAGATGAGGTCCAAGTCGTGCATCTGACAAGATCAGCTCTTCCAACGGCTGTAATATCAAAAATGTGGTTTTAGCTATATGATAGTGTCAACCTGGACACTACCACAAGCCATGAAACCATAACGGACTGTTATCCATAGCAAAAACGTACGGATTCATCGGAGAATAGTTTAACAATGTCAAAAACAATTTTATTGATTATAGCCACATGAGCTTGCTTCGAAGATCGTCGTAGAGCAATCAAATTCGCACCGCCTAAATCGACACGGCGCAACTTCTTCATATTTCCGAGAGCGTGGACAACACCCTAAAATTAGAGCCTATATTCAAATTTATAATTAATAATGTTATAATTCAACCAAGAGATTAATAAAGACCATCGCCTCCGGATAGATTTTATAGGTACCTGCATGTCTGTCTCCAAATTGTTGTCTCTGAGTGAAATGCTGCTGCACTGTACACCTGCCAAACATGCCTCTAGCACTGCACCGCAATTCTTCTCACATGTTCCACTGATGTCCAGATGAAAAGGCTTCAACTGAAAGGATGAAATAAAAGGTATACTGCTGCCTCCCAACGGTTTACCGCCTCATCGTGGCTGGGAGGTGTTGCTGGGTGTCGGGCTTCGATGTAAAGCGGGGGATTTATCCTCCAACAGGATCTCCCAAGCTAAGAAGGAGTCCGGCGTTTCCACAAGGAACGCTAGCCAAGAGTAAACCAATATCACGATCGACCACCGTTCTGGTATCAAACTAGTCGCATGGTGGCAAATCTCCCACTGATCCACAAGGGCTGCGACTGGCATTGGTGGTGACGACCTGGGACAGACTTTGGCCAGGCTGATCTCGGGACTCCAGGGAAACAATAGCTAAATAGCAACACTCCGAAAATGGAGATTATGCTGAGGCCCGCATAACCAGTGAGGATGGGCCGTCCAACTATTCAAGTAAGTAAAAGGTACTACGGCTTTTGTTGAAGTTTGATGACAAGAAAGACTGCAGAAAATAGCTAAAGTCTGCATAAATGTTCGGCATGTCCAAACGAAATAGAATGCTGGACGTACTTACTTGTTGGTTACTAGCTAATCCAAGTAACAACGCTTTCATTATATCTGCTGGTAGAATAGTGTTAGCAAAGCTAATGTGCGATAAGTTCACGGCCATAGAGAAGAACTCTTTAACCTGCTGCAACACGAAGGAAATAACATCGCAATGAATCAGCCATAGATCAGTCCTCTTAGTTAAACTAACTTGCACACAATCCATTGGTTTCTTTCCAGCATAACATCCACCAAGACATAGCTTTTCAATCTGTAGACCTCCATATTTTAATGCGGCCCAGATTTTATCTAGTGGGAATCCAGTATCGGTCAACTCAAGAACTCGTAAGGACGTGCAGAGTGAGACCACGTTGACTAATGAGGATACCTTTAAATAAAAAGTTGGAACAAACAAAAGCAAAGCAACAGAAAATCGAACGGTTCGAAAGTAACAGCACGCTCACATACATCGTCTTTCAAAACATTCGTTGATAAAATAAGATGGGTTATACTAGACCCCATCCCGCTGTTTGACTTGGCCGTTAGTCCACTGAAATGATGCAGTAGAAATAAGTGAGCAAATATTACTCAAAATTTGAAGCAATCAATAAATGTATCCATAAACGTACGAATATATCCCAGCGAAAAAAAATTGCAGGCACTTGTCACTGAGAGTACATTCAGAGAAGTTCACTTTACGAAGTTTTGATAGACGAGGGAGCACTCCAGAGAGAAGTACGAAACCTAAAAGAGGGAGAGACGAGTGACACAACGCTTCATTGCTTGCTTCTATATAGAACTGATGCCAACCTTTCTTATCATCAAGTACATTTTTCGAAAAATCTATCGATTCTAGTGGGATCGACGTATTTTGCTGTAATGCCGAAGCAAATAAAGTGATGAAGTCTCTGAATACACAGCTACTGAAATGAAATCGTAAGGCACAGCAAATTATGAGTGGACAGGTACCGCGGCAGGGCACAGTTCTTTAGATGAAGCTGCTGGAGACAGCGGGATTTGCGAACGACACCCATTATAACATCGATCACTTCAGCAGTCATACGAGTACCATCGGCGATGAGACCCGTAAAGTAAGATGAGTACTGCAGTACACCAGTGATGGGCAGTAGATCCCTAGAATCAAGTAATTTTGAAAAGAAAAAATAAAAAAACAAAAAAGCAGACGTCACCCACTTGGGTAATAAGTGAGAGAAATCCTCGACCCGCAAGCAGTATATCCGATTAACTGTGTATATCTTCTCAACATCCTGAAAATTAAGCAAAGTGTTAATAATGCTATCGTAGAAGACGAAGAACTTACCCATGAAACTTCTTCCCTGTATGGCTGATCATAATAATCACATAGTGCAGCATATGTTCTCCTGAAAGAATGGCATGCCCTGGCCTCAGCATCCCCATTCATCGTCGAAAATTCGTTATATAAACTTTCAGGGGCCAATTCAATCATTGATTGCAATTGCGATCCTGTAAGTCGACTTCCAATGGAATTGCCAATGTTCATTAGACTCTGAATCGTTGAAACAAAAATATAAAAATACATAGGTATTTTACTACATATATACCTACTGAAGGGGCAGACCTTGGCTAAGCTGACCTCGGAACTCCAAGGAAACACAATAGCTAAACAGCAAAACTCCGAAAATGGAGATTATGCTGAGGCCCGCATAACCTGTGAGGACGGGCCGTCCCAAGTGTCCAGGTATATACCTACTGACTTACCGCCCCATCAAAGTACACCAAGTTGACGAAATCATTTCCATCCTGAAGTCCAAAGAAGGTTAAGTCTAGGTCGGCAAGCTCTTCCTGATTCTTTCTTTTTTGTCAAAGAGAGTAAAAAAGGCAAACGACCAGAAACGTGATGCTCTTCGTCTTCCTAGTGTGTATCTAGTGCGCGACAGGAAGAAGTGAAGTTCATCGGTGTTTGCATGAGTCACTACATGATTAATGTGATTTTATGCATATATATATATATATGCATATATATAAGGGTGCGCGAGCGCAGTGATCGTAGGCGCCCTGCAATACACACAGGATCGGTCCTCGCACGCCTGGTCCACCAAGCCCTCCATCCCTCCGGTGTCGGTAAATTGGTACGAGACTTGTTTGCGAAGACAGTAGCACTGTTTCGATACGTCGGTAGGCTACCGCAAGTTATTGTAAAGGTCAGACATGCATTCCATCACCTTCAGCGATGCTTAATGAAGTCGAATGCACGGCGCATCCCTCAGGGATTGATCAACGCCGAGAGCTTTATCTCTTTAACCTTTATGTATATATATATATATATATTACTAGGAATGGTTAATAAAATAGCAGAAAATCCTCTCACTTATGTCCGGAAAATAGCGTAATAATGAGTTAAGAATGTGCCTTATCAACACAGAAGCCGTTGCTTGCGAGCTTTTAATAACGTATCGTTTTCTGTGTCCGGCGTCTTCAAAGGAGATGGCCACCTGTAACAAGCAGGGCGATTAAAGTGTACTAATGGTACTGAAAAGACATGAAACTCCACCACTACCTCCTCGCCCTTTAGAGTGTTAATAGATTTTATTGCAAGAATATGGTAGCTTCGATCAATCTTTAAAGATGACGGAGACTTTCCAGTGAGCAGAAAAATACGAAATTTAGATATGACAAAAATCCTAGGTTCGAATTTCTCTCCCTTATAGGATATTTCTGACGGCAGTACAATTCGATAGTCAAAGAACTTGTTGCCAAGCACGGACGACGGTTTCTCTGAAAACATAGTTCAGAAAAGGCACTGTCAGTTAGTTGAGGGGAAACGAATGCTAGTGGGGGAAAGAGAAGAAGCAAAGGACAACCCACGTTTGATGTACTCGCATAATTCCTGCAGAACACTCCTGGACATGGACATAACAGTGATGGTTTCCTTGTAGCCGATCCCTGACTTTACATAGGTCTTCTGGTTGGTCGGGTTGTGGAAGCTCTAGAACTGATCTCACTCATCACAACGTACAAATCTTGTCAATAAATTTTGAACGGAACCAAAGCTGCAACGGACAATAAGCGTTAAACCAAGGAGCGAAATATAAATGATATTTGTGAGTAGTTGGTGACCCTGACGAGAGGTGAGGAACCGAGGATCGCGAAGAATACAGCACCTCACTAGCTGAATCAATAGTAGATTAAACAAGTAAGACACTCTCGAGAAAGAACGAGAAATGCCCAGAACAACTTTGTGATCGGTAGGGAGGTTACCGGCTAGTCACTCATATGCCAGACCGCACGCCGAACCCATCGAGTGCGACCCGCCGACAAGTGCTGGCCGCCGACCACCTGCCTCCCCCACGCCAGAAAACCCAAGGGCCGAACTTGACCCATGCCCTGTCCCTGTATGCGTTACGTAGCCCTAGCTCGTACCGATGCTGAGAAATCACAAAAAACGCTGGCCGCTCATTACCACGCATTAGTCTATACGAATACTCCACCAGCTTATCATTTTTGTGAGAACAACGACTCTCTGCCTGACTATTTACCTGTTAGATTCAAAATGAGTAGCTAAGCATTTTCAAATGCAGATAATAGACTTTAAAATAGTTCAACCAATCAAACCAGACTTTAGAAATCGCTAAAATGAGCCAAAAAAATTGAGAGTTGTCCTAGAATTCTGCTGCTTCCGCTGCGGAATGTGTGCCGTCGTTTCCGATTCTGTAATAGCGTTTTCATTGTCCAAGGTTCCTTCCGTCATGTGGCTTGCCGCCAAGAGTTGGCACTGGTCATGTACGATTTCGAATAGTCATGGAGATGGTTCACATAGGAATCGGAAGTTTCTAGCTGCTTGCTCATCTTGGCATGTTTTCGGCCTTCTTCTTCTCCATGGACGAGAATTTCCCATGTGATAGGAGACGATCGTGGGAAGGCAAGCAATGGGAAGGGCTTGTTGTTTGTGTGTAGGCCTTTGTCTAAGTGCAAGCCTTGTCAGATGCTCTACCCAGTGCACAGTCTGCAAAGTAAAAACCTGGCGCTTTATTTCATGTTGGAGACTTCGTCACGGAAAGGGCTGTTCAGTGAAATGGTGTTGAAAGGAGACATGAAGATCTATAATACTTAGACAAGGGACGTAAGAAAGTTTTCAATTGTAACGTGAATAGTTGCAAGACAGAATATGATATACAACCATAACGACGTTGAGATATTTGCGAAACTCCGGACCGCTGGTGTCTGGGGTGGGGAACGAATGCGATATTCCCTTTCTGGGCTGACGCTTTCACTACTACGCCATGCAGGTCCTTCGTTTTGCCTAAAGTTTTAAGGTGGTTTTCTTCATTTGAGCTGTATGTGTACAGCCATCTATCTTACCAGCTTAGTTGTTTCATATATTGAATATTCCAATGAAGAAGTCTTTTATCTAGTTGTCAAGCTCCAATTCTAGTTATCCTTATCAATCATGGGCTAGTTACTCCTGGCTTGACTGTAACAAATAGCTTTCTGGATTAAATAGAATCGCTAGTAAGAAAAAAGGGTCCTACTTCACTTATAACTATCTTTTCCATGGAAAACTTCAGTAAGACGAGGTTTTTTCCACGTCTATGCAAACATTTACGGAGGGTGGATTACGGAGGCTTTGGTCATTAAATAATTGAAGGATTTACGGGTGAAATCTTCATTAAGTTGCCATCGTGGCTTTGCTTTCTACGATACTAATCGCTAAAACCCTTGGCCGTGGCCAGCATTGATGGGCAACAACTCTGCCGACGGCCGACTAATCTCATCGCGTACTCCACTGATCACTCGGATTTGTTCCAGTCGCTGCTTCAATTCGGACAACGAGTTTTTTGCACTGCTTCATCATTTGGGCAATGGGTGTGAGTTTCTAACTGATCATGGTAGAGCCTTCTTAAGAATATTTTGTTTTATTGAGAACGCGTGTACCACAGTGGTCGGAGGCGCCCTGCAATGTACATGAGATCGATCCCCGCGCTCCAGGCTCATCAAGCCCTCCATTCATCCGCGACGGGAAAATTGGTACCGGACTTGTCCGGGGGGATAGCAGCACTGGTTCGATGTATCGGTAGGCCACCGCGAGTCATTGTAAAGGCCAGATATACATTCAATAATCTCCAACGATGCCTAATGAATTCGAATGTTTGGCGCATCCATCACCGATACTTCCTTGATCAACGCCTTTATCCTTTATTTTTGTTTTACAGAAAACAAAATATTATGCGTACACTCTGAATAGCTGAACAATAATGTAAGATGTCATATGATTATGAACAAACCGATAGATCCCAGTCGTCTCTTTCAAACTACAGGCGCTTACATCATAGCATATATGAATACACACATATATACACGTATATGTATACATATGTATATATGTATGTATGTTGTATGTTAACGTATTCTAAACAACTTATTTTCAGGTGCAGAGCCAAATGTCGTTGAGTGCTATGATCCATGGGTATCGGAATTTCTTAACAGCCAAAATTAGATCCGGATTCAAGCGCAGGAACACTTACATTCAAGCAAACCATATTTGTAGCAAAGTTGTCAAAGAAGGAACACATGTCCTTTTCCTTCATTTTGGGTTACCCAGAACAGAGTTCTATGCCAAAGAATTCCTGCGGAAGTCAGCTGCCGTTTACTATCAGATCCCAAAGAAAATGGAAAAGTGAATTCAACTGTCACGTACTTCTGTTTAGTTTTTTTGAATGGTAGTATTGTTCTTGCAGATTTATCCCGTCTGCTTTGATGGTAAGCGGAAAAGTTCGGGACTGTATAGCGAAGTATGGGGACTCTCGTGCCATTGAGGACTCTCTCAGCAGTTTTGCAGGGCGTGTACAAAGTTACTTGAATACTCTCGTACCAGAGTTCGATCCTGTGACGTGTTCAAACGCCTTTCTTTTTGATGAACCGTCTATCGAACAAGAGTTGATAAACGTTGGTAGGTGAGCACTATCCTTTTTCTTTTCTTTTTGCCTTTATGGCTTGTTTATCCACTTGGTCGCTTGGTGACTTTCATCGATTTCTTCTTGCTTGAAACATCATGAAAAAAAAGATGAAAAAATACGAGTTGAATGACTGATTCAGAATAGGGCTTTTACTTGGATTCTTCGATGCGTGGACGGACCGTCCTCACTGGTTGTGCATGGTCCAGCATAATCTCCATTTTTCGGAGTTTTGCTGATTTAGTCAGTGTGGTTTTCTGGAGTTCCGAAGTCAGCCTGGCCAAAGTCTGCTCCGGGTGGTCACCACCAAAGGCAGTGGCCGTCGTTGTGGATTAGAGGGATATTTACCGCCATGTGAGTTGTTTTATACCAGGATGGTGGTGGATCCTGGTCTTGGTTTAGTCTTAACTGGGCTTCCTGATGGAAATGCTGGACTCTTTCTAAGCTTGGGAGACCCTTCTGGAGAGATGAAGCCCGCGCTGTACATCGCAGCCCGACACCCAGGAACACCTCGCAGCCACCATGAGGCGGCAAGCCGTTAGGAAGTAAATAGGGCTCTAACATTATAAAAATCAAGAAGCTAGAGGCACAGATTGTAGGCTTATTTTGTATGACTAGTGGGAATATGTTATATATGTGCGATTATTAGCTAGTTTATTCGCAATCATCCTCGAAAGGACGCGTATAGCGTAGTGGTTAGAGAGTGACCTGCAATACATATGGGCTCGATCTCCAGCCTCAAGGTCATCAAGCCCTCCATCCTTCCAGGGTCGGAAAATTGATGCCATACTTGTCTAGGAGGATAGCAACATTGATCCAGTACATCGGTGGGCTAGCACGAGTCATTATAAAGGCCAAATATGCATCCAATCACTCCTAACAGTGCTTGATGTCGAACTCATGGCATCACTCAGGGATTCATGAACACCGAGAGCTTTATCTTCTTCGTTATTATCGTAGACCGTAAGTTGTTGTTTAATTTCTCGGTTAAGTACTCGATCATCCTAGTAGTAAAACTGAGTTATAAATTACTTATGTTCATAGAAATCAATAAATATTGCCTAATCGAAAAACCTTTTTGAAAAACATCTCTAACTATACATCTTTGGTCCATAGATATTATTTTGGTTATGCTATTTTCACAGGAGCGGTTGCTCTCACATCGTTTTGGTTCCGTTCTATGCACATTTCTCATGTGCACATTCTGGATTTCTTCTCAATGAGACTGCGAGAGTCCTCCAGAAGTTCACTAAACCAGCATTCTTGAATGGTAAAGAAGTTCATTATGAAAGAATTGTACCGAATTCGAGTAACTCCTTCCACGTATCTGTTCTGCATCGGTGGAGCAGTCACTCTGTTGTGAGCGAGGTATGTTCTTAGATAACTTGTGAACAAAAATCACTATAACAGTGGTGCTGAGATATTTGCAAAACTCCTGACCACAGCTGTCTGCGGTAGAGAACGAACGCGCTATTACTCTTTCCGTGGCTAACGCATTCACCATCTCAGCTGGTTTTCTATCTACCAGTCTCATCAGCAATCACCCGTCAACAGGATTGATCTGGGGAGCCCAATCGGTAATGAACCCAATTAAGCTGAGGCTCTACCTAAGATCATCACTATATTTAGCGTTACATCCTGCCATAATCTCTTTCTATACTAATCTCGTGCAAATATTTCAGTTTTATTCTCATCTTTGGTGATCTTCTAAGTGTTAGAAATTACAGTACTGGCTTCACATTCTCAAAGGCAAGAGCGATGATTTCGGCGGCGCTGTTTTCATCACTCCAGCTAGTGCAAGTTTACGTTATTCGTCTTTCTACTGTTATATTTTTTTTAACTTATTTCGGTTCCACTATCAAAAACATCTTCAGAGAGGTTATAACAGCAAAGATCACCGTCGATCTGTGTGGTCAACATGCGAAAGAGTCATGTCTGGTTTGAACGATCGATTTCCCTGGCGCCTTGGCTTTTTCAATGCATGGGATCAGTGGGATTTACCAGTAGGGGATTCATTAGCAATGCAGGTTCGTCTGTATTTTTGTTGCATTCACTTTCGTGGTGCTTTAACGCCGTTGACATATAACACGCAATACTTGATACATAAGTGGCCGCCATGCATTTGTATGAACACACACATGCATTGAACACAATGCATACTTCTTCCTAGTTTGTTTTGGCGCAAAGAGTTCATCTGTTGTGGTTTTGTGTTCGGTTGGTTGCTTATGGAAAACGGACGTTGTGCCAAAACTAGTTTCTGGTAAGCTGTTCTGGACACTTAACAATCGTTAAAGAACCTTTTTCGGACGAATTTTTGAATGAAGACCGCGCGAAGAGAAAGGTAAGTTAATCATGAGTGACCACGACATATTCGGTTGGAATGACCCAGGATTTCTTCTTGATTACGATCTTCGCAGAATTTGCTTGCCATTTAAAGACATTGCTATCTGCAGATAATGAACGGTTCTGATTTTTCAACAGTAGACGATAATATTTGTCAGTCAGGGAGTTTAACATGTTTAGAAGAGACTACTCTCTCGCTTTAAAGACGTATTTCTTAGATCATCGATCGACTGCTAATTGAAAGTGACTACTATCGTTAATGGTGACAATGAGGAAGCTAGAGATATGAACAACAATGTGTGCTCTCCTCCATTTTCGGGCTAAGAGTCTGCAAAAATGAGTCAAACAGAGAAAGAGGAAAAAGGTGTTGATGGAGCGTTGAGTTGTCTAACAATATGTTGCGTCCCAAAAACCCTGTTTTTTCGATGACTGTCATCTGAGCAAAAAAAAGGTAAACCTATTGGGGTTGATCAATCTCTGAGAGATGCGCCATGCATTAGACTCCATTAAGCATCGTTGGAGATGATTAAATGCATATCTGGCCTTTACAATGACTCGCAGTGGCCTACCGATGTACCCAGCCAGTGCTAATATCCTCCTAGACAAGTCTGCACCAATTTACCGATTCCGAAGTAAAGAAGGCTTAGTGAGCCATGGGCGCAGGAATCGATCTCATGTGTATTGCGTGACCCCTCCGACCACTGCGCTGCACGCGTCGTCTTGGTATGGACCAATTTTTGTTTGTGTACACAGAATGAGCAGGATCCTACATTTTATTTATGGGAGATATTTGGAAGCTGATTTAGAAGTGGACGGATAGTACGGACTGCAAAGGGATAGATTTGGAGAAGTGATAAGTTTTGACAAGATGAAGTGATCCATTGCTCTTCTTTTGGAAAATATTAAGCTGCAAAAGCTGAAAGAATGAGACGGATTCTAATTTCTGTTCGCTAATCTTCGCTGTCCCAACCAGCGATATATTGTTGAAGTGATAATTTATAAGACGCCCAAGCAGGTCGTCCGCTTGATGCTGAATGGAGGACAATGGACAACGCAACCAGGTTTGGAATGTTGAAGTAGAAAGATAAGAAGAATATTATTTATGAAGTCAATAGTTCATGACGATCACTTTCGCGAACCCATCAAGTAGCGTCGGCTGTCGAAAACTACAGTCATGGAAAGCTCCGCAGGAACACAAAAACATGGAAGTCCTGAAGTAAACACATGAGGAAAGCCTCCATAAATGGCTTTATGGTAGACGTCCTCTTGCGTTATATTGGAAACGGAATGCTTCCACACCGTTGATTTCGCATTTTTCTGAAAAGGTACTAGTGGGCTGAAAACACGGATACTGTGTACAGAATGTTGCAAGGCAATATCAATTCACTTCAGTTGTAAATGCGCTGCAAAACACGCAAAGAAGGTTACCAGTAGGTGCTATGTACTGAGGGAAACGTTGCTTAGACTATTTGAGTAGTGATAATGCAAAACCTACGCCTTCGCTACAGTGTGTACGTGAAGTATTACGCGTGTAACAATTGCAAGTTCCATGTGATAATTGCTGGTTATAGACTTACCTACTTATATACTTCGACGATCCATCCTCACTGATTGTGCCGGCCCCAGCATAATCTCCATTTTTCGGAGTGTTGCTGGTTTAGCCATTGTGGTTCTCTGGAGTCCTGAAGTCAGCAAGGTTAAAGTCTGTCCCAAGTCGTCACCACCACAGGCAGTAGCCGTCATTGTGGATCAGAGGGAAATTTGCCACTGTGCGACTAGTATGATACCTGAACGGTGCTGGATCTTGGTATTGGTTTATCCTTGGCTGAGTTTCCTAACGGAAACGTCGGACTCCTCAAACTAGAGGAACCTGCCGAGGCGATGATTCCTTCCTGCCGTAAATCGCAGCCCGACACCTAGGAATAATAGCCACGATCCCAAGAAAACGGTAAGCCGTTGTGTTGGGAGGGCTAATTGGAGACAGGAAATGCTGGTTGTACGCAGTGTATGCTAGTTCTATGTTGCATTTTTAGATTGTATGTATGTGTAATTTGTAAACTATAAGTTGTAAAATAGATGTCCTTCACCATAACGCATAAGACATCCAGTGAGGATTAAGGTAGTAAGACTTCGTAACTGTCTATAGAGACAAACATCTCTGAAGAACATTGCTTAACGTATGCACTGCTGTGATTGTAGAGTCACTCTGCTCTGAAGAAGCTTGCTCAACGATTTACCATCTTATCATAGCGGAAAGCTCTCCCTTCATCTTGAACTTAAGGGTTCAATTGGATATATGTCAACATGCTCTCTGCCGACTGCTCGTATTCAACTATAGCAGTCTCTTGCCGTGAAATCCTCGAATCGTCCAGGAAATGGATTCTTGTGAATTACTAAGTGTGGAAAACAACATTTCACGGGACTCTTCTAATATGAGATCTGAGTTGGATAAGCTCTCCCTTTAATCCAAAGAGTGCAAAATGCTCGATGTGGCAAAAGAGAACATTCAAAACGAAATACATTGGCTACCATACACTTCGTCCAGATTGTACATACCTTGTACTAAGTGCACAACGGTGTTTATGTGTTAAAGTAATACTGCTAAACTTTAACAGGTTTTCAGTTCTAATGAAAAGCACTCACTTGTCCCAATTTATACCACTTTCAGACGAAGCGTTTAGCTGTTGAATTGCCCACGGGAAAACGCATAGCGATAGTTCCGATCAGTTCACTGCTTCCCGATTTCGACACGTTGTCGGTTCTTCCAAGTATAACTCAGTCATCGGTACGTACAACTCTATAGTCAGTTAAAAAGTCGAACAATCTACCGGTAGTATGGGGCATTTTCTACGTTCAGTTCGAATATACAGCATTAAAAGGAATATCCAAGGTGGGAATTCCTTGGTTTTGCGTAGTAACTGTAAATTCTTAGCGAGTGTTGGGAGCCTAAGTTCACGATTGGTCTGATGATAGAGCTCGTCGAGTTGAGCTTTTGCATGATGTATGTGTTAAATCGAAGCGCTAAAAATTAACGCATAACGCTAAGAGTGCATTGATTCCAATGCATGCGCTACAAATGTCTGCTTTTAAGTTTGAACTGACGTATATGAGCTCGTAGTTGGCCTTACTAATTGAAAAAACCGGTAAAATCTACAGTTCTTTGCACTCACACATATATACAGACGCTGCAGAAACCATTTGCTTACCTAAGAGTTGTTTCGTAATTTTAAGTGAAAACATGTTTTTTAAAGAATAAGGCATATTGTTTGACTTTAGCATATTTTTTAAAGTAAAACTTTGTGTTTGCTGAACAGAAGTGGAAAGAATTATTCAATCAATGCCGAGGTTAATAGAAAGTCGGACTTGTGATATTTTTGAAAATTTTTTTATTATTTTGTGCCTTTTCAAGCACAAACACATTTCTGAGAAGTATGTAAACCAAAGTTCTTTTTGTTTTCCTACTTTTTACTCCAGTATGTAGATATCGACTGTGAAAATACCCCATATTATCTGACTAGCTTGCAATAGTGAACAGTTGTAAGTATAAGCCCACCACGCTACTGGTTTTTTGATGAGTGCTAATAATTTTTCGATCACAAAAGCATTCAAGGACCGAGAAATATAAACTCACTAAAATATTATTCCCTATTACTTCCCAATGGTTTACTGCTTCATCGTGGCTGGGAGCTGTTTCTGGGTGTCGGGCTGCGATGTACAGTAGAGGGATTCATTCCTCCAGCAAAGTCTCTCAAGCTGAAAGGGAGACCGGCGTCTTTCCATCAGGAACCACAGCTAAGAGTAAACTAAACCAGGATCCACTACCGTCCTAGTACCAAACCAGTCGCACGGTGGTAAATCTCCCTGCTATCCACAAGGGTCTGATGATAGAGCTCGTCGATTTGTGGTGGTGACGACCTGGGGCAGATTTTTGATAGGCTGACTTCGGGACTCCAGGGAACCACAATGGCTAAACCAGTAAAACTCCGAAGAAAAACAGAGATTATGCTGCGACCTGCACAACCAGTGAAGACGGGCCCTCCAAGTATCCAAGTAAGTAGCAGCAATACTATTCAAAATAGAGGCCTGGACAAAAATCGGAAAACGTGGATCTTTAATGTTGAGAAGCTAAAATATTTGATATTTGACATCCTATTGATTCTATGCAACCGGTGTTCTCGAGAATGTGGTCGGTGTTTCCGAAATATCCCTGAAATTAAAGACGGACTAATGTCGAGCCATTGACGTCTTACATTTTCAGGACAAATCCATTCTCATTCAACCCGAGGGCGGCGACGCAGTGCTACTCGAGGGAGTGGCCGAGGCCATCAAGAACCACTTGCTAGGTAGAAGAAGCGCTCAACTGAGAAGTCGTTGCAACTGGTGTCGGAACAGACACTGCGAAGAAATGCGAGCGATGCTCGACGATACAAATGTGCCTTATTTCGAGCTCAATTTATCCCAAGACTATAGTGATTGAAGTGTTTGTTCCCTTGTGTACAAAATTCATACTTGTCGAAACATAGACTGTTAAAGACAAATTACCAACACTCATCGTATCCAGAACAACCCTATGATCCACTGAAGCGCACACAGACCATGCGCCACCACTCGAGGGTGGACTGGCGCACATCGCGCGCTGGCGCACGCCGTCCGCCCTCGAGTGCCGGCTTTTGAACGGCTGTCCTGAGAGGTGTGCTTCCTTCCTGGACTGGTTATGCTTGAATGGGGACGGAAATCTTGATCCATGGCAGCGGACACGGTCCTCTGGAGTGCTTCCGTCAGTGGCTGGGTGGGTGCGGTAACATTCTGCAGAGTGACGTGGGAATTGCCGAGTTTTGTCGTGTACCGGTTTGCAATCGATTGATGTTTGCTGGGGACAGTTTCAATCCGGCTTATGGACATCACTAACATTTAGGCTTCATTGACGTTCGTGTCTATCTAAGTAACTGTTGTATCCGTTTGCCTTCTTCTTACACAATAAATGTGCGTATACGTAATATATACAGACATATATGCATGTACATGTACGTGTGTATGCACGTGCATATTCACATACATGTGTATACACGTATTTGTACATTCCATATGTACATATATACGTATATATGTTGTATGCATATGCATATATATGTACATGTAAATATCTTCGTTGCATCATATCGTATGTGTGGGTATGTAGTATATATACATGTGTATATACATGTGTACACGTATATACATGTGTCTATTGTGGGCAAATGTGAATTCTTTAGAATGCATATAGTGGGTATGTACAGTTTTTTCGTTGTAACTTTTTCGATTCCTGATTAGTAGTTCTGCAAACTTACGGCAGATCTCGTTATTTTAGTGAGACGGTGGAGGTGTATTTCGGCAGCGTTCTGATTGCTCAAGAATATTTTTAGTAAGTTCATGCTTGGTTAGATTTTTCGGATTGTTTTTGTAACGACGGATTTTGGTGCTGCCAGCGTTATCCGTAGTGTAGCTGCTGTGGGTTTTGTCGGTTTTCTTTATGCTACGTCATAACATTTAGTTCGTACTTCGTGTATGAAACGTTGTCAGCACTTCTCGTACTAAAAAGAAAGTTCGTCAGAATTTAAGTAGTTGTCTCACTTAGGGTTGGATGGCGGGCGGTGGGGAAGAGCACACCGCGCATTCATCCGCGCAAGATGATGCGAAAGATTCAGAATCCGATGGTGATGCTGCTGAAGATGTTAGTGAGCTTTTTTAATTTTCCAGCTGACCGAGTACAAGTGTATCTTTTTCTTGCAGCGAACGGATGAGATCCACTACTTTTTCAGATTCTGGAGGAGTCTCCTTGTAAGCGGTGGTCAAAGCGACGTGAACAGGTTAAGCAGAGGGATGTCCCGGGGATTGATGTTGCCTATCTTGCAATGGACAATGAGACAGGTGGTTGTGCCCACTCATGTGTATGCTTTTTTCTTTTCTTTGATCGGTCAATGTTTAGGGAATGAGGTGGTGTGGAATGAAGTTCAATTCTCAGAACGCAAAAATTTTCGTGCTCAAGAGGTTTGTTACGTCATTTATCCTGTTTTTGCCTTGCTACCTCTTTGTTTCCGCCATGGCCCAAACTCTGTGTCTCTAAAGAAGTATGTCATCTGAAATTGAGATACCTGGCCAGATCATACCTTTATCACACGATGAAAGTGTCTCTGATGGTTTGTGTTTCATTGTAGGAGAAGATTAATGCGGTGTTTGACAAGCTTACACAACTGGTACATACCAACCTCGTCAAGTTCCACAAGTACTGGACCGATGCAAAACCAGAGAAGCCCAGAGTATCCTTTGTTCTGATTATTTGGCGGAGCTGTTACCAATGTGTAATAACTCGTTCTATTCAGATAATATTTATTACGGAGTATATGTCATCAGGATCAATGTCGTTATTTTTGCAACGTACAAGAAAATCAGGGTCTCCATTGAGCATCAAGGTCTGTATATAATTTCCAATATTATGCGTTTATGTACACCTAAACAAAAGAATTTGAAAGCGTTTTGATTCTGTCCGACAACTCATATAAGTCAATAAAATGGTGGACAGAAAGGCGAAACGAAGAACTTGTATGGTGTGATGATGTACGCGTTAGCCCCTAGAAAGGGTAGAAGCATGTTTGATCCTCACCGCACACGCCAGCGGTCCGGAATTTTGCAAATATCTCAGCATCATTAGTGTTTTTATTTTTAAAGGATATGTGACTGAAATGCATGAACACTATACCGTTGACTTATTTAAAGAACTCGTAGAAGTGGATTTGCCTTTCATATGTGAAAGTGTGCTTTTTATTTCTTATTACGACCCTTCTTTCACATCTAGTGTGCGGATCCCAGTACTTCTCGCTTTCTATTCGTTTCCTCGAATCCATCATCCACGAAGATCTTCCAACTTTTATGCATGGCTTCAATGATCGATTCTTCCTGGAATTCTGAGATAGCTGAGCTGGAGCCTCATCACTTAAATTGCAGACAGTGAATTTTTGCAGACAAGTCCGGTAGCAATTTTGTGAACCCAAAGGGATGAGAGACTTTGTGAGGCTGGTGTGAGATCGAACCAGCACGGTGCTCGTGATGATCGGGATCACTACCTCTGTGCTATCCGTTCACTGAACATGTATTTATATATATATATATATGTATATATATATATGAACGTATATGTCTGTGTATTTGCTGAGTTCAATGGCGATTTATGCTCCGCGGACCATTCCAGTTGAAGGATGATTGCAGCTAGCACTGTCAGGAAAAAAAGCTGGCCGAGAAGCAGGCAAAGCAAGGGTCTCGATTGGTGTGGCGGATAACACGTGCGCTCCCAGCAATGGTAATCGCGGGTTCTAAGGTCAACTGGTGTTCAGAATTTTGTTCGTATCTGAGCATTATTGTTGTTGTATTTCGTATTATACCGTGCCATGAAAAAAAGGGGGTAAATAAAAGTTAAACACTTAGGTTGTTGCAAATATTAGTTAGCATTTCATATCTTCTCTTGTAAGGCTAGTAGTTTTGATCCCTAAATCTAGGCCGAAAATTTCTAAAGAAATAGATCATCCACTAGAGCTTGTAGTTGTTTATTGGTTGAGACCTGTTGCCTTGCAGTCGATTTGTTCTGCGACTCACTTAAGTAGTTTCAGGCCTGGAAAAAGTGGACAACGCAGATATTATCTGCTCTTAATTATTTGCATTCATGTGCACCACCGATTACCCATGGAAATCTTACATGCAACACAGTGTTCATCCAACAGAACGGCCTGATAAAGATTGGATGTGGTGAGTTGTTTCAAGAACAGCAAAAGTGTTAGTGTATTTTTAGTTTTTTTTTAAAATATATGCATAGCATGCCTTATAATTCTAATTCGTTAATATTCGCATAAGAGATTCCTTGGCAGTAATTATTTTCATGTGTTTATGTTTGTTGTTATGTTGTTTTATGTATGTACATATGTTTTATGGATGTGAGTTAACTTTTGCTGGTGTTGTCTACGATCAAGACAGGTGACCTAGATGTTTTTCTTATCTTATGCAAATTCAGCAGGTGCGTATGGCGCAGTGGTTGGAGGCCTCTCGCAGCACACACGTGGAATCGATCCCTGGGCCCATAGCCCACCAAGCTTTCCATCCCTCCGGGGTCGGCAAATTGGTACCAGACTTGTCTGGGAGGATAGCAGCACTGGCTCAATACATCGGTAGGCCACCGCGAATCATTTTAAAGGCCAGATATGCATTCAATCACCTCCAAACGATGCTTAATGAAGTCAAATGCATGACGCATCTCTAAAGGGTTGATCAACGCCAAGCGCTTTGTCCTGTCATTAATTATTTTCGCTTGGTGGATCTCCTAGTTGATCATTTTCTCTGTTTTAGGTGGTTTTCTATGTCTGCCTTTTTTCTCAAGTATTCCATTTTCCGATATATGTGTTTCAGTTGCTCCCGACGCCATCAATCATCACGTTAAGACTTGCCGTGACAATATAAAAAATATGCACTATATGGCTCCAGAATACGAATGTAAGCTTAGCTTCACCTTTACATCATAATTGAGGTGTTTTTAAATTTTATTGCTGCTTTTCTCTCCTAGATTGCACTGAAGTTACGCCTGCTGCTGATATATACTCATTCGGTGTGTGTGCTGTTGAGGTAACTATTAGTTCGTACTAATAGAAGAAGAAATTCCTATGATTTAACATTCAGATTGCTGTTTTGGGTGGTCTATCAGGTTGCCAAAACGGTGGTACAGACGGGCCAATCAGTCGAGAATGTATTGAGAAGGCTGTTCGCTCTCTTGAAGACGAAAAACAAAGAGTATGTCAGATGTACGAATTGTTTTATAGAGGTTATCTCTAGGAATTTTTTTAGGACTTCGTTGAGCTTTGTCTACAAAAAGACCCGTTAAAGAGGCCGACGGCACGGCAGTTATTATTTCATCCCATTCTGTTTGAGGTAGGTTGTTTAATTTAGTGTACATTCTCTTCTTCAGTTTACTTCAGCATTTCGATTATTCTCTCTGTTCAGTGGTTCTGTGTACCTCTGGATATATTAATTTGTTTCAGACACGTATTAAAGGCTGGGTTGTAGTTTTTCCTCTATAGATTATAGTCTATAGTGAGTAACTCATCCTGTCGCCAACACACTTTTAACCATATGACCTATGATTCATAAGTGACCGGAAATAATTTCGCCTTCAAATTTTACAAATATGTTTCTACTGGTAACGAGCTTTGTTGGTTGAAATAGAAATCGTTGGAGTCTACTGGTGTTTACCGTAAAGTTGAAAGCTCATTCATTCAACCGCGATGAGATCCTGATTTTCCATGGTGATTGGACAAGCGAAGTTTCGTGCAATAGAAGGCGAAGTGACCCATAGTATTAATCTTTTCAGATGCAGCGCCTACACTAAGATCTTTGAAATTTCGAATTTCTCGTCTTTTTTGAAAATTTTACTTAGGGAAATTGGAAGTAGGAACGATATTTTATTAAATTATGTATACTCTTAGATTGATAAAAAAGTGCTTCATCCACAAGTGTGTTGACCTTTCAACTCCTCAAGTAGTAGTAACCACAATGATGCTGAAACATTCGTGAAACTGATCCTGGCCAAGATCGAACCACGATTGTCCTTTCCGGAGGCTCGCGTATTACACACTGGAACCACTGAGGCCCTTGTTTTGCGTTTTCGCACAGCTAGTTTACCTAGTTTAGTTTAGCTACCTAACGCTGCTTTCAGCAATCACCGTGACCGGGATTGATTGAAATCGGCAGTGAATCTAATTGAGCTGAGGCACTTATTTAGTTGTGAAAAAATCGCTTCATGAATCTGTCACTTATAATTTATCCGTCACACGTGTTTTGTAGTATTACCATTTGATTCTGTACGTCTTCTGTACTAGTATGTTCCACACAAGTGGTTGATTTTCCTTATAAAATGAGTTGCACAACTGTTTTCATTTTTCCTGCACTTTTTAGCGGAGTTTGTAAGCTTTTGCTTCGATTTATAATTGCTATGAGAAATTTTGAACTTGTCCCTTTTCCAGGTACACTCCTTAAAACTACTAGCGGCCCACAAAATTGTGGAGTCCAAAATATTTGACGATTTGCCTGCGGACGCCTTTCGTGTTCCCGACATTGAAAAGGTTTATGTGTCTGTTTTTGAAAGCGTCTAAATCTTCCACGTTTTTTAGAAGAATTTCCCGTAATTCGGTTTTACTTGTTTTCTTATCGTTTCTTTCGTAGGTTGCTGCGGTTGCTCGGAGAGAATGCGCCGTTCGAGAAATGGCTTACTGTCAAGTGCCTGCATTCCAGCATGACCTGGAAAAGATCGTTGAGGATGTGAGGAATGGAATTTATCCATTGACTGCTTTCGCTCCATTAGCTCATCAACCTCTTAAACCTACGGTAACTGTTTTTAAATTACGAACGTTTTGGTTTATAATTTTTCTAAACATTTTACAAAACAAAGTTTAGTCGACGTTGCCTTGTTCGCGTGTATCACCCGCTCAGGGTGCTGTAGAAGGTCATGAGCCTTCGACATCCTCTAATGCAGCAACCTCTTTGCCCAGTGTATCAGAACCGACAGATACGGTCAACTCTTCGCCTACTGCCAGCGACGAATCGATTCAGCATCGTGAAAGTAGGACGATTCGGCAAATGCGGGTTACTACAGAACGAAAGTTTGTGATCACCAACTGTTTTTAGATATATCCTGTTACTTGTTTATTTACCCGTATTCATTGTAACTTCTAGTGAACTGTCCATATGGTTGCAATTAGAGGATATGATGAATCGTCAACTCACTACCGAATTCTCTCACGATGAAAATCCAAACATGCTCACACAGGACCTCGTAACGCATGGATTTATTTGCGAGGTTTTTTTTTCTACATATCACTACTATTTCTGTAATTGGTCACATGTTTTACATTTACAATCCGGATTAACTTCATAATTAACTTGACAACTGAAGTAGTCTTTTTTGTGTGACCTTCCTGTTAGCATCTCGTTAATGAGCACGTCATTGTTTTTGCTTAACTGGGAAGGATTCGTTTTTATTTTACAACACTTCTATATCTTATCTCTCCCAACGGTTTACCGCCTCGTCGTGGCCAGGTTTTCCTGGGTGTCTGGGTGTCGGGCTGCGATGTAGAGTGGGGAGATTAATCCCCCCCCAGCCACCACAGCCCGCAGGGTCTCCCAAGTTGGAAGGAACGCCTGGTGGAAACGCCAGAAAGCACGACTAAGAGTGAACCAAAACCAATATCCGGATTCACCACCGTCGTATCATGCTAGTCGCATGGTGGCTAATCTCCCTCTGATCCAAAAGGGTGGCGACTGCCTGTGGTATTGATGACTTGCCGTAGGTTTTGGCCACGCTGACCTTAGGACTGCAAGGATGCACAATAATTAATAATTACCACCAAAACTCCGATCAAATTCAAATTGTGCCAAGGTCTGCGCAGCCAGTGAGGATGGGCCGTCCAAGTATCCACGCACGTGTTACCTTCGGATCGCTGATAAATAAATGCTGCAGTTTAGAGCGTTTTTTTTTTTGTTTGATTCAGGCAGCTAATTGATGCGCCATATTAGAATACTTAGAATTCTGTGCCTTGTAAAGGAGAACAAGAAAGACAGTGGAAATATCTTTATTTCAAAAAATAATCAAGATTAAGAACGTGACATTGCTTCGTCGTCGACGACTCCATAGTGTTGATTTGATGACTGCTCTTCTTTTTAAGTTATTATAGGACCCGCTACTATTAATCAAGCGAACTATTTGAGATACTTTATTTTGCAGTCCGACGCAGAGCGATTGGGTGTTGTACTAGCTGCTGCTCTGAAGGCCTCGGCAGATTTGGCGCAGTCAACTGGCAACGCCGTGACTACTGGTTCTTCGATGTATACTCTCACTGAGGACAACCGCCACTTGGGTCCAGCAGCACCTTCGCCGGCTACCGGACCGCCCACTTTTCGTGTTGATCCTTTGAATGAGACGGAGGCCGCGCTTTCTGAGCTTACGTTTGAGCAGTCTCCGTCTCCGTCGAACCCTTCGCCCTAGTCAACCGTTTAGAGCTTAGCACCGCCCCTCTTTCGGGCACTTGCTGTAATGACGTGGTTACGGTTAGCTGCTTTACTTGCGCTTGCTCTTGCTGTATCCACCCAGCATGGTACGGTAGGTCGTCCGTGCGAAGTGTCTACGGATTGTGGAACTGGTAACTATTGTGCTGGCAACAAACGATGCGCGTGCCTCACGACATATGTTGAGATTGATTCGTACTGTTGGCGAAGTAAGTATGCAGCATATTTTGTTCTTATCGTCATGTAGGTTGAGTGTTAAATTATGTTAGAAATTTTAGTCTTATAACTATATTGTCTTGTTTTGCTAAGTAATACTAGTCTCATTCTAGTATGAAAATTTATCTCCCTAAAGTACCCAAAGTACCTACCCCTTTTCTTGTTGATTTTCACGGCTACTGGTTTATGAGTACGTCAGTCCGTACATTTACAGTTGTTGCTTGTGTGTTTTACTTTAGCAAACATACAATCCCTCCCTGTACCGTGTGATTTTTGTTTTTCTACACATTTTGTCTTATTGCATTGGTTTCATATTGAGTCCTACTACCCTGTCCCAGCTTTCGCTTTGTTACTGTCACCAGCTACATTTCCCTCCAATTCTGAGACGTAGCTAAAGTCCCATTATTTTTTGCCCATCTACTTTCATCGCCTATTTTTTTGAAACAGTGTTGATGTGACGACTACAAGCCAGTTGTTTGCGAGTCATGCTCTAATGCTGTCTTCGCACAACAATTTAAAAGGTTTTGTGACTTACCAACCGTCAATTCTGTCCATCTCTTCTCCCTTCTTTATTGTATTGTGATTTGTACTCGTCTCTAGTAATGTATAATTATGATTCAATGATCATCGTTCGAGTGCGAGGTTCTATTGCCACTTTTTCTTATTAGAGATATCTATTTTCGGTTGGATGGACAATATAAACGCCAGGTTTTTTCCTTCACCCACTGTCTTTCAGTGTCCATCCATACCAGAGCATCGTGCTGCAAATATTGTTGGAAATTCGATTGGTGTAAAGTTGTGGATCCAGATTAATGAACATGAATTCTGAAGTTTGTATCATCTCATGAGCATTATATTGTTGCAAAATTACTACCTTTCATGCCTGGATTACGGCGTAGAACTAGATCTCTACAAAATATGGTAGTGAGGTTGGAATTAACTTTCTAATTTAGCAGTCATGTTTAGAGATCAACCCTGGTGAGTCGGGTTGCACGCAGAACAGGCAGTGCGAGGCAGTATGGCCTGGGGCATATTGTCGCTCTGGTGAATGTCGATGTGCTAATAATCAGCCACCGTTCAGGACTAGAGACGGATTGGTATGCATTCAATAGTTACAGCAACAATAACTGATGGTAGTCATAAGTATGCCGTAATGTTTAGGTGTGCTTGAATTATGGATTTTGTCCACTGAACGGGAATAATCCGAAGTTCCGCATTGAAAACCAGGTTCAGCAGTGTTATGGAGGTGACTGCTGGAGATTCTTAACTTTCAATGTAAATCAGTACCATGTTACTCACTTGCAGGAGCCGATGCTACATGTGAGGCAATTGGAGCGCTTGCTTACGATTGTATTTGTGACTCCGATGACTGTACTGTGAACAATCCAATTAGTTTTTGTTGCCCTAGTAGAGGTCAATTTTTGCTTTTTATATTGATTTGTTATTTATACAACATTTGAGGGCCTTTGTTCGTACACTTGCGACAGCGCCTAGTTCTATCGCTTAGCGCGTATCGTGCACTGTGCCTCACCAAAAGTGACACAAGTGCACTCGTCATTAGTTTCTGCTATTTGTCGATACGAAGGATAACCGATGGCCGCAGATTCACTTGTTTGTATTTGTTCAGCGGTGCAATCTTTGTGCCCTCTTCGTCTCTCGTACTGTTGCTGGCTGAAATATCTCGGTACCCTCTTTATGGACAACATTCTGCACGGCGAGGAAAAAATTCGTCTAAGTCCCATGTACATCTGAAAGAACAAAAGTGAACAAATTGGCCTTTCTCAGTCGATGCATGGTGGGACTTCTGTGGTGGTGGGAAGTTTTCAGTTGAATTCAGAAACTACAGTTAAAACCGTTGTGTGCTAAAAGAAGCCAGAAGAAAAACGCATTGACATCAGCTCACACAGTCCGTTTCGTTCTCTCTCCTCATAGGCAGGGCCGGTATCTTTAGAAGCTTATTGGTGAGCACCCATGCTACGTCATATTATAGGCGAATTTAACAAACAGGAATGTATTTCTGCAACCACGTATTTATTTACTATCATAATTATCCTTGATGTTTTTGTCTCATCTATTTTAGTCCAACGAGAGCTCATTTTTCAGCGTTTGCTTGTATACAGCCACCAAACGAAGGTTACACTCCCCCAGGTGGTGGAACCACTCTGAATCACTGGTACCATGATCCTATCACTGGAGAATGTCGAGAGTTAAAATATCAAGGATACGGTGAGTATTCTTTTTTTGTTTTACGTTTCTATCAAGTGAATTTCTTATAGGAGGGAATGCCAATAACTTCCAAACAAAGGACCACTGTGAATCTTATTGCAAACAAAGTCGGTTTATTTAAGCATGTTGTTTTTACTTGTCGAAGCAGTAGAATCCTAATTGCTACTATCGTCTAATTCAGCCTGCAATCGCGGACTTCCTTTATACCGTGATAGGACTACTGGCGTCAAACAGGAGCCAGTTTACTGTCAAGGCAACGATAACGGATGTAACAACCCCAACTACCAGTGCACAACGATGGGCACGTTGCAGCAATGCTGCCCGACATACTGTGAGTTCAATATTGCTCTGAAATCTCTTTAATTCTGTTAGATCCTCACCTATAATGTGGACGATTCTAGTGTTCATATGCTCACGCAATGGAGGCATTCCGACTGAAGTATATAATACCGCTGGAGGGCTTCCTACAGAATACTTTGATGTTGGAATACCTGATGGATCTGGTACTACGTCGCCTAGATTCTACTATGACTCTCGAGAAGGGCGATGTATTCAGTTCTCGGTGAGCCATTCGTTTACGTGGAATTCCGATGTTTTTAGTTAAGGGAATATGTTTCGTATCGGTTCTCTCTTCTTTACTTGCTAATGCATATTAAGGTAATATTTTTATAGTATCTTGGTCAAGGAGGAAACTTCAACAACTTTCTTTCTCAGGACCATTGTGAGAAGTTTTGTTCAAGAAGTAAGTATGATTTGGTCGGGAAATCTGTGGTCACAGCGATCAACGCTTTCTCCAACACATTGACATTTTTTAAATTCAACTATAACTTAGTTCTTTGTTCCGCTGGAGAACCACTGAAAGACTCTTCGGGGGAGCGTAATATGGAGTGCTCCCCAACTGGCAGTGGTGCTAATTCTTGTCCTTCCACGCATTCTTGTGAAAGTACTTCAGGTTTGTGAAATTTTCACCTCGTCGATCTAATTGTAGTGATAGCCAATAAACTTATAGTCAGTTTGTTTAGAATGTCTTGTTTATTACGTCGTCCAAAAGTTTTTTTTATATTTTCTCTCGTATATTCTTTTTGCGGTAATGAATCTGGACTTGCAATTAAAATTGTCTGTTGGAATAGAGATAGGAGGTGGTGATATTTTCCCCATCTTGAGCCTCACAGTAATTGTGGGAGGGTACTGAGGTGTAACAAGCTACTGTGCAAGAACGTGTGATTCATTGCTGTGCGAAGCACAGAGTGCCAACAATCTCACGGTTCAGAGTTTCATTGATGAGTGAACACGAGGTTGTTATTACAGCACTTACTCATTCACAATAACTGACGCTTCGGCGACCCGCCTTCTTCAGAACCTGGAAAGGTCGAATTGGTACTTAATCCGCTTAATCAAAGAATTTCATCGCCTCAGCAGATAGAACTTAGTACATAAATTTTTATCCTGACGATTCTTTAGTAATATGATCGATATCTTTAGGCTCGACAACCTTTGGCGGTGTTTGCTGTCCACGTCCGCAGTACGTGTGCAAACTTCCGCGCGAGCAAGTTCGTATCTGAGTCCGATATTTGTATGTGCTTAAACTTTTAGTAAACTAAAAAAGTGTTACAGGGTAATTGTGGAACGTACTCAAATCGATGGTGGTTCAATGCTAAAACTGGAAACTGTGAGGAGTTCATTTATTCTGGATGTCAGGGCAACGCAAACAACTTCGAAACTTACAAAGAATGCCAGGATTATTGTCGTGACGCTAGAAGTATGTTGCAAGTCGCACAGAAGTGACATCGTACGCGCAAAATAGTGTTTCGGACAAATTAAAAATCTGGAGATTGAAGCTACAGAACCCCATGATCGGTTTTTGGTTTCTGTCAGAAAATAGGAAAGGAGCTTCGAATGCTAATCTCGTAGAAGAAGTCTCGTGAGATTTCCTGAATTAGTAACCTGCTTTAGTCATAGCACACATTTAGGTGAACCGCAGTGCATCCAAGGTACAGCGCTCACGGATTCAAATGGAAACTTCATTATCTGTGGAGGTTCGTCAGCAGCATCGACGTCCTGTCCAGCAAACCACTACTGTTATTATGATGGAACCACATATGGATGCTGTCCCACACAAGGTAGCTTAATTTTTTGAATTTAATGGTTTTTCGAATAGTTCATAATGCGGAGAGTGGAAATTGAACTAGCTTCCTGTAGCCGTCAAAACACAATAAGTATAACGCTGTAGCATCTGTTTCTGAGAGTTTGTTTTTCTGTCAATATCTGTGGATATTCAAAAGGATGGCAATGAACTGATTAAACTATGAATCATCTGAAGTTGCCTGAAGTTTTCGAGAGAAAAATAACACCTAGTTTAACCTCTTTTGCATGGGACCTTTTAGCATGGTATGGATAAATAGTCACCTTAACTTCAGCTACAATTATTATTCGTTTTAAAGCTTACACCTGCTCTTTGTCATACAAGTCTGGTGCCTCTTGTGGTCCTGCCGTTACTCGTTGGTATTATGACTCGACCACCAGGACATGTCAGACGTATTCGTTCAATGGATGCGATGGTAACTCGAACAATTTTGCAACGCAACAAGACTGCAAGGACTACTGTCGCGTTGAGTCCTGCCCGGATGGAGGAGAGGTTAGCGATACTTGCGCGTGCTTAATCTCTGCTCACTTCTTTTTCCATAATTCGTTTAGGATCATTAAAAGCAGCCTTGAAATAACGTCATATTTCGTCGTTATGGTATGGGCGTATTTCATGTTAGTAGGAAACAGTTGTTTTATAAGAATTTAATTGTATGAGTGTGCACTATTGAACTTGCATGAGTCATCCTCTGCGAACGTTGTGGGGTCGTATTTGCTTTTGTACGAACTTCGTCTGACCCGCAGCTAATCTGCGCCTCTATTGACTAATGAAGTGAGTGAGTGATTGAGATCGCGTGTTTGTCCTTTTTTGTCAGTGCCTTCTCGTACCGGCCCTATCTAATTTTGTGCTTGTGCGCACCTGATTTTAGCGTTCGCTAATTTGAATGAGTAACGAGTTCCTGTGGTTGTGATTCTCTAAGAGTTGGCTGCTGTAGACCGCATTGTTTACCTTCAGGTGTGGAAGGAACAAAATGGTGCAGCTCGTGCGTGTACCACAAATAGACAATGTCCATCGACTCACTATTGTACGCCGGTGACCACATGGACTGGTGGGAAATATTTAATATCTGATAGAAATGATCGGGTATCGTAGATTTTATTAAACTAATTATTTACTAGAAGATCAAGACTAGATACCATGTCCGCAAATGGAGGGTGGGAGACTAAAGGCTTCTAAAATTTGGTGGTATCATTGACTTGAGGCACGTCCTCTTACGGGATGGACTCCGTCTTCAGCTCCGGATTGACTTGTTGCTTCCATAATTGCCTAGTAGTTATGCACGCATACGTGAATACGCTTGTGCGTACGTTTGTTGTATCCCAAAAGTCGATTCGGGCGAAAGCCTGCAACCAGATGCAGTTGTTTTGAAATAAATATCGGTTCAATTTCGTCTCAGGCAGATAGACCAAATGGTTGCTCCTGGAAAATCCAATAAGCTGTCCTTGATTATAGCTAGCACCTAATGAAGAAGTAAGTGAGATAGTAGCATAAAAGGCTACTGCATGGTAGTAGTTGGATCTATTTCACAAAAAGCTCGAACTCCTTACCAACATGAATGACTCTAACCAAGCAAGGTCTACCGATTTGCATTGCGATTCGATTCCCAGGTGTACTACTTTATTGTGAGTTAGTCAACTTTTAGAAAAACAAACTCACAGTAATATTTAGATACTCGTTGACAATGCAGCGATACACCTTATTTTTTGCGAAGTTTATGTTAGTATTAAAGACTATTTTGCATTTCTATAGAGATATTGAAAATGACGCAAAAGTAAGAATTTTCAAGATTTCTTTTCTGTTAACATGTGCTGTTTAGCACTCCAGCGCTCTTCCTCTTACCATTTAAAAGTAAGTCCCACTGAACGTCGAGAATATAGAGCCACGCATATGATTTCTTCTAGTTCTTTTGTCAACTAACCGTTAGACCTCATTTTGGTGTTTGGGACGTTCCTAGAGACGTGTTACTTCCTGGCAATAACTTTGCTCAACAGCCGTCTTTTATGAAAGGGCATCGTCGAATGAGGGTACTTCAACCGAGTAGTGCTCCATCGAAGAAGAGTCGACTCGATACAGAGACGAAGACACCACATCGCGATAACGGACGACTGTGAACCATCGACTCTGACAGTCGGTTCTGAAGAAGACGAAGATGCCGAAACGTTAGCCGAATGGACCTTTTCATCGACCTCGTGTTAGCTGAATAATCCAAGAAGTTGTTGATTATTACTGCCAAGGTTAAGTAACAGTTGGTTTCCAAAATTAGTGATTACATATTAGTGATGATAGTAAATTAAGCAGCAACACCAGTGATGAAATGTAGCAGGCAGCGCAATAGTAATGATGCCGTTTATCATGAACACGATGTTTGTTCGACCCGATCTCGCACTCACCAAGCCGTCGGTGATCAAGAGATCAGATTTGTCTGCGACCTGCTCATTTTCTGAAATCCAAATAGGAACGCTCTACTCTGCTTATCGCAGGACTCCCGGGAGAGTCTAACGACATTTATAACCAAGCCGAGAATCCTCAAACAGCACCCGAAACTACGCGTAAATCCGAAAGCCGTATGAATGATGGATGCCAGGTAACAAATCGGAGAAAAATATCGATTAAATAAATAACAATAGCAGGTAACAATTAGTGGGTAAGTGGTAGCGCAGTGGTTAGTGATGTTCAATTGCCGTAGCAAACGCGCCAGTACCATACTGTACTTAACGCTCTTACCCAGTCCACGTCGGAACTCCTTAGTCCGGCAACCTCCAAAGTTGCAAGGAGAATCGACCCGACCTGCATTCTATGACATTTATAAAGAAGGCGAAATCCTCAAACAACCGAAAAAACGAGATGCGAGGAAACGAGTCGAGTGCAAGAAGTGCTGGAATCTGCAAAGTAGATGTGAGAGACGCGTACCGTAACTATACTCATTTGTATACTTAAATGGCCCGTGACGTCCACGACGGTCATTTCGAATTCTTGAAGTTGTTCCAATCTGCGAATGCTGGTGGTTGACGTTGTTAACGAGCACGTGCGCTCATCACCGGAGTGGTCTTCCAAGAGGACGTTTGTATTCTTTTGAAGTTCACTGAACTGTTCTTTTCGTCTGTCTACCGTCTATGTATATATACTCTTATAAATTGTCTTTGTTGTTGAGGTGTCGCGAGGTTACTATCAGTTGTTGCTGTTGTTGTTGTTGTTCACGTTGTTCCATGGCCGACGTTTCGGCGAATTCGCCTACTTGAGAGGCTGGACGTGTTTTGTGTAACGGTTATCCATATAATTCGGTGAACTGTCAGTAGTATGTAGTATAAATAAAGATCCGAGATATAAATGAACGCCATTTTGCTTAAAAACTATTCGTCGTTTGGGGCTACCCATATGTGGTAAGAAAAATGAAGGGTACTTTAATATAACCAGCTTCAGGAACCGTTTACCAGACAAAGTCTTTGTGCTGTCCGTCGAAGAACTTCGTTTGTTCTCAACCACGAGATGTCGGGGTGCGTTGTTCCAGCACTCGAATAACTCGGTGGTATTTTAACGCGGATTCGAAAACATGTCAAACATTCGAATATAACGGTTGTGAAGGTGAAATCATTGGTTACTGATAGTACCGTGTATTTGTTTTACAGTTTCTCGTGCTTTGGAGTGCGATAGTTTGTTAGAGGCGCACTTTTGCAGGCAATAGAAACAATTTTGCTTCACAAAAGTCTTGTCAAAACTACTGTCTTTCCGAGGCTTGTCCTCCAGGAACCGTAGTAGCTAAAGACGGAGATGGTAATCGATTAATTCAATGCAGCAATCCAGGTGCGTTGTATTGTTTCATATTGATTTCACTAGCTTGCTGTTTTTTTCTGTAGATAGTTATGAAACAATGCTTTAGGTGGCCAAGGTCGTGTATCTGGTGGTTGTCCAGAGGGATACACATGTTTCTCTTCGCCGCTTCTGGATCAGAGCGTGTGCTGCGGTGCTAGCACCGAGCTTCAATGTGAGTTGTACGAGAAATCAAGCGTATTCCAGAAATAATTCAACTTTAATTCATGGCAATTAAAAGGGCATTTTAATGTGCATCACATGGTTGTTTATTTTTTTTTTTGGCTTTATGTTTGAAAAACAAAAAGCATGTGTTTCATTTAAACAAGCTTTGCCTAACTTTATCAACCCGTATCAACCTTTATTTTTTGTTCCTTTTTGCTTTTCAAAGCACCATCGAGGATTTTTTTTTTACAGACAAGCTTGTTCTTGGTAGCTTCCCATAGTTGTAGTTCAGAATCCAACCACTAGTTGACACTGCACGTGCTGCAGTAAACAATGTCGCGCGTGCCCTCATTGTATTCAAGCCTTTCCATCTGTTCATCTCTTCTTTTTCTGAAGGTGGAAATAGTCACATTCTTAAAACGTTGATTCGATCACGTGCCTTGCGCTAGCCAAGCTTTCAATCACTCATGTCCGAGGTCGTCAAATTGGTACCAGACTCGTCTGGGAGGATAGCAGCATTGACTTGATGCGCGGTTAGGTCACCTCAAGTCATTGTTTAGGCCAAGGAAGCATTCAGTCACCTCTAACGATCCTCAGTGAAGTCGAATAAATGGCGCGTCCCTCAGAGGTTGATCAGCGCGCAAAGTTTTATCATTTTTTAACCTTTAACCATTCGATCTTGTCCATTTGCTCGCGAAAACTCTTTAAACGATTTTGGGTTAATGCTATTCGAAAATATTCGGTATTCGCATCGTGAGATTGTGAGACACGCTCGTTTTCCGCGCATAAACATTAATTTCGTTTTCCTCTGCAATACGTACTTATGTCTTGAGGTATATCAATGATCAAACAAACAAACAGCTGAACGAGACTTCCGTTCCATGCGTTGGGCTTCAAAAACGAGGACTTTAAATGCACTCATACTTCCAATACGCACGTCTAATAGTCTTAGCTTTTTAGCTTTTTGAGCTAAACACAACAGAAAAAAACGGGTCTCTTTTCCTAGACCCATGAGGATCCACCGATACGGCAGCTTTGGGTAGGACGAGTATGGAGAGTTTGCTAAAATTTCAGGGTCATTCTAGGTTGCCTGAGTCGCAAAGAACTAAGGTACAATCTGTACCTACAGTGTACCTACAATACACGCACATTTGCACCCTAGTCCTCGATGGAGTACTTGGTCATACTGGCAGAAAAGGACAAGGTACGACATCATCGGACTGGTTGAGACGAGACACCACCCATTCAACGCCATCTATGACACCGGAGAACTATTTTTCGGAAAATGCGATAGGGGACATGTCGGTGACGTAGCCGTTCTGGTCAACTTGAGTTTAACCGCGCACATCGATCCATTCGAAAAACTAACAACCCGAGTCGGATTTTAACGACTGAAGAGATTTGGATCAATATCGGCTTTGACAATCTTCGTCGTTTGCGCACTGATATCAGGTTGTGACAAAGACAAAGTCGAAATGTTCTACATAGACATGTGATGAGCGGCTGTCTGAACTTAACATAATGACGAGAAGTATTTATGGTAAGTCACATGGAAAGTAACAACGAAATACACCACATCGCAGTAAATCGAAGGATTTCTTTAACTGATGTCGCTGTTGTCACAAAATTCTACACGGGATCGCTTGCAAGCAAGACTTCATTTCTCGCAAAAACGAGACGAGAAAAAGTCGCTGTTCAAAAAACGAAGTCCTAATACCACCGTAAAGTGGGGTTTATTCAGTTCAATAGTCAACTGTTGGCAAGATGTCGTTTTCGGTAACATTGACGACGATACGATCGACTCATTCAACATCTTCTCGTTAACGCTTGAAAAGCCGAAAGTTCGAAAGCTACCAAGAGACGTTTGTTCCCGGAAACACTTGAGCTGATACGCCAGCGTGGAGTAACACGACCTACAGGTAACCGCAAACTCACTTTTACGAACTTGCAAAACAATTCAAATGGGCGATAAAAGATATTAAAGAGAGAACAGCAGCAGCTATGGTCGAGACTTCGAAAAGCAATGGAGAAAATCATTTACGATTCCCACGTCCGACTTTCTATTAACCTCAGCATTGTTTGAATAATTTTTTTTACTTCTGTTCAGCAAACACGAGGCGTTATTTTATTTCTTTATTTACGTACAAACTGACGTTTCGGCGGATTTCGCCTTCCTCAGAGCCGGGAAAGGTCAAGTTGACTGCAATATACACGACCAAACAACTCCATAACCAAACAGAGAAAATGTTGAACCAAAATTTCAATCACATTGAACACAGAGTCTTTACACACTCACCGCTTTCTATGAGTCTTCCACTAAATATGTCACGTAAAGACCAACCGCACAGAGCTCACACGGAATCGTATTGTGCCCATGTCATCAAAATAACAAGCTTATATACTGCCCAATATCACGCGTGATAATGAGGCATTCCTCCTTGCGGTTCATTTTCGGATTCTTGGAATTAATCCGGAATGCCTCTAGAATTTTGCGCGCTTGTGTTCTCGATTCTTGCACGAGGATCCTAACCCCTACTTCAAAATCTTTTCCGTTATGTCTCTGCGTCATATGCGTGTCTAGCGGAGTATTTGGTTTACGTTTGCCGACTAGGTGTTCTTTTATACGCACGCAGAGTCGTCTACCCGTTTCGCCAACGTATTCATCCTCGCACGCTTCACAAGAGATCAGATAGACTGTGGCCGAAGTCATGCAGTCACCGTCTCTACCATTGATGAAAGGGATGTAATTTTGCGTTGAACATAGACGGTCGTATAGGCGGTTACGAACTAATTGGCATCTTAGACTACTCGGTGGCATTTCAATTATCGTTACCGAATTCTCTAGACCGGCCCTTCTTAAACAGCGCAAAACTCTAGAGGCATTCTGGATTAATTCCAAGAATCCGAAAATGAACCGCAGGGAGGAATGCCTCATTATCACGCATGATATTGGGAAGTATCCTGTTATTTTGATGAGATGGGCATATTACGATTCCATGCAAACTCTGTGCGATTGGATACCACGTGACATATTTAGTGGAAAACTCATAGAAAGCGGTGAGTGTGCAGAGCTGTGTTCAATGTGATTGAAATTTTGGTTCAGCATTTTCTCTGTTTGGTTATGGAGATGTTTGGCCGTGTAAATTTCAGTCAACTTGACCTTTCTAGGCTCTGAGGAAGACGAAATCCGCCGAAATGTCAGCTTGTTCGTAAATAAAGAAATAAAATAATACCTCGTGTCTGCTGGACAGAAGTAGGAAGAATTATTCATTTACGATTGCCACTCAGATTTTTCCAATAGCTATGCCTCCTTATCCTCATATGCAATAAAGCATGGATATGTCGTAACACTGGTTCTCACTTCCGAAATCTTATTTGGTGTTTCGTCGGTAAAAAAGTCGAACAACATCAGGTTCGGATTAGAATACGATCTGAACATTTGGAAAGCCTTACATCGCTCCTCATAAATCTACTGATTCGGCTGTTCACACGTTAGCTCTTCGTATGCAAGGATCCTACTCAGTGGAAGACCAGCAAGACCGTGTTATTGTTCAAGAAGGGTGACCTCCACGACATCGGCAACTATTGCTTAATCTGCCCACAGTTTGCTGTGCAAGTTTTTCATTCGACTCATTCTAAACAGTATAGGTGGAACACTGGATGAAAGACAGCAATGTGAGCAAGCAGAATTTTGAAAAGGATTCAGAACGATAGACCACATCAACACAGCAACAAGACTCACTGAATTATCGCTACAGTACAACGGACCGCTCTGTCTTACTTTTATCGATTTAAAGAAGGCTGTTGACTTAGGTGAGCTAGAAGCAGTCGTGGCAATACGTAAAGATTCTTCGTAAACTTTATAGAAATTTCACAACCACGATATCACTTATTTCAAAGTGACCGTCATTCATGCTTACCGACTTTGATAAAGCTTGTGGAAGAAATGTTCCTGGACTAAATTTTATAAAAACAATGTTTTTGAGGAATGGATTGGTTATGTGTGTCGCAATCACGCTCAATGGAATGAGTATCTCCGAATGTTTCAGTTACGCTTATCTGCGTCGCGAAATCAGCATGATGAACGACTGAGCTCCAGGGTTGACCAAGAAGAAGCGAGCGGCTTGTTGAGTTTTCGAGAACATCGAGGATGTAGTGAAGAGAAGAAAGAACACCTAACTCCGTGCCCACCTTTTTCACTGAACGATTCTTCCTGCGTCAGAAAACTGTTCGCTTCGTAAGTTGGATGAGAGATCGCTCAGCGTCGTAGAAATCGCAGGCGAAAAGACGAGGCTAGGAGTATCTCATGTCGCACAAGTGAGGGAAGGCATCCGAAGCTCCAACCGACGTTAACAATAAAGAATCATGGATGCCGTTTTATACCCCATACTATCGAAGATGGGGTGGACCGGAAGCATAATGCATATGAAAGATAAGCGATGGACAAAAGCTGTTAGTGACTGAATTCCTTGGGATATCAAACGTACTGCAGAAGACCACCTCCCCGATGGTCAGAGTTCTTCGCGAAAAGTCTAGAAGGAATATTGTGAACGAATCGCTATAGCGAGCAGAACCTACTGGGCGACAAATGATACGAGTAATATGCTGACAGGCGGATAGCTACCTGCAGCCTTATTTCTATTTTTGTTGCCGATACCGCACTGCCAGATTCCTAAACGCTAAATTTGATTTTTCTTTCTTTGCCTTTTGTCTCGCTCATGTCTTACTGACATCCACGTTTGCTAACAAATTTAAGAGCATTTTGAATTACATATTGCAGTACACTGGTATTTCTTTCAATATCAAAACAAATGTTTGATGGATGGTGGTAGGGTGAAGTCGACAACGAATGTTCTCGTATGTATCATATAGTGGGCCAGAGAGTTGAAGAGATATCAACAACTCGTAACTTACCCCTCTACTACATTAAGCGATGACTTCTCTTTTTTAAATATGTACATAGCCACGACAGAGCTACTGATATTGTTGATTGGTCAAGGATACTTCCGTGATATTAGATCGACAGAAAATGCGTGACAACAAGAATGACTATATGAGATAACATGTTTTAGCCCTTTGTCCAACGTCTTCAACTCCGTTTATCTCTGCATTATCATTACAACCGATGCAGTGTACACCGAATGTGGACGGTGCCTGCCCTGGAAATTTTTTCTGCTGGTTCTCCACAACAGCCACTTCAGTGAATGCTTTCTATTGTTGCCGTTCACCGGATAGCATTGACACAGGATGTTAGTAATAAAACTCTTACATTCATTATATTAAGAAATGTGCTGTGTTTTAGACTGCCCACCACAGTTAATGCCAGTACCTGGTGATGGTGGTGCACAGTACAAATACTGCTCGCCATCAGCGCCTTTAAACGATGCTACTCAAGGATGTGGAGTTAACAGACACTGTCAATTCAGTACAACTCTAGAGAGGTGACTGATAGCATATGGCAGTTACAAGCTACAATCAGCATAAAAAATTTCTAATTTCAAATGACCTTGCAAACACATATTATTGAATTGTAGCTTAGGTGTCAGTTGCGCTGCATAAAATACTTCTAGTATCTAATATACTTGCATTACTCAACATATTTCACGAAACGGAAGACAGTCATCATAACCCGAGCAATTTCCAGGGGAATTAGAAGCGACCACTTCAGCTAGGGGATAGGTACCATAGTTATACTGGCATCATTTGTCGGCTTAAATATGAATGATATCAGATACATATGCTGCGGATTGGAATCTGATGTCCGGCTACCAAACGTTTGCCCACCACAGCCGGCTAATCTTGTTCCCGTAGAACTTGCTGGCAACTACCGCACTTGCAACCCGTAAGTATTTTACATTATTTGTGCTTACAGATATAAAAATTCAAGGAGATAATTCACCGTTATCTTGGTGAGCAAACACGAAGTAGTTATTATAGCATTTGTTTATCCACAATAGCTGACGTTTCGGCGGTTTTGCCTGCTTCAGAGCGAGGAGCGATCAAATTGGCACGCAGTTTACTCATCCAAACGCTTTCATAACCTCAGCAGATAAAAGTTAAAAATAAATCATCAATTTTAACTTGTTATTTACTGCCTATTTTTTTTTAACCGCAGGGTATATTTCGAAATATAGCATTCAGTGATGCTGAAATATTTGCAAAAGTCCGGACCGCAGGTGTCTGCGGTGGGGAACGAACGCGCTATTGTCCTTTCCGGGTAGTAACGCGTTCACCACCACACCATGCGGATCCTTCGTTTCGCCTGTCTCTCAGCTAGTTCTATCGATCTTTTTCCATCAGCAATCATAAATCTTCATTCGCGTAATAAACGACTTATTTTGAAAACTCACGGTTTTGTTCTTTGTAAACCTCCAAGTTATTTATTGGGAACCAGCCACACAGTTTTTACATGCACGAAGAACGTGCCTCGCTCAAGTCAAAAAATCAGCTTGGAGCATGGCATGAGATCATGCGTGATCACACGACGTTACTTCTTGCGGTTCATTTTTGGAATTTGTCCAAAACACTTCAAAGTTTTACGCGTTGATGTTTTTGATTCCTTTGCGAGGTAGTGATTTTTACTTCGGAATTTCTCCGTTGTCTTTTTGTGTTATATGTGCTCAGTGGACTATTTGGTTCAACTTCATATTTACCCACTATATGTTCTATTTTAGTCTATCTAGAGCAGTCTACCCGTTTCATTAACGTATTCGTCCCCACATGCTTTACACGAGATTAGGTACACCATAACCGAACTGTGTCACCATCTTTACTGTTTCAGCATATGCGATTTTGCCTTATACATTGATGGCCATATAGGCGGTTACGAACTAGCTAGCGTTTTAGGGTGCTAGGTGTTATTTCAATTACTATTACCGTATTCTCTAGACCGAGTCCTTTTTAAGCTACGTTCTATGGCTGCACTTATTCAACCAGCCCTATTTCAGGTATGCGCGAAGTGGCACACCGCAGAGCTGCCCGGATAATTCAGCTTGTCTCTACACAGGAAACGAAAATGGCTTCATCTGCTGTCGCATACAGCTGGGTAATGGGAAAGCGTAAAAGGTGGTCAATGATTTTAAACAAGGTCACGGTCACCATTTGGCATGTATGTGGGCACAGTATATCATCATACTGTGACGCAGAACTCATCTAGGCTGTCCTTTCTAAGTTATTCTGTGTTGGCTTAATTTTTGGTTCAGCATTCAATGTTCTTATACATAAATTCCTATTGTTCATTTCCACCTTTTAGATTACCATTCGGTAATGATTCTGCAGCGAAAAGTCTTGTTATGTATATCAGTGCCCATCTTAGTCCTTCATTACTTTTACTTGCATCATCACACTTTTTTTTCACACCATGATTGCTCAGTCAATACTTTCTTTTCCATGGAATAGGCAAGATTCCTAGAAATTCATCACCGAATTCGTGACAATAATCCTCTTTTCACGTTGGATTAGCATGTCAGTGTAGTTGTTTGCTATCTGGATTATAAATTATACCGTATGATTGACGAGCGGCGCTCAAGACAATCGAATGTGATGTCACGAGTTTTGAGCTCACGAGAAACAAGAAGAAAGTGCTATCGACTATTAATAGTAAGAGAAATAAGGCGATATATGAAGGATGATAGTGTTGTTTGTGTGGATTACAAATATAAAATTGCTTAGAAGACTGGTCTGGCGGATGGGGCCAGCTAAAGGTGACAATTAGCGTAAGCAAAAATGCTGGATTGTTTCAACTACTCCATCGACCTAAATATCTTCATTATTGCAAATTATTACCGGTGGGCAATAAGTTAACAACCGTCATCTCTAAAAGGCATTGCCAAGCCTGCTGAATACACAGGGGTGGTGCTTTACCGCCCTGAATTCCGAATTGATGAAGAACCGTATGGCAACATGGAGCAACTGTGGGTGATTGACTCAAATTACTGCTTTTCTGAAGAAAGTGAGGGCATGGAAACGTTAACCACAGTAAATATTTTATATCATCCACGTGTAAGCTTATGAATATAACAAGGAAACAAATTTGAGTCACAAATCTCTCGATCTTGCCATTTATATTCCATAAATCATTGATAAAAATGCTATTTGTTAATGGGTGAGATTCCCCATAATGCAGTTGTTTTTCTAAACAGAGTTATTTTTTTGTTTACATATATCTGTCGGTTCACCATGGTAGGAATCACAACAAACCACAATTTAGATTCTGCCGATGTTTTGATAGTTATTCGTGAAATGGTAGGAAAACAGAGGGAGACACGATAATGAGAGAAGTCAATGGTGAATTGGTATTTGCTAAGTCGTGAACATGACAATAAGAATATTTGAACCAGAAGTATCTACTGGCAAAAAAGTTAGTGCATAGGGAAATTACACTGAAGTTGAACGTTAGGCATATAGAACCGCTAGGTAGAAAACTGGCTGAAAGAAAGACGAAACACTCAGTGGTGCAGTCGGCGGTAGTTGAGCCCCGGAAAGGGAAACCGCGAGTTGGTATCTGGCCTGAAGTCCAAGTTTTGCAAATATCTCAGCCTCATAGTCTCATATCATACCCTCCCGTAAAAAATAGGGATAGGCAGTAAGCAAGAAACTGACTGTTGCGATTTCGATCTCCAAATTGAATCTAGTGGACTATCACTTCAAATATCGGTAAACAACGACTAACACTATGGGAGATATGGCGCTGAAATCCCCACGTAAACAATTCATTAGGCGTAGGCACGAAGAGGTGCTCAACATGGACAATACTTTTTAGGTGCAAATTTTTAAGCGTTTTTCAAATCTGCAAAATCATATCAGCAATGGGTCACAAGTGATTGGAAATTATGAAAACCTGGGCAGGAATACTCATCTCACGTGAACAACACACAGGTGGTCTCACACCCAATAAGATGCTCTGAGATAAGCCAAATCGTCGAAACGTCAGCCATGGAATCACGAAAACAACAACTACTACCAACCTCGCATCAGCTTAATGATGGTAGCTCGTAAGAAAATGTAAACTTTATCAACTATTTATGCCGAGATTTATAGGAACTCGGTTTTTGTGTAAGAATACCTATATTACCGCGACAATACTATAAGAATGTGGCCACACTACTACAATAGAGCAGAAGTAGCTGTTTGTCACGAGCATCTTTTACCAGTGTTAATGAATCTGTGAAGCGCTCTGCAATTTTGCCAAACTCCTTGACGGCATTTTCTTGGTTCAGAAGACAAAACAAGCCTGCTATAAAACTATGACGACAGAATCCATCATTGCGAGAATCTGTAAACGAGAAACACTGCTACATGAGAATAAACAACAAAGGAATACACTAACCGTTGAGCTTATGCATATTGACGAAGAGAGTTAGCAACAAGCACACCACTGTGTTCGGTGGAATTGTCACATATGACTTATACACAGCTAACGACGGAGAACACAAGCCACAGTCGCGTAATAAATTTAATACAGGAACCACGTCAACAGGTACAGAGTCCGGAGAAGCAAGTAGAAATCTCAAAAAGATGCAGAAGTGAAGCAAATTATCGTAGCCTATACCAAATTTAAAAAAAAACACCTGTCACATGCAGATAGTGCAGAGAATAGCGGGGCTGCATGAAGTTGACAATGCTGCTTTCTTGAATAACACAACATGGACAGAAGAAGGAGCAGCTGGCCAGTCTTAACTACGCTCAACGTTAATGCGAATGAAATAATAATCCCAGAATAAAAAGTACACATCACTGAGAAGGTGAATATGATTCATTATTTGAATGCGATGGATTCGAGTACATATTCGGTGAGTTGTGCCGTCCCTAGCAGATCCATTCGCTCATTGCAGAATTAGCCACTGTTCAGGAAGAACTCGTTTGTAGTGCAACAAATATTTTGACCCACTACAGCCAGCGACAGCTTATGGGAATGATACAGAACGTTCTAGCGCTAACCATGACAAGGACTGCGCCTTCTATCTCATTTAATGGCACATCCCGCGTCTTCTGTACAAGGAGGGTGATCAGGTATCGAACTAGACAGAATTTAGTTCATCATGTCCAGAATGTTTTTCTTTACTGTTGCCGTGATTGAGGCGGTCTCCTATATTGTATTGGGCGATGAAGCGATGGATGCGAATGTATTAGCGAAAAAAAAAATCAGTTTCGCCATTTGTCTGCTACAGCCAGGCAAATGTAGCCAACAAGATTCCAAGTTTGTCTCCTTCAAAATAATCATCGAACTGTAAACGTTTCCATATCCTCTGCAAATTCTGGCCATTGGAGTCGCCTGACCACTGAAAACCACTGAAAACCAGTGTTTTCAACCACTGAAAAACTACCGCTGCAAGCGTTTTGTAAATCACAACGAATTCAAATTGTCACCTAAACACCTTGCAACTAGAAGAAAGGAGTACGACACAAAATAAAATATGGGAGAAATTATGAGAACTTTAAGAGCAAAAGCGTAATTCACCTTCACAATGAATTGTGGGAGAAGTGAGTTTCCTTGAATTAAACGTATTAACTGGTCATATTGGGTTGACTGCATAAAAACTTCATCGAAAGTGAACGATCCAACAGTCGTCAACAGCGTATTCAACAGTTTTAACGTATCTGAATCACCAATTATGGTCAAACACAAGCCGGGAACAATTTCCACAAAAATTTTAAATATTAAAAAGATAAGACTGTATGCCCTCGACGATCTACCATCACGTTAGCGACGATGGCTAGTTTTCTTGTGGAAGCCACATAGAATTACATCAATTTTCTTCTCATACACACTATGAACTCAATTCAACTTACACCGGTCGCACTGCCACCTCCTTCTTCCCTACTCCAAAAAAGGTTCCCTTGGTCCTCTTACAATTCTTGCCCTAGTTTTCTGCGTATTTTGTTCCTTACATTTTACGCATGCCATCTGTTTTGTATTACTCCACCTTTCTATAACATTTTCAACCATGTACGACAGAAAATTGTCCACCATCCAACCACGGTACTGTCAGCCCATGGTAGTTGGAAGAATGTAAATTTCGGTAACACAACTCATCATGTTGATGGCGAAAGATAACAAACAAATACTGGTCAAAAATTAAGTTTACAAGCTTGGATTATGTGGATGAAAGACGGAATGAACATTACTTTCTATTTAATACTACCCACGCTGAAAAAAGCAGAGGATGGTGAGTATAATGTGGACTCTTGTAGTTCCCAACGAAGAGTCCGAAGAAAGCGATTCAAGGGATTAGCCCAAAAATGACAATAATGTGCTCACTGGTGAATGGTCAAAAAGTGTAGTGCTTGAGTATCTGATAAGAACTAATCTGGAAGGGATCAACTGCTTCCGTTTCGATGCAATTAACGAACGTTTACCACCAATTATTTGCGGCACATACTTCACATCTAGTTGTAAAAAAGATCAACAGATAAGGAAATGTGGGAAGTGAAAACTGTTGATAAGGTCAAGGTTCCATTGCACTCTGCTTTCAAGTGAGAAATTTTATATAGGCAAGACTGAGATAGGAAACACTGGTCTCTTTTTAAATTCAAAGTTCTTGAGCTGGAAACAACGATAATATGCAGCTCTGAAAAACTACTGATTCATCTCAATTTGCGACATCTGGTGGAGATGACAATAGTACAAAAATAATGCATCAAAGTTAAAGCTAAAAGGATAAAGCTCTCAGCGTTGATCAATCCTGCCTGAGGGATGCGAAATGCATTCGACTTCATTAAGTATCGTTTGGAGGTGATTGAATGCATATCTGGTCTTTACTGACTCGACTCGAGTGACTTTAATGACTCGCGGCGGCCTACCGATCTATCGAGCCAGTGATGATATCCTCCCAGACAAGTTTGGTACCAATCTGCCGATCCCAGAGGAATGGAAGGCTTGGAGGTCATGGGCGCCAGGATCGACTCCACGTGTGTTGCACCGCGTCTCCGACCACTGCGCCACACGTGCCCATCAAAGTTGTGAACAGAAATGGGAAGAGCGTGCACACACACGGCAAAGACATGTCTCTTGTTGAAACTATCCTGCTCTTCCGAAATGGAATTTCATTCCGCAGCTAATTCATGTATAACAGGAACAAATTCGAAATCTAGTTATCGAAATCGTCCACTAAACACACATAAAAACTATGATGTATGCTGGTAGGGAATCCTCCAGAGGGTGAACTGTAGGTGAATGCAACTGATGAGTTTTACGGGTAACTAACCAAATGCAGGAAGACATCTGTATACTGATAATCGGTGTTTCTGGATGAAAGTTCGCTCGGAGGAAAGCTCAACTGATCAGCACGTTCGGCATGAACAGGAAACCACTAGCAAGTAGGTCATTCAGCAGATTCTGAAGGCAGGAGAGTTGAACATCCACAGAACCGGGAGCAGCATAAAAGTGTTAACGTGTACAGAGTGCGAATTAAGCTCAATTTTCTTATCTCCACAAAGGAAAAAAGGATAAAGCGTCCAGCATTGATAAGTCCTTTAGCGATTTGCTATACCTTTGTTCACAATAAGCAACTTTTAAGTGCCCGAATGAATACTTGGACTATATAATGACTTACGCTGGCCCATCAATGAATCAAATCACAGTGTTTTTATCCTGCAAAAGGATGGTTGGCTTGGTTAATGAGGAATCGAAGCGACAACGTATTGTGTGTTGAAGGGCACTTCAAACCACTATTATAAACGTGCCATTTTCTTCTGTCGTTTATGTACACAATATTTCTCCTCGACCTTGTTACGAAGAAAAGTTTGATGAACGCGCGAAAGATCTACCTTGAAATCGCAATGCACAATTTGAAAGCCTAGGTCCTCTTGCATTTCACGCCGCTAAGAGTAAGAGTGACTTACACACAATTAGCCGTCTCCTAAAAGAAACTCAAAGTAATAATCGAGACGCTGTGAAACCAGTAATATTAGACAATAGCAAGAGTTCAGGATTCTTCGCCTGTTGTCATACGCGCCAAGGACGTGAGGATTAGATGCATGCAGTACAAAACTCTTTTTATAGATTATACCAACAATAACCTCAAGAAGCGTAAACTGCAAAACACACTGATATTTGGTATTGGTTATAAATCCTTTTCTAAATTTTATTTTATATGACCCGCCTTCACTTCTGCTGTGCGGATCCCAGCACTTTTCACATTCGATTCCTTTCCTCGCATCCCTTATCCACGAAGATCTTTCAACTTCTACGTCCTTGAGTTGATTCTCCTTGGAGTCCTGAGATAGCCTGGTTGGAGCGTCCCCAATTGGACTGCAGAGAGCGATTTTTCCTGGACAAGTCCGGTAGCAATTTCCATGCTTGTGATGACCGACATAACTACTACTGTGCTATCCGCCCTTTTGGTTACAAATAGCATGTAAAAAGTGTAAACATAAGACTTTTAAATTGGAAAGTAAATTCGTTTGAGTAGGACGTGATTGGAGACCTGTGATTTTTCCAGGGTATACTGCATAGAAGCACAATGATGAGCACGCAGTACCTGAGTGCTCGGTTGACACCTGGCACAATGCTGTCAATGTACAGATTGGATATAAAAAGTGGAGCAAAATCGGCTAATCTGCCACCTCTAATTCTGGGTTAAAATCAATCCATGGTCCACCAATCCGCAAGTGTTAATTTATTCCCAAACATTCGTTTATGATGAATTTAACAATGAGAGGGAAAGAGAAATATAACAGTGGTTAAGATATTACGTTTGTAATGTCGGCCAATTCTAGTGGGATGCAACTATACAAGAAGAGCCCTAGAAGCTTTCCTGCTGATAATGATGCATAACAACTACCAAACCTTATGAAAGCTCAGTCTGCCGATTACTAAATTTAAGTTTTCGTACATAAGAACCTCTCATTTTACTGACTGACCTAACATTTTATTCCTAGGCCTAGGTGGCCCATAAATGATGACAAGATGGAAAATGTAGAAACTTCACCTCAAGAGCCTAAAAATTGTATAAATAAATTAAGGGCATTTACGTACCATTAATGCAGGTTTCTATGTCGTGACTGAGAATAATTCGTAGAGAATTAATTGCTGTCGATGGAATCCACCTCTAAAGCGTAATTCGTTGATCTCTAAGGTCCATTAATAAAACAGTCGACAATAACTCATAAGGAAAAAACACCTCAATAGAATCGATAATTTTTGAAGAAAGTACATCTTTCTTCGTCTTAATTTCTCGCCATTTCATGCTGTCTTCCATGTAACGATTAAAACTAGAAATTAAAAAGATTCGACATAAAAATAAATGACGCAGCAGATAAAGTAAACAGTAAATGTCCATGCAAAGCATTTAAGTTACTTAGAATTCAGGGCACTCACGTTGGATTTGAGTGCTTCAATAACAAATTCGTAATGACGAGCAAAGCTTGGGTGGAATTCACACCACTTGATCCAGTTTGCTAAAAAATGTAAATGTAATATTAGTTCACACAATGCATGAAAAAGCACCTTATCATAATCTCTACCTCTGCCATTAGCGATTCATAACAATACTTACTAGGATAATTGGACGGCGCATCCACATTGGTTGTACAGACCCCAGCACATTCCCCATTCTTCGAAGTTTAGCTGGCTTAGGCATTGTATTTTCCTGGAGTCTCGAGGTTACCAAGGTCAAAGTCTGCCCCAGGTCGTCACCACCACAGACAATAGCCGTCATTGTGGATCAGAGGGAGATTTGCCACTGTGCGACTAGTTTGATACCTGAACGGTGATGGGTCCTGGTTCTGCCTTACTCTTAGCTGGGTTTCCTGATGGAAAGGCCGGACTCCTCAGCTTGGAAGACCCTACCGGGGGGATGAATCCCTCTGCTGTACATCGTAACCAGACACCCAGGAACACCCCACAGCAACGATGAGGCGGCAAACCGTTGGGAGGATTCTTAACAATATATTAACGAATAAGCCATCCCTTCGTTTGACGTGTCTAATGAGTGACATTCGATCAAATTAATTTAGAAGAAAACGAAACAAACTGGTTTTTCGTATCTGAGAATATTTAGTAGAAGCCAGTCTTCTTACAGTAGTATTAGCTATGCGCCTTTTTTCCATCACGTCCGTAGTCATCTGCATAAGGATACAGTCTACTTCCGCTCGCCACATATCGTATCCATTAATATCAACATGTCCACACATATATATGAAAGCCCGATGAAACGAATGAAGAGTGTCCGATAACTTTTTCAACAGATCTGAACTAAATCACTGTAAACTGCTGAGGCATTGAAGGATAGTAAGTTTCAACTCTCGCAACAACCTTCTAATGAACTTGGCATATCAGATACAGTCAATAACAGTGGAAGCTCTGAAGCTAATTCACGCCGTATTCCTTCTTCAAGCAACTCCTAAAGGTAAAAGCATACAAATTTTGTTGTTACTTAAAAAAAATTCCGTACCTTTGGATTTACATTGACGATTCCCACCTTCCTTAGCGCCATTCTTGATATACCAAGACTTAAATTTGAAATCGTATATGTGGCCTCAGCAAAATGGAAATTTTCCTCAAAATCTGCCCTTGTCCTAACCTAAATCTGTCTCATAAGAAGAAAGATAAAGGTCTCAGCACCCCTTAGGGATGAGCTATGCATTCGCCTTCATTGAGCATCGTTTGAACGTGATTGAATGCATATCTGGCCTTTACAGTGACTCACAGTGGCCTACCGATGTATCGAGCCAGTGTTATTATCCTCCCAGACAAGTCTGGTATCAAGTCGATCCCGGAGGGTTGGAACGCTTGGTGGGCAATGGGTGCGGGAATCGATCCCATGTGTATTGCAGGGCGCCTCCGACCACTGCACCACACGCACCCTCAATCAGTCTCATGCCTATTATTATACAATTATTTTTAAACAGGAATTCAAGAAACTTACAACAGTCTTGTCCATATTAGGCTCCCAACGCATCTGTAATAAGGGAGATAGGGTATTTTTTAAGATAGAAAACAGTTTGTGTGGAATAGTTTGCAAAATAACACGTAGACGACGTTCAAGATGAAACGAATAGGCACGACCAATTAGCCTCAATAAGTGGATTGAACGAGAGTTAGTGTGTACAATTGTTGCGTAAACTATAATTATCGGTTACTGCTAACTTTTAACGTTATTTCAGCAGAAAACAACTTACTTCTTTCGTTCGTCATTTTCAAACTGCTCACATAACACGGAAATAGAGAGTGATAACTTGAAGAAAAGTGCGCGAAGTGCATGAGCGTTAGAGGACTCTAGTATTCTACGTTGAATCCTAGGAGTCCAATCATCTAAAAACTTAAACTTCGTGAAACTTTCAAGCAGTCATGAAAAACATCAGTAACTATACATTTTTACCTAGAACAGGCCACAGATACGACGGATCTGCGCTTCGACGCAATCTTCGTTCCTCTTCTTCTCCTACACTATATAAAGCGGAAAGTGAATCTAAGCGCGATTCTAGTAATCGCAAATGCTGTGCAAATGCAATTCTTCCGCTCAATTCTAACATCTCGCCTACCTAAACAAGAAACTATCTCTAAAAACACACTTTTGAAGGCAGAACTATCCACAATCGATTTAATCAATATAGCCAGATCAAATCTGACCTGTATGATTCTCTTCTTGATTTGCAAAACGAACCCGCTATTTTGTTTGCTATTGGGTTCTAGGCCCTCCAGCGTTTCCTTCATCAATAGAAACCAGTCACGTAGCTTTGCTGAAACAATACGGACTGCTGCAGCTGAATACTAGATATCTCTATCACTTCTTAGCATAGAAGTATAATTTATCCCACTTTTTTTATCCTTATTAAGCGGACCAAAATCCTGTGAAAGAAACTGCACCATCTCATTGATCAGTGAACAAATAGAAGATGTCAACTTCTTAATGCTCTCCTCCTTATTACGTAGACACTCGTTGTAAGCCTATTAATATTGTATTATTAACAATATGGAACATTGAAAACCCACCCTATCTCTGACTGGAATCGAAAAAGTAACATACAGTGAAAAAATCCATTTCAAAATTTGCTATCCGTAGCAGCAGAACAAGCAGCTGAACGTTGAGTTGCGGATGAACATCAACAGCTTGAACATAGGATAACGACTTCTTTGTCACCGTTTCAGCTAAAAATTATACGTTTGGATGAGTCAGTCGCATGTAAGTTTGACCTTTCCAAGCTCTGAAGAAGGCGAAACCGCCGAAACTGCAGCTATCGCATGCTAATAAATTCTGTAATATGTGACCTCGTGTTTGTTTATTGAAGAAAAACAGCGAAAAATTATGTGGTTTAAAAGAGTTCATCGACTACGATGACAGAATACGCTGCTTGTGTCACGAAGATCCAAAAAACTAATATCTAGGAGACTACACAACCATATGGTAAGAACAAAATTAATTTTAAAAAAAGCGACGTGTGAAAACAGTAATAGAGAATAAAAAGCAATAGTGACGAATTCAGTCCCAATAATAATATAGCCACAATGATGCTGAGATATTTGCAAAACTCCGGACCGCAGGTGTCTACCGTGGAGAGCGAACGCGTTATTGTCCTTTCTGGGGGCTAACGCCTTCACCACCACACCATGCGAGTCCTTCGTTTCGCCTGTTTCAAAAACGCAGTAAACAAAAAGGTTAACATAATAATCATAACATAGCAACTATAACAACAATGCTCAACAGTAATAAAAAACAATAAAGATAATTAATGGCGATAAATAATAAACAGAAAATAAATAATTATAACCAGTAGGTCTCGTTCACTCTAGGGATTTCGGAAACAAAACTTCTTAATATCGTCACTTTTTATCTACGGCATATTCTTTTTTAGTGGCAGGATAGTATTTGAAATATATCCATTAAGACGATGAGATATTTGCAAAACTTTGGACCGCTGGCGTCCGCGTTGGAGATCGAACACGCCATTACCCTTTCTGGGGGCTAACGCATTCACCACCACACCATGCGAGTCCTTCGTTTCGCCTTTCTCTCCGCCGTGTTACTGACTTATATTTATAGGTGCAAAATTTCATAGTTGCGTGGTATGAAACACTTCCAACATTACAATTTCCAGCGTAAGTTCAGCTGTGCTCAGTTCTCAGTGATCCTCCATCCTGCTCAAAGAACGTTCAGCTTTCCGAAGCACACGTTATTGGGGCGGGAGCAACCGTGGAGCCAAAAAGGTGAGCACAGAGTTGGATGCTTTTTGCCCTCCTCATTACACCTTTATTGCTCTTGAAAGCTCTGCAAGGTGTTGTTTTCTCGTTCTCAATCCATGAGCTAAATCGTAGATTTCACAAAGCTGTACCATCCAAAGGTATTACCTTCACTAAGAGCGCACGGGACAACAAAAACAAAGGTGTTTCTCATGATCGCAGCCTAGAATTCCAGTTGAACTCCAATCTTTTCTCAGGTTTGTCGAATGTCCTGGTTATGTAGAGTTCCCATGACTGTTTCTGTTTCAATTAAGTCGGAAGTCTTTTTTAAAAGTATGATAAAACTGACATAGAGTCTGTGTACCCTCGTAATACTCCATTAAATTTCATTACCGTTTCGATATGTTTCTGAATGCTTTTTGAAATTCTGCATGACCATCTTCTGTAACAACATGGTCTTCCTGATCCCTACTGATTAGGAAACCTGCATTCGAAATAAGATATGAAAAGCCGAACTGGCACATCAACGAGTACTCGCGGCTGACTCTTCAGATTTACGAGTTCTATCCTTTCTGAACTGGATGTTGTGCAGTTCTTCGTCGACGAGATGACATATTGAACGGTTCTCTTTAGAACCATCTTTTCATTGTCTTTCCGCAGTTTTACAATCTCGTACGTGGTGGTTGCCTATAGGGAAAGAGATTTCACGTTAGCGTCTTGGTTTGGATACTGAAAGAAGCAGACGGTTCTTTGGTGAGCTTGGAACTCTCAGATTTTGAAAGCACTAATGTGAAGGCGTTGAATGAAGCATTAGTATTCTGCATCGATAGTGTAGATAACGGTATAGATAGATTACGTCGTAGTAAACTAGAGCATCTTTCCAAAAGTCGACTAATGACCTGAATAAATCCCAATTTATGTTGGTTTCGGGACTTCGTTTTTTGAACTTTGCGGTCCTCCTTCGAGAAAAAATGAACCTTGTCAGAAGGGAGGACGGTTTAGTCTCGTTTAAAATTTCGAGAAAGCAACGTGAGCTACAGGAAAGCTCTAGTTTACTACGACGTAATCTATCTCATTACGGTAATCTTCATTGACTCCCATGTCCAAAGTTGATAAGGGTGCTTCTGGAATTGTAGGTTACTGTGAATATCCGTGATCATAATGAAAGCATCAACTCAAACAATGACCCTTTCATTCCATTCCATTTCGTGAGTTTTGACGCGAAATTTTCGGAGCGTCCAATTGTGCTAGTTGGCCAGTGAATTAGGGAGTTGATCGGATTTGTCTTCTGTCCGCCAACTGTACGTGGAATGCCCGAATTTGTACGAATTCGCCACGCTGGACCTTTCTCCATAACTGCCTTGAACAACCTCGAGTTTGGATTATAACAGTTTATAGTAACAATAAAGATACAATAATAATGTGTGGTATTTGATGATATGTAAGCTGGGTGGATACGAGCGAGATTGAAAAGAGAAGTGACACACTTGAAGGAAGTTAGGCGGACACTGGAGTTGAAGCACTGAAGAATTGAGGGACTGGATGATCAGCACTGGGGGTTGGAACACAGGCACTGGTAGATTGGAAGACAGACACTAATCTCTATGACTGCTGGTCCTCCCTATATTTTGTCTGTAATGGGTGGCATTTTACAGAGGGAGTCAGAAATAGTGCTGATTAAACGCATGACGCGGTACATGCGAAGTACATCAGATAAGACGGTATGCCAGAGGCTTCGTCAAAATAGAACTTTATCAGATAGCGAAGGAATAGCTCGTACAGAAAGGTTATATGAAAACGACGCAAAGGCTTATCAAAAGGTCATGTGAAAGAGATGAAATAGCTTGTACAAAGGCTTCTACCCAAAGTACATGTCGAAAAGGTCTAAAGACTTATACATTATGAGTGGATAGATTGTAGTTATAAGTAAATAGTTAGTATAGGAAACATGTGATTATAGAGAATAGGAACTATTTAAGGAATAGTTACTATATCAATCATAGAACTGAAGTTGTCAATAACGAACTTAGATGGTAAAGTTTTCTCTTGAAAAATTCTCCAAGTCTAAATAGAACGCTCCAACCTCGCTTTATTCACAAGTTGACGTTTGGGAGCATAAAAAAAAGTGAAGCTCTCGGTGTTAATCAATCCCTGAGGGATGTGCTATGCATTCGACTTCATTAGGCATCGCTGGAGGTGATTGAATGCATATTTAGCCTTCATAATGACTCGCGGTGGCCTACCGAGACATTGAGTTAGTGATGATATCCTACCAGACAAGTTTGGTACCAATTCGATGATCCCGGAGGGATGGAAAGATTGGTGAGTCTAGGGTGCGGGGATTGATCCCATGTGTATTGTAGCGCATCTTCGACCACTGCGCTATACGCCCTCCTCAGGAATAGAAGATGGAAACTATTAAGATAAGTACTGGTCTACATCTTTTCCACTACTACCGCATGCGCACGAGACTCCGGTTGTTCGCTGTTCAAAGGAATTGCAATCTATGGCCAAACTCGTGTTCACGAGAACGCGAACGCGGTCTACTCTGTTTTCGCATGTTCCGAGGAACAGTTCTTCTCGACAACAAAGACCTATACTAACCTCGCATTGGCTCAAGAAGATCAGTGTATCAAATCATATAAATAAATATATCAACTATTTATTCCGAGATTTATAGAAAGTTTGTCTTCTGAGTTCTTCCATTAGATTAGCATATTAGATAAAATATTCCTAATGTCTTTTCTTTTATTTACTGCCTATCCTTTTTTCATGGCAGGATATTATGTCGAATGCAACCACAGGGATGCTGAGATATGAAGAAAACTCGGAACCTCAGTTGGGCTCGAACCCGCAGTTACCCTTATCGGGGCTCACGTGCTACCCAATATAACAATAATTACCAATTAATTAATAAATAATAAATGTTACGATAGTGGTAGACAATGATAATAATAGTAATAATAATAATGATAGTTATGCCAAAGCTAGTATTAACAACAATTATAATAGCAACAAAAAAGAAAAGTGATCTTCAACGATAACAATATTTTAAAAAATAATAAGAAAGACGATAATTATAATAAGTAAAAAAAAACGACAATGAAATAAGTTCGGCTTAACATTTGGGTTTTTACAACGCTAATAATGGAACTCACAAGTATGAAGTATTAACCACCTCAGCGAAGAGTTGTACTGGACAATCAATCGAGAATGTGCGTCGAAGTCGATTGGTGGAATTTTACCCTTGAAAAAAGATTTCAAGCGTTGTCCCAAGATTTTCATTTTTTCAAATCCATGAGATCCAACACAGGTCAGATCAAAACGTGCCATTTTTACAGATATAAAGTAGTCATGACACAAGATGTTAAAGGTTACTGGTTTAACTTTTTAGAAAATGTTCCAAGTAAGAACCACCATGGTGTGAAGGTTGCTGCCCGACATTCCCGGCACCTGGTTAACTGCAAGGTAGAAAATTTTAACCAGAAAAAGATTTTCGCATTACTACTCAGATTTAAGGAAAGAGTTTCCTGACTAGCAATAAAACCTGTTTCACTATTCTGCACAATGGACCATCCCTCGTAGCAAATAACGATACATCATATGTGATTCATTCATTCCTTCCACGCTGCTTAATTCGCATCTGTTTTTTTTTCTATGACTTCTGTACTTAATCGAGAGGTTATCGCAGATGTTAGGTCGGGCACAGTAGGAGGAAAGATGAACTTCACGCCTGATAGAGAAAACTATTTTGCAGATATTTTGTCAAAGCACAAAGCCTGGCTGGTAAGGGGACTAGCAACATAGCAAGAGTTCCACGGATGAGTACTTCTGATGTCTACTTTAGATGGAGGTGTACAAGAAACGTATAAATCAAATATGATTCGTATGGTGCGCTATGAAACTCTATGCAGCGTCGTACGTCCCGTTACGCAAAATTAGAATTGAGTGTTATGTCTGAAACTCTAAAACGGAAAACTGGTTATATTTGAGTTGCTCTAGATCGCAATCATTCTGGCACAAAAAAGACACCACGGTACACTAAGGAAACAATTTCATAAAAACTTTGCACAAACTACTGTGCAATAAGCTCAAAAAGAATTTCCAGCAATTACTGAGCTAAACCGATCTAGCTAAGCTATCTAAGATAATCTAAAGCTAGGGCAAGTAAAAACCTTTTTCGTCATTTTAACTTGTTAACGTCGCTTCAACAATCATGACAAGGATTTTCCATTTAAAGGCGGTAGCACTCAGCATAACAAGTTCAGCTCTTGTGAAAGCAGTGATATAAAAGAAAAACGCTTTGTAAATTTTGTTAGTGAGTTCACAACGAACATAGAAAAGACCCACAAAGAGGAATGTACGGGGTGAAAAATTCGGAAAAGGAAAGCTTTGTAACTTCGTTTCCTGAATACGTTTCAGTAATAATTTTTTTTTTGAATACCGCACTGTTTTATAACAACGAAAAGCTTACTTTGTTTGTTTCCATTCCGTTTGAATTACGTCAATTGCAGTGATGCTAATATATTTGCAAAGCTCCGGCCCGCAAGTGTCTGCGGGGGATCCAATCCGTTATTAGCCGTTCCGGGGGATAGCATGTTCACCACCATACCATGCGGTTTTTCGTTTCGCCTTTCTCTTAGCCGTGTTTTAACCTATAGGTGCTATCAGCAATTACCCGTCAACGGGATTGATTTGGGGAGCACAAATCTGCACTGAACCTAGTTAAGCTGAGGCTGTAGTTGAAATCACAATGTTAGCCTTTTATTTGCTGCCTACTTCAATTTTTCACTGCAAAGCACTATATGAGTAATAGCAATAATAGGATAATAACGTGTTCGTTCCCCACCGCAGAAACCTGCGGTCCGGAGTTTTGCAAATAACTCAATACTATTATGGCTGCATTCACATAGTAGCCTGCCATGAAAAGTTGTATTACGCAGCAAATAAAAGGTTAACATTATGGCGATTGCATTCTTGACAAGTTTTCAAAGTCATAATTTCAGATATCAAAACGATAATTTTGAAAAATCTACTTCAACAATTCGAACTCCATCGTACCCAGCGCAGGTAGCTTGAAGCATTAAAGGTTTATGGAGTCAAGGAAGTGTTAACGAATGCCCAGTCTAAATATGGATTTCAAAAATTTCGTCGCCACGAAATCGGTGTTGAAGATGAGAACGCTAGCGGACTTATGCTACTGACGACGATGAATAGAAGGCTTCCCTACAAGCAAATACATGCAAAACGGTTCGAGAAGTAGCGGAAGAACTTGGTGTAAACATATCAACGATTCGGAACATCCAAAGAATTTAAAGTCGAAAAAGGTCGATAAACGGATGCCGTACGTACTGGCAACACGCGCTAGTGAAGCTGCAAAGGTTCAACCACCTGGGCCACGGAACTCTGCCTAATCCACCATTACTTTCCTAGCAACTGCCACTTCTTCATGCAACTCCACAACATTCGGAACGGATAATGCTTCAGAAACCAAGCCGAGACTAAAACTTCATTCAACGATTTCATCACCTCCAGAACTTCAGAGATCTGAGCAACTTGAATCCAAAAACTTGTTTCTCGTTTACGAATCGTGCAGATGCTAACGGTTATTTCGATCAATAAATCTTGCTCCGAGCTGAGATATGCCACTTTAGAGATACAGGCTGGAATCGTACATTAATTTGGGAACGATAAAAATAAACATCTGCTCAATAAGGATAAAGGATAAAGCTCTCGGCGTTGATCAATCCCTGAGTGATACGCCATGCATTCGACTTCAATAAGCATCGTTGGAGGTAACTGAATGCATATCTGGCCTTTAGAATGACTCGTGGTGGCCTACCGATGTATCGAACCAGTGCTGCTATACTCTCAGAAAAGCCTTGTACCAATTTACCGACCCCAAAGAAATGGAGAGTTTGGTGAGCCTGGGGCACAAGGATCGGTTTCACATGTATTGCAGGGCGTCTCCGAATACTGCGCTACACGTGTCCTAGGTCTTCTCATAGCACATAAACTCTTCAAATGGTTCCTAAAATAAGATGAATTTTATGAGTATGGAAATATAATCTAACCCATGATCCATAAGAGGCATATTGCATAAGAGAAAATCGTGAGCACGGAATTCCTTACCGAAATGACTTGAGTACGAATAAGAACCCTAACAAAGAGCACGAAATACTTGTGAAGGACTGCAGAAATATAACCAACATAATGTTTAACGTTTTGTTTTCTGCCTCCTACAATTTTCATGGCAGGTTACTAAGCGAAATACAACCACAACGTTGCTGAGATATTTGCAAAACTCTGGACCGCAGGTGTCTATGGTGGGGAACGAACGCGCTATTATCCTTTCCGGGGAGTAACGCGTTCACCACCACACCATGCGGGTCCTTTGTTTCGCACGTCTCTCAGCTATTTCTATCGATCTTTTTGCCACAGCAATCACCCATTAGCGGGGTTGATCTGGGGAGCGCAAATCGGCATAAAACCCAGTTAAGCTATGGCTGTAGTTGAAATCACAATGTTTAACGTTTTGTTTTCTGCCTCCTACAATTTTCAGAATCGATTTTCACATCGATAGAAATAGCTGAGAGACGTGCGAAACAAAGGACCCGCATGGTGTGGTGGTGAACGCGTTACTCCCCGGAAAGGACAATAGCGCGTTCGTTCCCCACCATAGACACCTGCGGTCCAGAGTTTTGCAAATATCTCAGCAACGTTGTGGTTATAACCAACATAGTTCCAGTTATCAGTAACACTGCGGATCGTATTTCTAACGGTAGCAAACAGTTAAAATAGGAAAAAAGCTTCCGATCACACTAATAAACATCATACTTGTTTCGTACTAAATTCTTCAAAGAAAATCTCATCTCAACAAGTGGGCTTGCGATGGAACAAGAAAGAGGCAGCAATGGTAAGCCGAATATTCCGAGGACTTGAAAAAAAAACTAGACGAGAGAAATAAACCGCACAGCCCAGCTTTGTCAGTTCTTTAATAGCTCATGTTTGTTATAAAGATATAAACTTCGACACGTTGTCTTGCGCATAACACAGAGGGCACATGAACAACATCTCGTAAAGCACAACAGACCCAAGTTCTTAAATGGTTTCTTAGCCTACAAAAGTAAATGGAAAAAGTTATGTGATGAGAACAGTCCAATCTAGATTGACGACAAGAACAATGCAGCGACTAAATGCAGTGGCGAAATTAGATCGATTGTTGAAATTGACCGTTTACGCATCTGTATAATGTTTGCAAATGCCGATAATTTCCAAACAACCAGAGCATTTCATAAACTGAGGACTTGATCGATTTGTAAAGGAGAATCTGTCTGCCCTGTCGTCCTGATAGCTTACGAAAATTTACCAGAATGTTTCCTAATACTGAATTTGTTGGAAATCCAAATTTCGAAACGCTTGAACTTCCACAGTTTTAATGTAGAGATAACAGCTGTAGAGATCAGGGATGCATTCGCTAACTTCAATGTCGTACTGCTTAGTGGTGAGTAGAATTTTGCCCGCTTTCGATCGATTCATTGCTTGAGATATAAATAACGATAGTTATAAGCGAAAAAAACACTCATGTGCTTCAAAAGATTACAAATGAATCATGGCAAAAATAAGGAAGTGTGCAGCTTTTCAGCAACAATCCGTGGATTCTAACTGTTCTTAGCCTAGTTACTAACTAGTTGGTACGGCCCACTATGGCCTGGATATGCTTGTTTAATGCTGAAAGCCCACAATACTTTTGGCTCCATACGATTCATACATAACTAGTGAATGGACGAATGCTTTACGTGACTCGTATTCAAACTTCTTATATGAGCTGGCGTCAAGGAAAGAACATAAGATTAATGGACGTCTAGATAACTTGAAAATTTTGTAAATTATCAGACAAAAACATCACAACAATCAGAAATCGGTACCAACCTGTGGAATAGTTAGTCTCTCTAAAGTACTGTAGTGTAACGACGCCATTTCCTTCGCCTTCTTGATATCCATTTGACTTGTGATTGCTGCAAAAGCGGCACGATATTGTTGCCAAGCATCCATCACATTGACGTTCAGACCCAAGCCAAGTTGGAGCACCTGACGATTCAAATAACAATCTTCATTAATATGTCTCAAAGATGAGTACCTACCCAATAATCACGGAAGAAATCTTCAACAATTTTACGCATTCTAATATGATCGGTCTTGAGCACGGACTGCTTGAAGAGAAGGCAGATAAAAATCCATTTAATTAACGTGTTCCTATCCACATGCAGTTTCCCAAAGTCACTCGCACCCTGGTAAATAGACATAACCGAACTTATAGATAAAAGTGAAGAATTGATCATAACTATTCACCTCTTTATGGATGGCTTCACAACAAGACAAGCATCTATCAACAAATGATTCACTGACTTTCAAACGCCTAGAAATGGAGAATAACCACCGACAAAGAGGAGAAAATCTAGAGAAGTGAACTTACTCAAACAGGTACTTCGTTCCTGTGGGAGGATTTACTCTTAGAAAATCGACTAAGAAGTCCATATTACGCTGTTCATCACTGAAAATCCGCAAAAATAGTTTCTTGCATAAGCAATTATAAATGAAATGTTCACGACAATAATTTTCACAGATATCGCCTGTATCACCGGCATTCTATAAAATACTATTTTCTGTAACCTTCCAACGGTTTACCGCTCCATCGTGGCTGGGTCGTGTTCCTGGATGTCGGTCTGCGATGTACAGCGAGGAGATTCATCTCCTCGGCAGTCTTCAAAGCTGAAGAGTTCGGCGTTTCCATCAAGAGGCCTAGTCAAGAGTAAACCAATACGAGGATCCACAACAGTCCTGGTATCAAAGTCACATGATGGCAAATCTCCCTCTGATCCACAAGGCTGCGACTGCCTGTGGTGGTGATGATCTGGGGCAGAGTTGGCCCAGAGCAACCTCTGCATTCCAGGGAACCACAATGGCTAAACCAGCAAGGCTCCGAAAAAATGGAGATTGTGCTGGGACCTGCACAACGGGTGAGAACGGGCCGTCCAAGTATCCAAGTACATGTGTGATTATTGAAATTAGTACCTGTTCCTGTATATAGCAACAAATATCCTTTCTCGGATAACACCTGGTAAGAACTTCTCGAAATACAATAGAACAAGACCAATATAGAAAAGAATTTCTATGTCTACAACATCCAGATAGGAAACACCAATTCTGTCGTTACTAACTTGATCAGAGTACCTAAAGTTGCAATAAAGAGTGCAATGAAACTTTCAGCTAAAAGCAAATATCAATGACAAAGCATCGACATAACTCACTCTTTCAAACTGCACAAAAACATTGCAATTGTTTGGAAGAGCGTAGAGAACCGAGACAGCAGATCGCCATTCGTGTTGTAGAACTGGTCTTGAAGATCCTCAAAACAGAAGAGCAGGTACACATCACATACTGCTAATCTAGCACTCCATTAATCTAAACCTGTGTTAGAAACTTGCTAGCCAATACATTTTTGATTAAATGTTGTCTTTCACTTGGATACTTGGATAACCCATCAACACTGGTCGTGCGAGTCCCAGCATAATTTCCATGTTTCCGCAGTTCTACTGATTTAGCCGTGGTTACCTGGAGCCCCGAGGTCAGCCTAGCCAAAGCCTGCCTCGGGTCGTCACCACGGCTGTCGCCGCCCTTGTGTATCAGGAGGAAATTTGCCACCATGGGACTACTTAGATACCAGAACAGTGGCGGATCCTGATATTGGTTCACGCTTAGCTGAGCTTCCTGATAGAAACGCCGGACTCCTTCTTGGCTTGGGAGACCCTGCTGGGGTGACGAATCTCCTCGCTGTGCATTGCAGCCCGACGCGCAGGAACACCTCCCACCCACGATGAGGCCGTAAACCGCTGGGAGGATCTTGTCTTTTACAATCAAGACGCCTAAGGTGTGCTTGTTAACAGAAGAAGATCAGATGCAGCTTTTCAATCTAAGAAAGCATTTTAAGACGAAAACATTCCAACCTGACCAAGCTTAGAGACCTCTCACCAATACAAGTATATCAAATTGAATATTCGGATATACACTTTCTTCGCACTGAACCTTGTCAACAAAGCTGAGTACGTAGTAGAAAAATCTCTTTAGAACAAATAAATCTCATATCTGAACAGGTTTCTGACTAACCGCTAATCCCTCAGGAATATCCCAATTCTAAATTTCAGGGTAAACTGTCTCATTTATATGTTCAGAATCTTCTTTTTAAATTCAATACTGCAAGAAGTTTAACATGAGGTTGATGTCAGCTGGGGTACATGTTCACCTTCATAGACAGCGTAATAAAACAGCTTACAAAGTAATATTAAAACAGTAAGATGAAGGAAGAAAAGAACCTCGTTCTCTGCTATTAACTTCTCATAATGAGCAGCATTGGTGAAATAACTAAAATCCAAAAGAAGAAGCTTGAACTTTGACGATTTTGGGTCAGTGAAGTCTTGTGGGATAAAGCTCGATAGCCTGACGATCTCAGCCAGGATGCAGTTCGCTTCCTCCTTCACTCTCAGCATGAACGCCTCATTCGCCATCGCTCCCATACTAGTAAGCGATGACATACCTGTAACCATTCATTTTTCAACGAAAACAGCACTCAAACAGCCGTAAACAAATGGTTGAGAAAACTCATACTGAATGCGATCATTTCAAAAACCACTAGGATCTACAAATTTCAGCCAATAAGACATTAACATTAATAACAAAGCGTGCGTGTAGCGCACTGGTCGGAGGCGGTCTGCAACACACAGGGGATTGGTCCCCGTACCGCAGACTCACCAAGCTTTCCGTCCCTCTGGGGTCAACAAACTGGTACCAAACTTGTCTGAGAGGATAACAGGACTGACTGGCTCGATACATCGGTAGGCCACCGCGAGTCATTGTTAAGGCCAGATATGCATTCAATCGCCTCCAAACGATGTTTGATGAAGTCGAATGCATGGCGCATCCCTCAGGGATTGATCAACGCCGAGAGCTTTATCCTTTAATTTAAAAATAAGATACATTGTACCTAAATAAAAAAATCCTGTTTCTATGAAGTGCAACAATCACATTTTTGTCGTTGTTTTCGTCGCAGATCCCATATTGGACATAAAACCAGGTTATTAAGTCGAATTCAACTCAGCAGAACGCAATGATGTCTTCGAGTAGGAGGTTGGCCTTTGTCGTCATGCCTCGCATTTTAATTATTTAACGAAAACTAAGTTCTGTTACCAATTGTCAGAAAACTGCAACCCTAAACAGTTTCCAAGACAAAATAATATTCATGAAAGACCGAATCTGCACTCCTAACTAGATAAAGTGCAGCTCCTCTACTTCTCTGCTAGTGAAAGAATTGGCAGCAGCTATCGAACGACAGCACTATGAGTGTCAGCACGAGCTCCTCTTTCTCGCGGGTGAAGTCGTGGACGATAATGGCGGAAATCCTTCGACTGACCCTTGAGGTCTGTTCGCGCTGGATTTCGCGATAGAGCGCGCTTAAGGAAATATATAGGAGAAGGTGGAAATTCAATGAATACTGTCACAACAGCAGTAGAAGACGACTTGGATTCAATACAAATGATGGAAACAGCATTAAATATACTAAGTGGGATACAAATGGTACACGAGGCGTATTTAGGTATGTATTGAAAGGACTGCGACAGTATGACTTGATATGATCTAAAATGAAGCTTGTTAGTTGGGTTGAGCAAAAGTTACAAAGAAAAGCGGCGAGGTGATACGTGAAATGCGGAGTGACCAGTTTGAATCGTATATGACTCGCACTGCGAGGTTTACCTAGGGAAAAATAAGGTGCCGTTCTACGCGTCACCAGCACAGAATTAGACATCAGCACCAAAGGGTTAAATAGAGTCCAGTTTGCAAGACTATAAGTATTATAACTTTGCCCTTAAAGTCTGACATGAGTTGATTCCCATTCATACGTGGGAGAGGTGGATAGGTCGATGACCATAGTACAACACATCGAGAATATGATGGACTGTTGATATCGACTCCAGTCATCGGCTCTGGGGAAGACGGAGGCGTCGAAACATTGGCTGAATAAAATTTGCTTTACCAACCTCGTGTTACCTCATCAATGAAGAAAAGTTCATTGATCATGAGTTAATTTATAGGAGACTACAAAGATAGCAGGAGTATCACAGATGAGGGTGCCAAGATATCTCCGTACTCCACATGAATGTCGCGACCCTTGATTTGCTTCTGTACTGATACAGTACAGTAATAGTGGTGAAGAACACATAACTCTCATGTGGTGAGACAGCAGCGGTCTGACAAGAGTTGATTTCAATTCTAAGCGCATGCTGCAAAGAATTAGGCATCGTAGCATGCGCGCACGTCACAGTAGATGAGGCGTTGAACTCCAGTTCTCAATAGAAATATTAAGGCACAAGGACAATGTACGATTTGAGACGCAATGGAACTCGATGAATCACGTTTCCTTTACTTTTAGAGTGATAAATTTCAGGAAGGACTACATAAGGAGCATCATAACAGAAGTTCTTCACTGAGATATCGTTGGCTAGTCTGAGCTTCATTCTCCACATGACAAAGTCTGACATAGTCCTTCTCATAATGAATATCTCATTTTTCCTTTTGATCAGAGTTGCTGGTACTAATTTCAGGATATATGTACCTGTAAAAAAGCACTCACCATGGATAATGGTAAACAGATTGAGTTCGTATAATGATTTATATGATAAATGGACGATAGCGCCATAAGTTCTGTAAGTTCAACATCCACCCACGAAGTTTTTAGCCTACATTGCTGTGTTACATATCCGGCGCTTACCTCTGCTTGATATGTCTGGATAGAGAACTAAGAATTAAAGAGCTTTCTCTGAAGAGTATTTGGGTAATTTTCGATTCACTGCAACTTCATTCCACTCAAAACACGTAGGTTGGAATGCCGGAAGGCGACGTCTCAGGATATTCCCAGCGACGCCGCTAAGGCTGCGTAATCTGTGTTCTTCTGATTTGTTTAGATCAAATATGGTTCAAGACTGCATATCGAGTCCTTATACAAGTGAGCATATAATTTGTTTTTTTTATTTATATTTTGTTTTGCCTTCACAATTGTTCCTCCCAACGACTTACTGCATGACCGTGGTTGGGAGGTGTTCCCGAGTGTGGGGCTACGATGTACAACAAGGGGATTCATCCTCCTGGCAGGGTCTTCCAAGCTGAGAAGGAGTCCGAGGCTTTCATCAGGAAGCCTAGTTAAGAGTAAACCACTACCAGGATCCAACACCGTCCAGGTATCAATTCAGTCGCATGGTGGCAAATCTTCCTCTGATCCACAGCGGCGGCGACTGCCTGTGGTGGTGACGACCTGGTGCGGACGTTGGCCCGAATGGCCACAGTACTTCGGGGAACCACAATGGCTAAGTCAGAAAAACTTCAAAACAATGGAGATTATGCCGGGACCCGCACAACCGATGAGGATGGGCCATCCAAGTTTCCAAGTAGTAAGTATTTGCAATTGTTTTACATTTCGTATGCGATTCATTTGTGTAGAAACATTTCACAGTACTGTAGGATCGCATCGTATGTGATAGAGACGTAGTCCATTTGTTTGACTCTAATTGCCCATGACTCTAATTCGAAGAAGGGACATTGTCGCCAAAACGAACGCTTGATAGAAATTTTAGCACAAATCACTTTTTACCCACTGCCATGTGGTTGTGAGCAATTTTGATGTCATGGTCTTGTATTGTATGACCATTTTTTCTTTGAGAATGGTATGAGCATGATGGAGGAGCTACCCTTTCGGACGTAATTGGCAGAGCATAGAGTTGCTATCTATGATGAGTCCACTTCCTAGTCGACGAAAGGTCATGAGATGGCATTCGTTCCAATACCGTCGATTACTTTTTCATAGCTGACATTGAAAGGCGACTAGTTTCAGAGGCAATAATTTCCCACTTTAGGATTTTAACGGCATATGAATGTGTCGTTTTCTTGTTCAGCAATCGCGAAACAGCATACATTTACTTCCATAAAAACACAATACAATACAACGCTAGCTGACGTTTCGGCAGTTTCGCCTTCTTCAGAGCCTGGAAGGGTATACTGATATACAATCTACTAGGCCAAACGCTTCAATAACACTTATAAAAAGACGAAAAACTCTGTGGTAATTACATAATC